AATATCACGATGATCGCGAACGCCCGAGCTCGGCACGCTTTTGATATGAGTCTTATCAATCCGACTTTTTCGATCACCGATGTCCAGATCCCAGTCATTGTTGGCGAGAACGCATTCTTGCTGGCAATCTTTGGCGACCCGGATGTTGCTGTTGCTAACAGGACGTTTCTGGAGTACTTCTTCCGTATGTTTGATTAAGGTGAACTCTCTTCATCAAGGCGAGAAAGGCTGACAACATCCAGGCAATGAGAGGTTTCCCGTCGAGCTTGGCTGGTCTCCCAACGAAACACCTATCGACGCGCAACTCGGTCCCATCGTGCAAGATATCATCGCCCAAAGCCCTGCGGACGTGCCCCTGACGTTTACGCCACAGAACGCAAGCCTGGCAAAGACCAAGTAGAGTATCCAAGTCGAAAGGCCTGGGCCAAAAAGAAATGTATATTAGTTTGACGGTTGTTTGAAACCTACCACGGCTCTGGAGTGGTATGAAGAGTTTCGGATGGCCAATGGAAGCTTTGAAGTGTGTGATCTTGCTTGTGCATCCCGTCGGGTACAAGTGGATCATGGAGAAGAAGCCTCTTTGCTGGTTCCGCTTTTCTCGATTAGGTAGAAGCAGATTTCTCTTGGGAAGAACATCAGCCGTTGACGCTGATGATAAGTATCAGGTTCCATTGCGTGCGTATGGTAGTATTACTGAGATCCACGGGCCACCTCCATATTATACACGCTGGGATCTCACCTACGCTTTCGGGCTAGTCGTTACTTTCCTGTGCCACATTCATAGGGTCTCGAAGAGTCTCGAAAGCAGCCAGCAACCAAAATTGAATGCCGTCGATATCAATAGTTCCCACAACCGGGGGTTCTCTTATTAACAGAAAGACATCTTCATCAGTTGTCTAATCCAAAGAGGAAGGCCATAACGAGAATGGAGCCTGATTGGTGATCGATTCCATTCAGGTCTCCACTTCCCCAGACAACCCTTTGCGGGATCTAGGGCGGAACAAATGATGAATGTTATCCGCGATGGACCCAATTCTCCGCAGGGAAGAAGCTATCCTGGAGCTTTGAATTCGGATTCGCGGAGTTGCTGAATCCCCTCAACTCCTACTTGAGCGTCCGGCAGAGAAGTTGCGGCGTAAATCTTCAAAGATAGCCTTCGACTGCCCAGTCAGTGCCCATATAATCTCGCCAAGGCTCGGACTTACACACTCCGATACCGGCGCACTTACGAGAAGGGATTTTCACTTGACTCCATCGAAATTTAATAAAGGAATGTGTCAATCGAAAGAAGCGACCCCGCGAGGTGGGGAGAATTTTCATCTCTCCGGAAAAATGCTCGGCAGCTTGCAGGATGATCTGGGGAAAATTCATCAAGTATAATAATATGCTCAATCTGCCGTTCCCTTCCTAGTATCGCCCAATTGTTGACCCCGTTCCCGCCGATTCGACCCATCTTTTGAGAGTGAGTGCTTGCGTACAGGCACCGCCATGTCGGACACAAGAGAGATCAAGGATAGCTCGCTGGGTGAGGCGCCGTCAAACACGGGCAAGGTTGTCGCCGCGGACAACGCGATTGCCCACGATGCCGTCTTTGGTGAGATTACGGAAGATGGCCCCAACTACCGCAGTGTTTGTGACTCTCTTCTGGTGAATTTAGAGTCGTAAGAACTGACCGTCATTAGGTCGGGTGGCTGGGTACTTCCGTCTTGATGATGAAAACTCAGATGGGTCTCGGCGTTCTATCCATCCCCTCTATCCTCGACACCATGGGGATAATTCCCGGTGTTATTCTTGTCTGCGTAATTAGCGGCATCACTACTTGGTCCGACTTCATTGTCGGTACTTTCAAGCTCCGCCATCCCGAAGTCTACGGCGTTGATGATGCGGGAGAGTTGATGTTTGGCTGGATTGGCCGTGAAATTTTCGGTGCCGGCTTCTGCCTCTGTGAGTGCTCTGTAACGGGTGATCGGTATCAATATCAAGTCACTAATCTTTGCCCCCATAGTCTTTACCTTCACCTCAGGCTCCGCTATGCTGAGTATCTCTATCGCTTTGAATGCTCTTTCTATGCACGCGACCTGTACCGCCATCTTTGTTGCAGTTGCAGCGATTATTGGATTCGGCTTTTCTAGTATACGAACACTGGGACGAATCAGTTGGCTGGCATGGATTGGTGTTACGAGTATCATTGTGGCCGGTAAGTCTAGGCTCTAAGTCCCTACTTAAACCTGCAGCATCTGATAGCTTCGCTAGTTCTCACCGTGACCATTGCTGTTGGCCTACAGGATAGGCCTGCCGCAGCACCAAAAGATGTCCCTTGGAAGTCGGATTTCAAGCTCGTAGGCTCGCCCACTTTCACAGAGGCCATCGCTGCCATCTCTGCACTTGTTTTCTCGTACGCAGGCACGCCAGCGTTCTTTTCCATTGTGGCTGAGATGCGCGAGCCCAAGCATTATACCCGGGCTCTCATTCTCTGCCAATCTGTTGTTACGCTCGTCTACGTGGCTGTAGGTGCCGTTGTCTACTACTACTGTGGATCATACGTTTCTTCGCCTGCTCTCGGCTCTGCTGGGCCCAGCGTCAAAAAGGTCGCCTATGGACTCGGCCTTCCTGGTCTTATTGTCTCAGCTGCAGTCTTGCTTCATGTGAGTGTCTTGAGTTCACAGAAATTGAATATCTGCTAATCAGATCGTAGTTACCGAGCAAGCACGTATTCGTTCGAATTCTGAGAGGATCAAGGCACCTGACAGCTAACACCTTTACCCACTGGGCAACCTGGATCGGCTGCACCTTTACTGTGGCTTTGGTGGCCTATTTGGTAGCTAGCGGTATTCCCGTATTTAACAGTCTCATCTCTCTCATCGGTGCGCTTCTCGGCACACTGATCTGCTTCCAGCCGATGGGCTGCATGTGGTTCTACGACAACTGGACGAAAGGAAAACAGAACCCTACCATAAGATGGTACGCTATGTGTGTTTGGGCCGCTTTTGTTGTGGTTTCGGGAACGTTTTTGATGGTCGCGGGGACTTACAGTTCCATCATGGGAATCATCGATGACTACAACGGCCCAAACCGCTCCTCTGCCTGGTCTTGCGCAGACAACTCGAACTCTGTATAATGTTATTGGGCAGGGATCAGAGTAAAACTTAGCGGCAAGCTAGACCACCCAAAGAAACAGGTGGCATTCAATGCTACATACATGTACAGTCAGTGAATCAGTTCCGCGGCATTGAAGTGAGCTACGTATTCTGCATAATTCCTTTATCTCGACTTCGGAAGTTATTAGAAGAGAGGTAGAGCCCTCGCGACCCACCAGCCGGCTTGGAATACCCCGGCCAGACGATGGAGCCTTCCGATCTCCGATCTCTGTTTACCACCCATTTCTCCACTTCTCGGGAAGACTTTCTAGTTTGGATTTCCACATTAGGGCAATAGTCACAGGGACCAATGTACTTACTTGCTAAAGTAGCTCCTGCTCTTGCATGCTTAGGCGGGGTAGACCACAGTAAAGACCAACAGTCTACTTATGTATTTCCTAAAGTAGGCAGGGCAAGGTGGATGCAAGGTAGAGTTACAAAGTATCAAGTTCTTAGATAATTACAGAGATAAGGCGCCTAAGGAAATAATCATGCGCTCAATTACAACAGCAGTCTGCTGCGTTCAGGACCAAGCTGGTTGATATAGTCTGGTGACCTGAGGCGAAAGCAGGCCTCGTGCTTGCTTAGCGTTTAATTTACCAGAGCACCGGCGTTGCAGGGCAGAAGAGATTCCGAAACCGTGGTATCTGAGGTTTTTCAAACTTAGTACCAGGCAAAGATAATGTCGTCGCATCGCGGAACGCGGGACCTGTCGGCCCCCGGGGTGATAGCATGAGTGCGGTGCAGTTCCCGCGCGGTTGTACTTTGTCCCGCCCTGGAATCGGGTAATCACACTTCCGGATTGCCAGTTTTTTGAAAGCGAGAAGGTACTTATTCAAACCGTCTCGAAATAATACTTTCCATATGAGTGTGAGTTGTGGAGGAATATATACATGCTTCAGTAAGGCTAGAGGCATAAGAAAGCAGAAACGTGGGGACCTCATTATGATTCGCTCACAAACCAGTCAGAGAGACAGGATGGCATTTAGCCCGCAGGGAGAGTGGGATGCCGGAATGTCTCGGCACACAAAGCCAGCTGACAGGACACGAGATCTGATGTGCAGGCCTAGAATCCTGGACACTTACTACATGTAGGTTTGGTGGCCCCCGAGCTCTCTATCGAGCCAAAGATCCAATGACTGCGACTTGAGCCGACCACCAAGATATAGAGCCGAGTACATCCTTATCTACTGACAGATATATCTAGTAAACTATCCTCCTTATATGGTATTCAATGGTGGTCTTCACAAAGCAAGAGGAGTTAAGAGATCCAAGTTTTGTCGGAAATGTTGCCATTGTTAATTGATTTGGAGTCAAGTGTGTTTGGAAGTGACAAGATTCACTGTCCGTACTTATGCAGTAGAACTCTGATGCTGGTCATGTAGTCGAGACTGCGGCGTAGTTCTCCCAACTCTATTGATCACCTGTATCCAAGAAACTACTTAACGTATGCCAAGTGAGCCTTCGGAAGCTTAGCTGCAACGCATGTACGCAGCAATCATCACTCAACTCATTAAGCCATTATTTTAGTATCTATGCGAGCTGGGAAGGGGAAAAGTCACTATCGACTTAGAATGTCTTATCTCTCTGCCCGACAGAGACCTCGCTGACTGCAAGACTGTCGGCACATCACTCGGATTGTGGGGTCATCAAAGCGTCCCGCGCCGCGCCGCACAGGGGTGGGATGCCGTGACGGGACTGGGCACCCCGAGACGCGAAGCATTGGGCGTTATCGTGGTGGGTTTGCCCTGCCCGCGCGGGGGCCTCGGGGGCCGGGATGGTGCCGATCGCCCGTATAACATTCGCTCCAAGGACGGTCTTGAAGCCATCAGTTTCCGAGCCTAGCCCTTCTGTGAGAGTTCTGTCAACCGAATGGTCTCTGCTTCCTCTGGCAGAACATGTCTCTATTCAGTTAGGTTACGAACACCGACCCCTGGCTCATCCCAGCCCTCAGGACCCTCACTCGACCGCCCCTTATTCCCGCCCTCTGCCCAACAGTCATCAACCGACTTCAAAACACTCCCTTTTCCCCCGTTGTACGACCTCTGTGACGTGCACGGGCCACAATCTGACCACCTTTGGAACGCCTCTGTATGGACAAGTCAGACTGGGGCAACCTGGTGATCCCCGAAACTTACGATCAGATTTGGGTTGGTTTGTACCAGTAAGAGCTACTCGCAAAGTTCATCTGACAAACATACAACAACTCCAAGCCAGAAAGTACACGGCAAAAGTCGATGAGCGCTCTCCAGAGTTCCTCCGTGTCATGACGACAATGGACCAAGATCCCGACCACGAGCCGGCGATCCGGAGTCTTGGCGGCCTGGATGTCATCGATTCCAATGGGGACCTCTACCTCTTTGTAGGAGAAGACGTTGAAGAAAAGCCCAAAAACTACTTTGTGTGCTCCAAAGCGCTCGCGAGAGCCTCAACGGTCTTTCGAAAGATGCTCTACGGCGGTTTCGCTGAATCGCGACCACATCATATGGATGGCGTCTCGCGAGATTGGACTGTGGAACTCCCCGATGACCGGCAAGAGGCTTTGGAAATGCTACTCGATATTTCGCATGGGCGGTTTGAAAAGGTTCCCGAACAACTGGAGCTCACACGTCTCTACCAGTTCCTTGTGGTCACTGAAAAATATGACGCGACCAGCATCACGCGGCCATGGGCCCGGGGATGGATGGAGGCTGTCAAGACGAGCATGCAGAACCCGCTACTTCTGGGTGTTGCCTATGAACTTGGGGACGCCCAAATGTTCAATAACATGGCGATGAAGATTGCTACCGAGTGTTTAGTTGACGACGATGGAGACTTGGTGTTCGGTTATAGCGGATCGAACCGTGAAACTTACTCATACAAGCTTTGCCACATAGAATATCTTTTCCCGTCTGGCTTTGTTGGTACGTATTCCAATAAGTTCCTGACATTCAGAGACTCTGCAATGAAACCAATTGACTCATGGTCTAGATGATGCTACGACAATACGCAAGACTCTCCTCACCACCATGCTGGAACCCTACGCCAGCCTCTACATGACGCTCAAACACGGAGACCGATGCATGTCATCGCCGCAAGATCCCACGGGCGGCAAACGGTGTGACAGCATCCTATTAGGGTCACTCATCCGGTCCTTCGCGGCGCAGACAATCGATCTCACGGCCCCGGATCCCGTCGCGGCGTACCGCGGGAGCGCCTCGGCGCTTCAGTCGGTTCTGCTCAAGCTCGAGTTGTTCACTGTCCACTCTGGCTTCTCGCATCCATCGTCCACATCATTCAGCTTTGGTCAGACGACGCATCCGCGGTTCGGCTTCACTTTGAGCGCTTGCGAGCATGTCTTGCAGTCCGGGCTGCGGGAGGGTGTGGAAAGGTCGCTGATGCTCAGGGGGGATATGAGCTTTGTTCAGCCAAAGCACAAGGAATATTTGCAAAAGCAGGCGCAAAAGACGGGTTTTTCTAAGTAGCATTAATAATATTTGTGGTCAGCCCACCTTTAAGCATAAGTCTGTTGTGGGAGTCTCGTGGCGGCCGCCGAGACCGCCCCTCGCCTGCCCAGTAAACCAAATCCTCTTCGGCATGCGTGATGACTTTTGTCCCTTTCCTCTTGACATACTACCATATCCCCATAATCAACACTGCACGCTATGCTCTCCGGAAACTTCGTGGATTCGCGGGCTCGAGTCGTCCCTCTTCTGGCTTCTGCCCCTATCACGCCTCCGTTTCACCGATGAATCGGAATGTAAGGCCTCTGACCTCTTCATTCCTCTCCCCTCCCAGTTCAATCACGCACCGGACCACCTCGTAGTTGTCAGTCTCGTATAACTGCAGTGCATCCTCCTGATCTTTGTTCGTAACAAGAAAAGCGTGTCCATCTACACAGCTCTTCTCGTAGTCTGACGCATTCACTAAAGCTTTGTACTTTCCGCCCCAGGTTGCAAGACGGCCACCGCGAACCTTTGCAGCTCGATAAACTGGCTCAATGCCGAGAAGATTGTTTAGAACAGTAGGGTCCGCAAGGGTACCGTAGAAGAAGTACCAGACTGGGTACTGGTCCTGGGTCGGGAGTAGTCGTTGGTCTGACTCGATCTGGGACTCAGAATTTAGGCGGTGATGGGGCAAGGTGGCCTCAGATCCAAGGGTTGGATGAATCGATGTCGTGGAGAGGTTCTTGTCCGCCTTTGCGTAGCGGATGAGTGTGGGTTGAAAGGTTGACTCGATGTCGGAAAGGTGACTGAGGAGGATCTTCTTGGTTGCTTCGTCAACCTTGCAAAAGGAGGCCGCAGCGCCGTCGTCGTCTGTGCCGCTGAAACTCGAGGGCAGCATGGAAGAAGCACCGCAGATCATTTGAACATCCTCAGGGCTAGAGAAAGGACCCGCTAGCTTAAGGAGGTAGATGCTGGACTTCTTCTTCTTCCTCATGGTCTGAGTACTTTGCTCGACGTGCGATGTCTGAGTTTGCGGAAGGCCGCAAGAATACTCGTAAGACTCCTTGTCGTAGCCCTGAGATTCCTTCTCTGCGCGAACCATGTCCCAGTGGAGTTCAGAGACTTGGACTCGTGCAAAGTTGGATCGATGATCCTGGATCTTCTGTGCGGCATCAGTGTATGTATAGCCGAAGAGGGACTGCCACCTCTTGATGTCATCGTATTCTGGTTCAGTGTTATCCAGTTGGGTCACAGCCATGGACTCAAGCTCGTGAAGAAGGTCCATGTTGTCTGCTCGCGTAGTGCCGTTTCTCAAGACGGGGTGACTCTGCTGATAAAGGAGTGTAGTGAGATCTCAGATCAGCGGGACTGTAAGATGCTTGGTGAAGATGTGCAGCTCCACCTGCGTAAAAATAGGCGAAGATGGCTACTTTATGCAAAGAGAATTCTATCGAGGGCTTCGGAGATACCTCTGTCATGTGGATAGACAAAAAGGTTGATAATGGGCTGCGTATAACTAACATGGCTTACCTTACACCATGTACCATGATGGGCAAACCAACATCAATTGAACCAGTGCTCTCGCAGCTCTAACCTCTGCCAAGTTTTTACATGTCATTACTAATTTTCTTCTTTGAGAGAAATGACAAAGTCGGTTTGGATATCATACTTATACATACCACTCAAAGTAAATATCGTAACTATTGGGACACCGCTAATGTCAACGTTTCTGATGAGACTGTTCTCTTCTGGCATAGGCTTCCGACTGCGATTTCATGATTATTCTTTTTATTCAGCGGCGTGATTGCATAACGGATGACATAGAACGATCCTCCATCGATGGCGTCGGCCATCTTCCCGTCAATCAAGCTCATCATTGCCATGATAGTTTCCAGCAAATGGTTAAGCGCCGCATTGTTTTGCCGGCCACCATTTCCTATCTTGAACTTCACAACTCAATCCCCCTCTCGTTACTCAGTGCACTATGCCTGTGGGATGGAATAAGGGCACTTTGGCATGGAGCTCAAGAAGCTTGACACACAGTGCTATGTGCTTCGACATGAAATCGGTGCCATGTTTGGTTATCCGGAGGTATCGAGCATTGTTGATCGTTTCAAGAAATTAGGGGAGAAGACACAGGACAGCATGAATAAACGCACTCCTATTCCGCTTTCCTGAAGTAAATCAACGGCAGATTGCAACCATTCCCAATCGATCCAGCACCTTTTCCCTGAAAATTAGCAAGCAGAGCCGCTAAGCCCCCGGTTTCTCTCAATACGAGCCGCCAGTCATAACACTTCTAGGAAAGAAGAAGTAATAGAAGGATTATCACTGGGAGTTGAAAACAAATCCTCCTGGATCCCTCGTTTTGATTGACGTTAAATGCCTCTCATTACAAGCCCGCAGGTAACGCGCTATTGCTCTGAATGGCAAAATTTGGTATGACAAAAGCAAATACTAGTTAGAACGGTAACTTACCACCTCGTAACTCCAATTTCCTTTGGCGGGTTGCCTCCCGAGGCTCACTTACACGAGGCCCGATTCGGCTGGGGAAGCAAGGAGGTCTGAGTGCCAAGAGAAAATCGCTCATACACAAAAGGCCAACATAGGCACGGTCGGATTCGGTGGTGATGGACAACCATTACGTTAAAATTACCTACAAGCTACTGCTTCCCCATGGGAAGCGGGCGCAAAAAGACCCAAATAATGTCAACGTTGTTCCAATCGGCCGCCAAGCCTACGGAATGCACTCGCATCCGAAGGACCTGATCTGGCAACCCGGATATGAATGCACGCAGCAACAGGAAGTTCTTAATCCCTCAACCGAGACATCACATGACTTTCGAGTCGGTGAGATTGCTTCTGCGTAATGTTGACACGAAACACGGTGCAATCAGTAATACTCATGGATCGTTTGTAGGACTTAAAAGCCGCAGGACAGCAGGATTCTTGTCCGTGTCTGCTTGGATTCTGCTCATCTTGATGTCCTCCCGCCGTTCAACTTCCTCGTCAATACATTCCTCATGACATCATCCGTATGAGCCCGACAAGCATTCCAGATGCCGCTGTCACAGATGCCTCAACCACCTGGGTGCCCGAGAAGCAGCCAGGTGCCGTCGCAGCAGCACTCTGTGTCGCATTCGCACTCCTAGTTGGCCTCGTACTCTACCTTTTCGGATGGAAGAAGATCAGGAAGTTGAGGCATCCTCCGCCGCCTCCGCCGCCTCCGCCGCCTCCTTCTCTACACCTTACAACAGCGGGCAATCACCGCAGTCGACATGATTCCCCTGATGCATCGACTTTGAGCCCCTATAGCTTGCCCCGGCTACCGAGAAAAGCCCGCATGGCAAAGCTGACACGGGGAAAGCTCGAGTCGTTGGCAAAGGTCGCCGAGGCCAAGACGTGTCCTGTTTGCCTGGATGACTTTGTCGCTGGAAGTGTTGTCGGCCAGTTACCGTGCGGCCATGTCTTCTGTTCGGCGTGCATCGAGCTTTGGCTCCTCAAGCACTCTTACACATGTCCCTTGTGGTACGTCTTCCTACCTGACACAATGCAGCATACGCGACTACTAACCTATTCTGTTTGGCTCTGGTTCAGCCGTTTCAATCTTGAAGCAGGCGAAGTGCACGCCAACCCACGATGAAGGACGTGCAGTAATGGATCACGAGGCCACATTCAAGGGATGTTGATTCATCTAAGCATGCGACATATATTAGTAATATGGCAAACTGCTCCTTCCGAAGCCTTGCAACTGCGATGGCTGTAACTCATGCTGCAACTGTTGGGCTCGGTATCCCATATTCTCATATGATGCAACGAGGAGCGCCAGGTGCCGATAGGTACTTTTGATAACGTTCTATGCGACAGTTCTGGAGGCATACTGTTAGCGGAGGATCATCGGTGTTTGCCCCTTTACGCCAGTGAGGGATGGAGGTATCATAGTCGACGTAGCTGCGGTCTCTCTTGAAAGCTTTCAACTTAAGCATGACTGCCTGACTTGTTCCTCCCTTTAAATCGGTGTATACTTTATGAATCAACGTACCGGTCATGAGTGTGGCAAATCTTGAGCAACCAAACCATATTCCAAAAATACACCCATCTCGAGCCACATGCTGACGCACCCCAATGGCCAGCAATGAGACCGTCTGTCTTGAGTGGCGCAGCGCTCCGAGAATCACAAAACGCCCCACGACCACTCCTTTGGTCAACAGCTTGAAGCCCCAAAGCAGTGCCAATCGTTCGAAATACGGAGCACCATTTTTTCAATGATGTAGTGGAATAAAGTTGGTTACAATGATCACGGATGACAAAATTGTAAGTCCTCGCCCGTAATGATATGTAGGATCGAGAGTGTCTTGGTCTGTCATCGGCTGATTACCAAATGACCCTCGTGACCAAGCTTGCCCATGTGATGGTAACCGAACCAGCTGCTTTTCGTTGTGCCACATCAGTCCAGAAGTGATCGATTTGTCACACGTGAAGCCCCCGAAACAGGACTTATCTTGATCAACCCGCGCAATCCATGTCATATGCGAGACTCTTTCCCGACGCTGTGCCACTTTCAACGAGCTGCATCTAGGCACTGTGGCCCGTCACCTGTTGCTGATTATCCCTGGCATGTTCAATGTTCAGAAAATCGATCTCCAGTGGTCTCGGGTAATTGGTTCAACGGGTGACTTGTATTGAGGATTTAAGAATTGAATGCTGCCCTCTTTCTTTTCGACCCGTTCCAGAACAAGTGACGACAACATCAATCAGCCGCACGAAACAACCTGTATAAACATCACGACAGTTTGGGATTCAAGAATCTACCTCACCTTCAGCCAGATTCACTCTCAAGTCTTGCTCAGCCTGACCTGGCCTTTCACTATTTTTCGTCGACTTGAACGTCTCATCAACTCACAGTTGAGGGAGCCGCATGTACGCTTAGATTCATCCCGATCTTGATATCGTACATGACTTACTCTGACGATTTCAAGGTTGAGTATCGAAACTGAAATCGCCAGCCTACTCTTTCGCACGATGAACAACGAAACGATGTCTGTGATCGTGCCATCACTAGATACCAGAGAAACAATGGAGAGCGATGCCACACTGGTTGCTGTCTCTGAGAGAGTACAGCCCGCCTCGAGAAACGAGGATTATCATCATCATCAATTTAGTTCCAACAGACACACTCTAGGTCTGTTCACTTTTGCAAGAATCATGCTCAGATTAACACTGCTGTGGATGAATCTACTGCTTCTCCCCCTTTGCGGCTGGAACGCTGCAAGCTCCACACTTTTTCTTGTCATGCGAGGAGTCCCGCTGGGTCGACAAGTGGAAATATTTCTTCGTTTGTCTTATAATATGGCCAAGATGGAACTCAGTACCGCCAGACTAAACAGATGACATTGTGTTGGGTGGCAATCCTTGTACAAGTCCGATGGCGAAATGTGGGAAGTCGGTCACAATGATGGAGATAGTCACACGTAAGCGACTGGACACTCCTGTCGCTAGGCGGCACACGGCACCCCAATTACATGCAGTATCTTGAGATCAAGTTTGTCAAATTGGAAAAGATTATATGCCTGAAAAGTTACGAATAGATACATGTGGTTCGTTGCTTGTAATTACAGTGTTGGGCAGCGTCTGAGTGCCCGGAGAATCATACTAAGAAGAATGTCCCGAGCGACGGGAACGAACGTCTCAAATACTTCATTGAAGGTATTCACCGACAAGTGCCAAATCGATAATAGCCGCCAGTCCATACAAAGCGGCATCGTTCGTAGAGATCCACGACGCCTCATCGATAGGCGCCAACACATCACTGCCGTTGAAGTGCACAGTGCTCCAAGGGGCAGTTTGCTTCAATCCATCAGTGTTGAAGAACTCATTCCAAGCACGAGCCGCGAGAGTCGCGTTGTTCGTGCGGTGGGCAGCGTACGCAGTGAGACGAGAGTGTCCCTGCTTGAGACTCGTGTTACCGAATCCCTTGCCGTACCGCGCCGTCTGCTCGGCGGCGCTGGCGCTGTAGTAGTAGCTGTAGTCGTACCACGCCTGTTCGAAGCCTGCGGGGACATCGTCGCCGGCATGCTCAATGAACTCGGCGACGACCTCCATGAGGCCGAAGACGGCAGACAAGTGTGACACGGCGACGGTGCCGTTGTTGTTTGGGTCCGCGGGCGGGGGCCCGAGGGTGCCGTCGGCGAGGTTGTAGAGGCCAGAGCCCGTGACGAAGCCGTTCTTGAGCTTGGCGATGCTGGCAGCGGTGTTGGTGAGCTTTGTGCGCGCCTCTTCCCAACGGGAACCACGGCGCTCCCACTCGAGAAGCCAGGAGGCGGCGAGGGAGGACCAATCCGTGCCAAGACCAACGGCGACAGAGGAGTTGGGCGTCGGGACCCAGCCGTCAGTACGGACCTTGCGGTTGGGGTCGAGGACGCCGTAGGTCTTGTCCGTGTCGAGGATCTCCTCAATCAGCTCGCCGGTGCGCTCGTCGCCGCCCGTGACGAAGAAGAAGACCTTGCGGTACTGCGGCGTCGAGATACGTGCCTGCTTGGCGCTATCGCCCCAGTGCTGGACGCCGTGGCGGGTTCCGAGACCCTTGTACTTGCCGAGGTGGTAGACGTCGACTTCACCGGTGTGGCGGACCTGGGCCTCGGCGAAGCGGAAGACGTCCTCGCGGCCGGTGCGGAGGAAGTAGTTCCAGAAGAAGAGGTCGGGGGAGAGCTCCGAGTTATCCCAAGCGTAGCCACCGATATCATAGCGCCACTGATGTCTGTCCGTATCGTAGGCGTGGATGAAGTCGCCGTGGTCCCAGAAGCCGTACCACCTGCGCTGCTCGACCTGACCCTCGTAGAACTTGAAGAGGAAGTCGAGGTGCTTCTCGATGTCGGCGGCGAGGCCTGAGGGTGACTCGGCTGGAGGCGCCCAGTAGTTGCCGATGGCCTTGGTTTCGGCGAGATATTCGGGTTCACCAAAGAGGACGGGAGGGTTGTTGGTGTGGTCGGTCAAGTCGGCGAGGAGGGTGCGGTTGGGGGTCTGGTCGAAGCCGTAGAGGAAGATTTCGTTGGTTCGGGCGACGCCGTAGGGGTTGTTGAAGCCGGGCTCGTAGTCTTCGTACGTGATTTCGAGAGCATCGAGTTGCTCTGCGTAGGTCTCCTGGCCGAGACCGTCGTGGTAGGGGCGGATATCCAGAGCGGGTGCCGAGGGGCTGTAGATCCAGATTGTAATCTCACCCTTGTCCGTGGCGGCGTTGGTGATGTCGATACCGGTCGGGTAACGCTTCCAGAAATTCCGCAGGCCGACGGCGAGACCACCCTTGGTGGCACCGCCGAGGTACGCAAGCCCACCTGAGCGTGTGCCGCCGGGAATGTTGACCCAACTCTGACCAGCCTTGGTGCGCTTCTTCAAGGTGAAACCGTCAGGAGATAGCTGAGTCAAGCTGAAGTCGCTCCAAGTAGGGATCCACTTGAGTCTGGTTGTGACTCTCTGGTCCCATGTTGCGGGATCGGCAAGCTCCACGCCTTCGAATTGATCGTTGCGGATGTCGACGCCGGGGTCTCTGCGAAGACCGGTGATGCCCTGCACGGCTTCGCTCAGGAGGCCGCCGTCGATGCCGGAGATTCTGACATGGCGGTTGTACTGCTCTTCGCCCTCGAGAGGAACCTCGAAGCGGATGCCTAGTCCAGAGATGAAGTCCTCCTCGGCGTTGCCATCGTAGATAACGGTGTGAACGATGCGAACAGCCTCGGAGTTGTGGTAGAGGTAGAAGCGGAGGATGAAGGGAAGCCAGTCTTCGTGGCTACCGTCGCCAGAGTGCTTGCCGCGGACGGTGACGAGGGCACGAGCAGTGTTGTCCTTGCTGACAGTGACCTCTTCGATGTTGCTCTCAAAGTTGAAGTAGTTGATGGCAGATTGGCCCTTCAATTCCGCCTGGTCCTCCACGCCGGACTGAGAGTGCAGCACCAGCTTTCCATTCTGGCCGATAGTCTTGCCAGAGGCTGTCTTAATCTCGCCAACGACGACATTACCCGACTTGGGGAACGTGATGGCGAGCTTGCCAGTATCGACACTGACGGCATCAGATGAGTCGGTGACGGTCAGGCCGCTAGACTGCTGCCGTCTGGCACGAGAGAAGCGCGTCGTCGAGTTGGACGACGAGGATGCGCTGACTGTGTACTCGTCCAGAATCGTGTCGGACTCGGGGATCGCGTGGCCGGTCCATTTGATGGAGCCGTCAGACCAGTATGCCGTCACCCAGGTCTGCAGCAAGCCGCCACCTGAGAGGGAGAACTCGGTCGAGTTGGGGAAGTACTTGCTGCGGGCCCAGGGCAGGCCGAATGTCGTACCGGCGGTGTAAGAGGGAGTGTCGCCGAGCCATTTGACGGTGGCGCTGTCGCTGGTGCTGTTGTCGAAGCGTTGCGCGCTGGCCGGGGCCATGAGGCCGGCGAGGGCAACGAGACCAAGAGCGAGCCGAGACATTCTTGGAAGAACAAAGAGTGAGGAACTCAAGACGTCTGACCGTGCACCGTCACAACACCTGCGAAAAGAAAGGCGGCGACGGTGCTGTTCTAATAAGAGGCGAAGACATCTTCGGTACAACGAAAAGCGAAATCAAATGTCATCAAGTCGACCGCGCGATCCGCCGAGTCTTGGCTCGCAGCACAGCCTGTGGATGGCATCATCCGGCGCGATGATCTCGAGTCGTGGGAATGGACGGATGAATGCCTCCAGACTTGGCCCGACGCGATCTCAGCGCGCATGATGCCATCCGTTCGCTCCATCTTTCTCGGACAGTCGCCCGCAATCGAGGGGGATGCTACGTTGCTGGTGGCCGCTAGATCTGCAAGTTAGATGAGGCCAAGGAACTCCCCTCTTTCTTTCGACTCGGGTTACGGAGCGTCATACCTGCAAGAGAGTAAAAGAGCCATATGAAGCTCTGTGCCGATCTAGCTTCAAAGAGCTGCAAAAGGGAAGGGGAAGCCCTCAACTTCGGTGCAATTGCACCGATGGCGGAGGAAGGGAACCGGGGAAAGGGTCCAGCTTTGAGATGTCCAGGGGGTTTTGTCACCTCCCAGACGGGGCAATTGGGCCGGGATGCAGGTCCCGCACATGTTCCACCGAGAGACCGAAGAAATCCAAGACTTTTGCCCAAGGATTTCCAACTGCGATCCAATGGGGAAGAGCCGAGAAGGATGCGGGGTAAACGGCTTCTGGTGCTTGATGGTGAAAGAGGTTGAAGAAGCGAGATTAGTCTTTTGAATATGCATATTCGCAAAGTGATGAATGCAGGGGGAGCTCGTTGTGGGAGGAAGCTAAGGTTATCGAGCTTTATTGCAACCTCGAGCACGCAATATTGTCATTTCATGTCGAATGGAGTAATTAAGACCGCTGTCAAGTTTTTCTAAAGCATATTCCCCTTCGAATCAGCAGCAACAAATGACTTACCAGGCCGCCGCAAGATTCGCGACCTGACGGTTACAAGGACATGGACGCAGGAACGTACCAGACTGCCGGAAAGAGACATGGGGCCGGAATGGCACCGAAATCGCCTTGAACTGCGCAAAGACCACATGAAGTTTCGTGATGCAGGCTTGTCTTTGGCTCATTGAAGCCATATTTTCAGACCGCCTCTTATCAAAGAAGGCATCTTCAATTTCGAAGAGCGGATTAGATTCCGCAGTTGTGATACAAGTTCATCACTTCATCTCCATCACATGCCTACTCCACGGCCTCTGCTACATTTTTCGCAGCACAGGCGGTTTCAGCCAAATCGCGACATCTAGAACCATTTTGTCGATATTTGAAGACAGCTTCAAGATCATTGATAGCTGTCCTATTGTCATCAATCGATGTTCACCGAGGCCCGGCCACCGAGACTCGCTGCATGTAGCCAACTAGCCATGCACTGCCGTCACGATCGGTTTGACCCGTCCGCCCATGCCGCGCCTTCGGCTTTCGGGATGACACCTTGATCTTTGCAGGGTAAGGCAAGGATACGATGATAAGAAATCGCGTGTTTATACCCCAGACCCATGGACAGTGATTTCAACACGGCGGACTGCTCGGAGCTGGTCTAGTCACACAGAAGGGGGACGGATCTCGGCTGGCTTTCGAGGTTTGCATGCGCCTTGAAGTTGTACATCAAATTAATCAAGACGATTATAACCTACCACATATTTTGCTTGAGGTAAAGAAAGGTAGGTCTAGCTGGGATGTTGGACCGTGAAACGAGATATTTGAGGCACATGGGCAAGAAGCAACTCATGAACCTAAGTGGGGACCACGAGGCCTACCCTATGGCCAATTGTCAAAGTTCTCGAACCTTGAGCAGTCCTCATATGTATTGTATTCTCCTATGAATGGACTCTGGTCCGTTGTCCACCACGTCGTATAGCCGGGAAAAAAGTCAAAGGATGGTCTGGGTACCAAAAGGGAATGGCATAGCCCAACTTATAGTTACGTTAGTTCCGCAAAGTACATGCGGATGAGCCTAGAGACCTTGAGCATAATTAATAGCTATTTACAGCAAAGTCAGAGATTTGGATAGGGCGTTATCGAGGGAGAAACTTGGTTCACAGATAGCTTTCAGCTCGCTTTCTTCAATAGCAGCTTTGACTCTAGAAGACCTCAATAACCTCGGTTTCGTGGTGTAGTTGGTTATCACGTCAGTCTAACACACTGAAGGTCTCCGGTTCAAGTCCGGGCGAAATCATTTCATTTTGCTTTTCGATGCAATTCATCTCACGATGTCAATTCTATTATTTTTTCATGTTTCTGGAGCAATTCCAGATGTCGTTGGGGAAATTCCTTTCAAAGTTCAGCCACCCGCGAGTTAGACTCTTGTCGGTTTTTGTTGGAGTCAACGCTCGACAAGCCACTTCCGTGCCACACCATCCGGATGCTTAGGGTTGGAGAAAATCGTAATGGTTAAGCTATTAATTTCGTATTGCTAACTCAATCGACAAAGTAGGTTCCCTTGCAATTGATCCGCGCTCGTATTTTCCTGGACAAAAACAAATCCCTGTGATTTTACGCCCCTCGTCCTCATACTGTCGTCTTCTTCGCATCATCGCCGCCCTCAGCTGTTTCCAGCTGGCCTGTCGCAGCCGCTGCTTGTGCGACCTCGCTGCCAGCTGCCTCAGCTTCCGGGGCCGATTGACCCTCAACCTTTCCATCGTCAATGACCACCGCTTCGGACTCCTTGTCGCTCTCAACCTTTGCATCTTCCTTCGTATCGGCAGCCGGCGCCTGGGACGGTGTCGACTTTCTGAAGATGTTTACGCTCGGCAGAGACCAGCCCTTCTTCTTGCCGTCGTCGGCGGCCGGCTCGGCAGGCTGAGACTCGAGTTGACCGGTGGCTGCTGCCGCTTGGGCAGTCTCGTTGCCGACAGTGTCGCTTGCAGTCTCTTGATCTTCCTTCTTATTGTCGGCGACGGCCGTTTCTGGCTTTGCAACATCACCTTGTGTCTTGGCGACATTCCCGGCGGCGTCGGTAGCCTTCTCGGCCTCTAACTTCTCTCCGTCAGCCGGTGCCTGTGAGGGTGTCGACTTTCTGAAGATGTTGACGCTCGGAAGCGATGCCTGGCCCAAAGAAGAAACAGAGGTGGGAACTTTGGGCATATTCGGCATGTTGGGCATTGCGGGCATGCCCGGCATACCTGGCATACTGGGCATACCGGGAAGCCATCCCTTGACGCCTGTGCCTGTCGACTGCGCGATGCGGAAGAGGTGCTGCATGTACGTCCGCTTCTCCTCGTTGGTCATATTTTCCGGGTTGATATCGCCCACCAAATCTCCCTCGCCGTCGGCGGGGAGTGGCACAAGCGAGGCGGCGGCGGCGATGTCGATTGGTGACTCGTCGGGCATCTCGTCATCCGTCGACTTTGACGCCTCCTTCTCGTCGATTTTTTCGTCAAGCTTCTCGTCCGACTTTGCTTCCGGTGCTTCGGTGTTCGAAATAGCTTTCTCTAACGTTTCCTCAACCTCGGCATCCTCCGCAACTTCTTCGGGCGGCGTCTCGCGGAACTTTGCATCGTCGACGACCGGCTCCTCGCTCTTGAACCATTCAATCACCAGGTCGGCCGCCTGCTCCGTCATCTTCTCGTACCCCTTGTGCTTCGCAGGCTGGAACATGGCCATGTGCGCCGCCACCTCGTCGTCAACCTCTGGCAGAACCTGTCGCGAGAAGAGTGACGAAGCAGGATGACTCTCCTCCGGCACGGCACAGAAAGTCCGCTCGGGAACAAAGTAGCCACCCTGCCAGTACCCGTTCTCGCCCAGCGACGCATAAAAGTCGTGGATGCCGACGCCCTTGAGCGCACCCATCCGCTCGAGGCGGCGGTTGAGTTCCTTCTGCTTCATGAGCGCGCCGACAAAGGTGAAGTGGTCTGAGAGCCAGGCAAAGGATTGGCCAACGTTGCCGCGGTTGATATACGCCAGCCCCTGACCGAGAGCATCGACGCTCTGCTGGTATCCTTCCTTGACGGAGTTCTTGTTGAGGCCCTTGAGGCTCTTCATGATGGCCTCGCGGTTGACGTAGGCGGCGACGCCGCCAGCTGCGATGGCGCCCACAGTGCCTGTTCTCACGGCGACGAGCTGCCACGTCTTCCAGCCTGGGTTACGGGTGGCGGTAGTCGTCACGGCCGAGGTTGCGGCGCGGCGGGTTCCTAGGCGAGCGAGGGTGGAGGGTGCCGCGGCCGAGAGAGCCGTCATGACGTTGAAGACGCTGCTGACTTTTTGGTAGTTTGAGAAACCGCCGTAGACGAACATGGAGCGGGCGAGGCCGTTGTAGGGGGTGTCGAAGGTGAGGATGCCCTGGATGAGGGGGAAGATTGGGTCATCTTCTGACGGGTTGGACTGCGCCCGCTCGTTGATGGCTAGGAAGAGCGAATCTGCGGCGACGAATCCTCTAAGGTGTGTTAGCCTTGGATCACTTGAGCGTGCAGATTTGCGAGACTGCCTACCCCATAGAATGGGCGACGAGAACGACTCCGACTTCTCTGTCTTTTGGTGGCCAGGGTTTCTCTACGCTGGCCTTTCTTACATCCATGACCCTCTCCTTGAGCCTACATTGTGTTAGGTCACTTGGGGTGAACAGCTCCTGCGAGTGATAAGTAGACTGACCATGCGAGAAACGCCTCGGTGGCCTGCGCCAGCTCGCCTTTGGTCTCATACTGAGGGTACACGATGGACTCGACGCGATGATCCGGGAGTTGCTTAGTGACTGATCGCTTCAGGTCCTACATTATAAGCATCAGTATGGAAGAAATGGGCTCGCGGTATCGAAGTAGTCTCACATCTGGAAAGTCGTGAAACGTGTCTTCGTTCCCCTTGTGAAATTTGTACTTGTTAGCTGCTTGCTGTGCCGGCGCATCGATGGCTTGCTGTTGTTGTTGACTACTCACTTTGAAGCCATGGATGAAACACAGAAGCAGTGTCCGAGGCATGATGGTCTGATGATGTATTACCTTGTCTAGATACAGCAGCAGGAATTCAGGAAAGAATTAGGTATTTCGAATAGGTTAAATCTGACAGAAAGAGGGTAGAATAATGCTAGGTATTTCGTGGTAAAGGGTATCATGAAGGAGAACACATTCGTCGCAGCCAAGAAAAGACAGCCGGTGCTCAAGGAGTAATATCCCGCATCTTCCCTCCCCTCCCTCCATCCCTCCTTCTGCATTTCTCTTCCTCTCTTACACCACCAAGGCAGACGAATGAACCAACCAGACAGTCCATGCAGAGCAGTGACGATTGACTGAGCGGTTCGTGCATGTGCAACTGCCTTCCCTCCAGCCCAATTTGTTCCAGGTTTTTCCCAGCCACACCTTCTTCGCCTGCGATGCTGCGAAAGTTGCGTGGGCGCGTGGCGAGTGCGTCGCTGCTGTGAGCCAATGGCGCGGGGCGCAACTTCGGCCAAGACGTCACCGACGACGTCATGTTGCCGCACCTCGAACTTTTGGCGTCGGGGCCTCTCATCTCACTCTTCACTCACTCTTCACTCACAGCTCACTCACAGCTGACTCACACACTCACTTACACTCTGTGCCTCTCTCTCTCTCTCAGCCACTCACTCACAGTCTACTCACTCACATCACCCTCACAGCTTGGGTCTGGGCCTTCTCTCACCCACATCAACCCATTCATCCCAGTCCATGTCAACATCCAGACTGTCAAATCAAAACCATAGATACTCACCTGCCATATTCCGCAACGTGCGGCACGTCACATCAAAAGTCAAATAGATGAGCCCGATGCAGATCTGTAGAACTAGGTGCCCCGCAGGTGGGATTGGCTGATCCTCCTCCACGTGCGATCCAAGATCTTCAGCTCACGATCGCATCGATGCATGAACCCCCGGTCTGTCAAGTTGAAGGATTTCCAAGATTTGCTCGCATGGATCTTTTGATGGGTTCCAAAAATCTGGTTCTGATATGATCCATCCTACAATCTCGCCCCCATCACTACCATCCCACACCCACCGTCCCTCACTTCGCTGCCGTGGTCTTATTGTTCAAGTACCCAAACGACAACGTCGGATCAAACTTGCCAATCACCGTCTCGTTCGCCGCAGAGCCATAATCCCACACGGTATAAAAGTTCCTCAACAACGGCGTCCCAATCAACACGAACCCAGACTGCGCACCATCCTCAAACGGAGGCCAGCACGCGTCATCCCGGTACGCAAACCCTGGCCGCGCCAACTGGTCGCCCGGGATCTCAATCGTCTGCGGGTACCGGTAGTCACCGAAAGTAAACTTGAAAGACCACGACGAGTTGAATTCGCTGCAGAGCGGGATGTGCTCGCCCTTGAGGATCTTTGTGTAGTTCATGCCGATGGACTCGTACACGGCTAGGTTCTGCTTCGTCGGGAGGGTGATGGACCCCGCGCCCGTGTCGAAGACGACGCGCGCCTGGTCGAAATTCGTCTCCGTCTCGATGACGCTGCCGTTGCTCGTCGTCCGTGTGCCGTTGACCTTGAGTATCGTAGACCGCCAGACATCGTAGGTGCCGTCCACGCGGGTGATGGGAATCGTAACGAGGTCGCCCTCGACGTACTCATCCTCGCGGGAGCCACCGATCGTCAGGACGCCGTCGCCGGGCACGCCGCTCGTGTTCTTAGCCTCGGTGCCGTAGTAGATTCCAAACTTGGCCGCGTCGAGGCGGTTCTCCGCCATGAGGGTCTCGACTACAGTGTTTGCGCCGCCGTCTATGATGGAGCTGAAGCCAAGGCCCATGAAGCCGTCGGCGGCGAGCGCGGCCCAGTTGCTCTCGTTCGCGGCGATGAAGGACTGGTCCCAGGTGAAGTTGCCGACGGTCCATTTCTCGGCGACCGTGGGGCCGGCGACGTCGCCTCCGAGGTAGGGGATCACGGCGCTTTCGCCGGTGTAGTGCCCGCTGGTTGAGGCGTTGATGCTGTAGCCCGTCCGATCATATCTGCCGTCCCATGTATTAGTGACCCTGAAGGGGTCATCTTGCTCAGGGGATTTGGTTCGAGAGACGCACCCGCTACCGTTGTTGCAGTTTCCCTTGGCGAGGCACTGGCTGTCGGTCGCCCACGAAGAGGAGCTTCCCGTATCGAAGAGGAGACGGAATGTCTTGGCTGGGGTTCCGATGCCGAACTCGACAACTTTCTGTGATGCATGTGTTACTACGTATTCTCGTTATCAAAGACTGCAGATGAAACTCACGTAGCCATTGTCGACAATAATGCCCAGATCAAGCACAGCCGCAGTCGCAACTGACGCGACCGCCGCCGCGGAGAACAAACGAGTGACGGGCGACATGGTATTAATGACCTCAAAACTGACGTATTCAAACGATTGGCAGGACGTACAGCGAGAAAGAGGAGCAAGAGATCAGATGAACGGGCCGACGGGATGGGCGTAGCATCTTTAACCATCTTTAACAGCAGAGCTTATTTACGTGATGTGCCCATCGTCCTGCATTATGGCGATCATATGCAACCTCGTAAAAGGCGGATGCTGCAGGGAGTCTCAGTGGGGAAGGTCAATCTCGACAATGCCGGGTTTCCCTCCATAATCAAAGTTGTCAACCCGCCCCACGCCCATCTCTGTGCCGGACAAGTCGACAACCCGCTCGCCGTGGGGCGACCTGCTGCTATTTTCGATCATTTAGTCGTGTTGCTCCGCCTTCCGCCGTTAATCTAGTTCCCCGGCGCCGTTGAACGGGGCGGCGTGGCTGCTAGTTAGCAGTTGATCTACTGTAGCCGTGTCGTAGAGGCCGAGGTGTGGTGCAAGTACGAGGAGATCGGCAGCTGAGCCGAATACGGCGAGACACTTGTTAGAGTCTTGATCTGCTCCGTATCTTCGAAGTTGATCTTGTTGTCCTTCTTCAGCCCTACCTCTGCTGGTCAACCGCCTGGCTTCAGTTGGGGGGCTGATCCGAGAAGCTCCTGACCCGAAGCCGTAGTTCATCCCGTTTGTGTACGACTTAAATTGGGTAATTACACTTGTACTCGTCCCATGGCAGCCCCTGTCATGCATCTGTTCACTCTGTTAACCTTTGCAGCCCATTTATTTGGCTCTTCCAAGGTCCAATGCCCCGAGCAAGGCGATTCATTAGCGAGTGCGAGTGCAACCTACCAAACTCGGGACACGATGATCACTAAATGAATGTCTCTGTGACCGCGCGGCTTCTGAACGCTCTTTCAATGAAATCCTCTTTTCCTAGTCTGATATTAGACCTTTATGTACACCAAATTTGAACATATTCACTGTGTCTTCACAACAACCTCAACCCCCTCAAGACCCGCACCGGAAGCCGTGACGGTGATATCTCCAGCAACACCTTCCTCAGACCTCACGATAGCCAACACAAGACCACTGTACGCCTTGCGGACCAACGATGGGAACGCAACCAAGTCCGCCGGATCACCGTTATCGGTCGCCACAATCTCACCAGGTCCGCTCACGGAAAAGGTAATCTCATCGTCCGCGAACCTCACCGCGTCGCCATTCGCATCCAGCACCTCGACAGTAACAAACGACAAGTCCACGCCGTCGGCCTTGATCATCGTACGATCCGCAGACCCGCGAAGCTTCGCCGACACACCGACGGTCCGCACCGTCGTCTCGGCCCACTCCGCGCCGTCTTTATACGTCGCGACCCGGATCTCACCCGGCTCATACACGACGTCGTCCCATCGAAATCGGTACGTCAGCTCCGCGCGCGTCTGTCTGCCTTGCGAGGCCCCATTCACAAACAACTCGGCTTCGTCCGCCGACGTGAACACATGCACGGGGGTGACCTCGCCGACGCGGTCCTCGGGCCAGTTCCAGTGCGGCAGGACATGTGCAAACTTGACATCAGGCCTCCAGCGCGCCTGATACAAGAAGAAGCGGTCCTTCTTGAAGCCCGCGAGATCGATGATGCCCGAGTACGAGCTGCGCGCCGTGTAGTACGGCGTCGGCTCGCCGAGGTAATCCCAGCCTGTCCAGACAAACTCGCCCGCCACAAACGGGTGCGTGTCCTGCGCCTTGAAGACCTTGTCGGGCGAGGAGCCAAAGTTGGCAGAGTAGAGCTCGTACGCGCTGACCTGCTGCGAGGTGGAGTTCCCGCCCGACGTGTCGTTGACGGGAGCGCCCGTGTCGCCGGTCACGGGGAACATGTAGGTCCCGCGCGTGCTCAGCGCCGAGGCCGTCTCGCTGCTGAGGATCATCTTGTCCGGGAAGGCCTCGTGGAAGTCGGCATACAAGGGGTGCGTTCTCACGCCCGGGAGGAAGGAGTAGTTTGGTGTGTCGCGGATGCCTTCGCCCTGGTAGTTTAAGCTGAGGACGTCCATGGCGGTGGGGAAGGACATGTTTGGCTTGGCAAAGTTCATGGAGGCGGTGGAGGGCCGGGTGGGATCTTCTTCGCCCACGATGCCGTGCAGCTCGAGCGCGGGGACGGTACCGGGGTCGCCGATCTGCTGCTCCGAGACCTCGTTGCCGAAACTCCACATGATAACGGAGGCGTGATTGCGATCGCGGCGCATCATTGCGCGCAGATCGGCCTCGTGCCAGTCCTCGAAGATGAGGTGGAAGTCGTTCGCCGTCTTGTTGCGGTACCACGAGTCAAACACCTCGTCCATGACCAGGAACCCGCGGCTGTCTGTGAGCTCGAGGAGTTCGGGCGCTGGAGGGTTGTGAGACATGCGGATCGCGTTGCAGCCGAGCTCCTCGAGAACCTCGAGCTGGCGCTCGGCGGCACGGGTGTTGAAGGCTGCGCCAATGGCGCCGAGGTCGTGGTGGTTGTTTACGCCTTGGATGAGGACGTGTTCGCCGTTGACGAGGGGGCCGCGGTTCGCGTCGTAGGTCACGGTGCGGATGCCGAAGCGAGTTTCGTAGGCATCGACGACGGCGCCGGCGACGGTGACTGTCGTGACGGCGACGTAGCGGTTCGGTTTCTGGGTCGGGGGTGGGCCCCAGAGGAGGGGGGATGTGACGGTCGTTGAGCCGTTGACCTGTGCTTTGCTGCCAGCCGTGACGGAGGTTGATGAGCTGGGGAACTCGGCTACCTTGGCTCCCGGCTTGTCTGTTGAAGCGTCGAGGAGGTGGATTTCGGTCGAGATTTCGACGTCCTGGTCAGAATCGCCCTTGTTCTCGACCTCAACTACCAAGTCTACGGTAGCAGACTCGGAAGAGACGTCCTTTGTGACGATGTAGGTTCCCCATTGCGCAACGTGGACCGGGCTGACCTTGGTCAACCACACGTTGCGGTAGATGCCACCCCCAGGATACCAGCGTGCCGAGTCTGGAGGATTGTCAAGTCGGATGGCGAGAATGTTGTCTTGTCCTGTCTTGAGGTGCGCCGTGAGATCGAGGCGGAACGAGTTGTACGGGTAAGGCCAGCCACCGACCAGGTAGCCATTCAGCCAAACCATCGCATAAGACATGGCACCATCCACATCGAGGAAGATGGACTTGCCCTCATCCTCGGGAGTGATCGTCAACGAGCGACGATACCAACCCACGCCGTGCACAGGCAAGCGGCCCATTCCACCACCAATGATGGGATTCTCCTCGGTATAGAACGGGCCCGCGATAGCCCAGTCGTGAGGCAGATTGACACTCTCCCACGAGGCATCGTCAAAGCTCGCCGATGCATACGACACATTCCGCGAGGGCTCGCTGCCGGGGCGCTCGTAGTGCTTAGCCGGGTCGTTGATGAAGTCGTTGGCTGACGGCAGAATCCACGGCTTCAGCGCAAAGGTGTCGGTGAGGTTCACGAGATCGGGGCGTTGGTCGTAAATGAGGCCGTCCGGGTTGAACTCTGAGCGCCAGAAGCGCCATCCCTTATTGATGCTCACGCGCTCACGTCCGCCAGTGATCGGCGTGGACGAGTTCTGACGCGGCTGGATGGTGAGGGCATTCGCGGGGCCGAGGATGAGCAGCAGCAGGCTCAATAGAGTCAGCCCGAAGGCTCGCGTCGGCAACGAGGACCGCCGTGAAGTCTTCATCATCTTGAAGAGTGATTCTGAAGTGACTGTGACCTTACGATACCACCATGACGCGCCCTACCGTAGAGTCTTATATGGCGGGTCGTGATGTGGTCTCCAACGTTTGTATCCCATCGGACCAAGCTAGGAAACTTTTCCTTGACGTACTTCCGCCCCATTATTCGGCGACGGATTCCTAAAAGACTCCACGAAGAGACCGCGAAACCCTCGCACCGGTCCATCGTCCCTCGGCTTTCCTTGACTATTGTTGATGGGGAATCACCGAACCATGGGGTCCAATTTCGGGTGAAAAGCCTCCAGGGCCTCCGCACCCCGCGTTTCTCCGCACGGTAGTACGACGGTACAGGGGTCCGGGGCGCTCATCGACGGCAATTCCACGATGCATTTAGCCTGAATTTCTGCTTGGATGTGGTCATTGGGCCGCCTGTGACCGCCAAGAGGGGGCCGAGGGGGGATATTTCTTGGAGTTGGCTGATCCCCTAGGCAAAAGTTAGTTAAGAAGCTCATGGGGAGTTGGGGATCGCCTCTGTAGCCAGTGTTAAATCCCCCACCTTCCGGTCATGACGGAGTCATGGCATTCTTGCGTGCTGATTTTGCCGGTAGAATACTTCCTCGCGTGATATGAGGAAGGATTTTATGTTCCCACCATGTCGGTTCGATTGAGCAATAAACTAAGGTACAGCGATAGGCAATGCTAAGCACTCAATGCATCCTTCAGTGTGCGGCTATGCGTACAGACTATTCCTGAAAGTTCATCCGCAGCTTAAACTCCCTGTAGTGCTTTGGTACGGCATAAGAGTCTCTACAACTCTGTCAAAGTCGTTGCGAGGGCATCATCTAATTGATTTCGTAGGCGCGCACAATATTTTTGAGCAGATACGAGATACCGGAATCAGGAGAATTTGCACGTTATTCAGGGCACCTAGACCTGTCCCAAAATCTCACATCATGCACATGTAACATCGACTGGGGCTTATCATCAGGCTCCGTCCTGACTTCAATTGTGATGGACGTAAGACTGCATTGACCTGTGCATCAAATGCCCCATTCTCGCCATTCTAAATGTTTGACTCAGAGCGTCGCGAGATTTTGGAGCGGAAAGACCGGTCACTATGGTCTCCAGGAGATGGACACATCGCGTACTTGGAAGCGTGGGAGGACGGTATGATCTCAACTTCCTCTTTGCGCCACGCTGAAGAGCAGAAACCATGCTGATTAGACACTATTCGAAAGGCGATTTTGAAGAGGTGCCGATTCTTGCTGGGCCTCTGGAAGACTTCGAAGTTGATGATTGGCTTCGTCAAAGGGGCAAATTTTCACCCGCAGGTCGACAGTCCCGTCCAAGGGCACAAGTCCGTGTACTGCTATGCGAACGCCTAGGATTTCGACCTCTGGAGTTCGCTATGAGCCGTAAATCTTTTCTGTCGGTTGAACACGCCATTGGACTGCCCTCTGTGTCTCTACCGATATTGGAGGGGAACACAGGAACCCAACACGCTCATCTGAAATACAAAAAAGACTTGAGCGGTCGGTCGTTAACCTCGCTCGAGGCATTAGGTACGGGCAATGTAACAACATTTCTAGTACATGCGAGTGATCAATTGATAACGTACTGCTCCAGTCCTAACAATAAAGCAGCCTCAGATGTTCCAGCTTGGAAATCTAGGCATGGCGATGTCCCACCATTTTGAGACCCGCACAACTCTTGCCTTCATTCACGGCTGGGACATTTTCTCCAACAAGTTAAAATTCACCAAGAAACCAATTGCACCTCACATTGAAGCTATTCAGGAGATACTAAAGTCATCACGGAGACTCCTGTCTCATCCCCTACTTCTCCCCACCTTGTTCCTCCGACGGCATTTGACCAGAGCAGAGGACATGAGAAGGCAGCTGAGCTCTATGACAGCGGAAATTGAAAAGGCTATCGGGGTCACCCAGACAGCTCGGCTTTCCGGGAGAACCGTCCAGGATCAACGCATTGTGGAAGAAGTGAAGGCTATGGTCTTAGGCGAGAAGCCGAGGATTCACACGACCGCACGGATTAGCACCACGGCCACTGATGTAATCAATATGAAGGGGACTCTCGAGTGGGACGAAGAATACGTCAAGTTTCTCCGCCGTGTCAATGACGATGTGAAAGCTCACCGTCCTGAGGTGCATATGCCCCCTGGGGCAGATCTGCAGCTATGTGGCTTCATCGACCTTCTGGAGCGAGATGCACAATCTATCTCATCATATGCAACCAGGATGCAGTCCAGGCTGGAACTTCAATTCAACGTGGTGAGAAATTTCGAAAGACATCGATGCAGTGGGGATCAAGAGTGAAGTCATCCATCATCGCTAACGTTTGACGCACGTCAGCTCTACAATCTCATCGCCCAAGCCGGAAACAGCCTCAATATGCAGCAATCAACACAGGCCGGGCAAGTCGCAGCGCAAGCCGGAATGGACAGCACAGCTATGAAGACAATGGCAGTGGTGACGATGGTTTTTCTTCCTCCAACCTTTGTAGCCGTAAGTCTTACCATCTCGTTGGATCGCCTTTGGTCTTGACTCTTGAGGTGCCCAGCACTGCTGGCACATACATGTATTCACGAAGCATCGCTGACCAGTTTTCTCGACAGACAATTTTTAGCATGTCCTTTTTCAACTGGCAAGCTTCATCGTCAAGCGGCGATGGCGGCGGTGCCGAGCCCACCATTGTGCCACAGTTTTGGATCTATTGGGCTGTCAGCTTGCCCTTGACCATCGCCATCGTGATTGGCTGGCGAGTGTGGTGGCATTTCCAGAAGGCTTACTATGAGTTCAAGTTCCTGAGACCAGAGGAGCATGTAGCCTATGAAGACAGGAGCCGTGGTAAGAGCCGTGATAGAAGCCGGGAGAGGAGCCGCGACAGGACTCATGACCCGAGGCGACGGCGGTCACAGTATCAAGTATGACGATTCATACTTGCTATCTGGGCACTTGGAGGAATGTGCTTTCTTATTAAAGTCTTTTTTTCTATAGTCGGAAGCGCGCATTCGTACTCGTATAATCCGTTGAGTCACGCTTAACACTCTTATGTTTGGGTGGCAGAAGCACTTGGCACCCATGGCGTGCTCTCAAGCACGCTATATCTGAGATACGCCCGATACGCCGGATTAGTTTCTGCTGTGCCCTATGATCATCGACGATATCTTTACGATTTCGTTACAGGTTTTGATAAATTTGAATAGTAGATTATTCCCCAGCTTTTCTTGAAAGAATACCTACTAGCTTCTGAGTTCCGGCTTGAATCCTCTCCACCTCGGCCTCGGCTTGCTTGTACTTACAGTTTGACCGAGACCATCTGCCAATGTGGGGCCCATCCGACGTCGATACCGGGGACCGGATCGAGAGCCGAGTTGAGTCACGTACCAAAGTTCCTTTCGTAGATAGCAAATACAGATATAACATGGCTAGTCTTTCTCTTAGCCTGGCTGAGTTTTCACGATTCATACCATACTTTACTCATCGTCTTTCGTGAAACTCCAAAAGACAACGCCCTACTGTGGGACTTGTCATTCGAAAGGCGCAACTCCAAGCAATTTACACAATCTACCCACGCACTCAACCAATAACATCATCCCGATATACACGCCTCAACCATGGCCTCACCCAGCACAGAAATGCGGAATCGCCGCTGGACGAGAGACTCGTACCTCATCTCGACAGATGCATCTCTCGTCTCCGTCACACAACTCAACGCTGCATTCGCGTCGGAAGCCGTCTACTGGACCAAAGCCATACCGGGGTCCTTCGTGAGAGAAATGCTGGAAAACTCACTCTGCTTCGGCCTCTACGACACCACCACTTCTCAAAAAGAATCCAGCAGCAGCAGCGGCACCGAGTCGAAGGAGTACCATCAATTGATCGGTTTCGCGCGTGTCGTCACCGACTTTGTATCCTTTGCCTACACCACGGACGTGTGGGTTGACCCCACGCTCCAAGGCAAAGGCTTAGGAAGATGGCTCGTGGGATGCGTGCAGGAGGTGCTCGAGCCGATGCCGTACCTGAGGAAGAGCGTGTTGGCTACCGATAGCTGGGACAAGTCTGTGCCATTTTATGAGAAGATGATGAAGATGAGCGTGATTGGCGGGCAGCCGGGAGGCCAGGCGATCATGCAGATGAAGGGGAAGGGGGCGCCTGGGTACACTGGAAAGACCGACTAAAGGCTCACTATTGCAAGTTATAGACATTTGTATCCGGATTTAGATCTAGGTAGTTTCATGCACGCGCCGAGGATTTAGAAAAATAAGCTAGACGAGATCTCTGCGCAAGAACACTGTTCTTCGAATGAGCAAGTTGCCATCCGGATCCTTCTCTGGGAACCCGTAGAAGTTGTTGATGGTGTGGATCAGTTTATATCCTCTTCTTTCATACCATGCATGTGTCGGCGTCTACGTGAAACCATTATGTCAGTCGTCTACAACTCGCAACGATGCTAAATGAAGCAGAGTCAACTCACCGGCGGAAGTTTTCCCTGCGCCACAACCATGGACTCCTTTCTCAACTGGTCCTCCTTAGAGACCGTATCCAACATGAGCGTCCTTGCGCAGAGCGGCTCACTAGTGGCCATGCTCTCGACCAAGTCCATGGCGGCCCTGGCGATACCGCAGCTCTGCAGTGCGAATGACACGTAGAGGCTCTTGATCCAGTAGACGTTTTCCTTGGGGATCGGGAGATTGAGGGGCGCCGCGGCGGGGTTGTCGACGTCGAGAGAGATGTGGCCGACTGGGTGGAAGGACGCGCGTGTTGGGGTTCGCGGGGTTGCGCTGATGGATTCTGCTGTGTCTAGAATGGGGTTCTTCTCCTGTGGGACGAATGTGAGCATTGATGCACGCACGAGAGAAGGTTTGATGGGATTGGGATTGAGCTGACTTTGGGGTATTCGGCGATGTGCTTTGCCAGCCTTGCTTCTCGCTCAGGATCCTCATCTGCAAGTACCTGTGAGTGCGGTTAGTGGATGCACTGATGTGAAGCATGACGTTCAATATGGGGATCGAAAAGAGTTGCGCCAGTCTCAATGAATCGCTGTGTTTGGCAATTCGAATAGCACCCCCTTTGTGAAAGCAAAAACTTACAAGCCAGTAGATGCACTTGAATCCGGTTCGTTGGTTCTCCTGCCATTGCGGCACTAGGTCCGAAGCCCAGCCGCATGCTATTCTCTGATCTATCATTCTTGTGACGTGGTCTGGAGACTTGGGATCCCAAGGGATCAATTCGACTTTGGCTCTTGACATTGTGCTGACACTACCTCTTGCGCGCCCAATCAAAGTGGTGAACTGTCTTTTTGAAACCTTAGTCAAAGCCCGGTAGGAAGAACACAGGGAGTACTGTCGGTTTGAATGAGAGGATTGGGGTCCAGCTTTAAGTTAAGAAAGTGCACTTTGAAGGAATGTCGTGACGGTGAGTCATTAAGTAGTAAAATGTAGCCTAATTCCTCCCGGATTGTCAGACTCTCGCTCTCTGAAGATTATGTTCGGTTGGAGCCGGTCGGCGGGTCTGGAGAACGCCTAACTCACTCGGCCGGCTTCTTGGAACTTTCTTCGGCTTCGGTCACTAGAGACGGGGAACCAGGGAAGGATACTCGAGCCGACGCGTTACATTAGCGTTTGTGGGGCGCTCAATGACACCATCATCCCGCGCGGGTTATGGATGGACGGAGTAGAGAAAGACCGTGAGAAACAGCTCAACAGTACGCGTCGGGCGCTCGTAAATCGTTTTGGGATGGCCTTCAAGGCAGTCAGTCGGGCAGTGTAGCACTCAAATCGAGGGGTAAACTGGCTGGCTGCCCGCACCTAGAGGCTGGAAGTATCTTCAAGCATGACAATGTCACTGGTGCTTGCATGTATCAACGAACCCTTGCTTTCTTAGCGATTGACTTCATGTCAAAAACTTTGAAGACGCTTGTTAAGATGTGATTGATTATCTTGTAGGATCCATGTCGTTCCCCAATAAACAAAGTAGCCACGATTAAACGCCCCCTTCCATTCTATCCGGTCATGCAAATGTTATGCTAAAGTCTACTATGAAGGCATCACCCACGATCCGTTCGAGAACCACGTCCCGGCCTGTGTATAGTCTAGCGTCACACCGTCCTTCATGTACGCAAATCTAAAATACTCGGGAAGCACCATCTTGGCCTTCCTCAACCACACAAACTCGTTGTCGACGGGGCCATCGGCAAAATAATACCGGAACCGCTCGACGTCGTTGACTAGAGCGCTGATACCGTCAAACTCGTTGGCGATATTTGGCGGTACGAGCCAGCTGAAGGTCACACTGGGCTCAAAGGAGCCCGTGGAGAAGATTGGTTTCGCAATTTGCGGGAGTAGCGAGTTGAAGGGGCCGTCCTCGCGCAGCTCATCGGGTGTCTGGAGTACCGAGTCGAAACCCCATCGCGCGATGCCGTTGACGAAGAGGCCCAGCAGCATCCCCTGGTAGAACAGAGACGTCCGCGTCTGCATGCTGGTACCAGGGAGCAGACAGAATGCCATGATGTAGTGGTGCACGCGGAGGTCTACACCCGGAATTGAGACGCCGACGATGACGGCAGCTAGGAAAAGCGCATAGAGCACAAGAAACCGTGGTAGTCTCCCCTCAAGCCAGAAGAAGTAGACCTGCTTGGCCATCACAAAGGTCAGGATGATCAAGATAAGAGCCAGCGCGGGCTTGGCGCCAGGCTGATGCTCAATGTCGTGTGCCGTGAGGCGCTGGATCGGCATCCATCCAAAGGTATAGTTCGACAGCGCGCCGAACCAGAACCCTCCCAACCAGAGCGCCGTCTTCTCGAACTGCGCCCTCAGATCCGTGAGGGTTCGTCTGACACAGAGCCGGTAGAGCACGGCGGCGCAGAAGAGTGCAGGAAGCAAGCGACCCGTGAACTTAGAGATCCGATCCGGTAGGACGGAGGCAGCATGCCGCGATGCTGTGGGCGGATCGGAGCCGAAGCTGACGTGGGCGAAGATACCGACAAACGAGACGAAGAACTGCCACGCCGGGCTCGTCGTGAAGAGGGAGAAGATGGAGGTGAAGAACATGGATGTCGGTAGGAGAGCCTGGCGGGGGTCACGCTTGCCGCACTGAAGGGACGGGTCCGAAGTAAGGTTGTACGACAGCGGGAAGTACGAGTCAAACGGAACAGTCTCGACGCCGTGCTTGATCGTGCTGTTGAACCCTTCGTGCTGACCAACACGATGAAGACGACCACAACCTCCGCTCAGGTCCGTCACGATGCCTGCGTGGATCGCCGAGGCGCAGATCATGGAGTCGCCGCGGTAGATCTCGTCGCCTACGACCAGCGGCTGGTAGACGATCTCCCGGTCACCGACCGCGTGGGGATTCAACAACTTGTGAGCCATGCAGTTTGCCGGGCACCTGAAAGAAAAGGAAGAGTTTGTGAAGGGCCGGCAGTCAGCGCCGTCAAGCCCGCACCCATTCTTGAAGCGCCAGAGGGTATCGCCGCAGTCCAGGTTGATGGCGTCCCTACCGAGCTCATCCCTGATCGCTCGGGACGACGCGAGTGGAATGGAGAAGGCGACGGCCCACAGCGCCAGGAACAAGGCAACGACGACGGCCTTCCGGCGCGGCGTCGGCGCCACGAGGTCCAGCAGACGCGGCGGCGCTTCCTGGACGGCAGGCAGGACAGGCCGGATGGTGTGTACGCGCGGCGGCTGGGGCCCGGCGATGCAGTGCCGCTTGTGGGGGACGTGAGGGCCGAACTTTTGCTGCGAGAGCAGCGAGGGCGTGCTGGATGTGCTCTCCTCGAGCTCGTAGCCTTCTTCTCCTTCGGCTAGGAACTGGGCCTCCTCGTCGGCGCTCCGGCGCGACGACGCGTCATAGTCGTCGTCCATGTCCTTGAACGGGCGGTCCACGACGCGGGGACCATCGCCGGCGCCCATTCTGTCTTCAACCTTCACCGATCCCTCCCTTAGCCCTCTCGCCTCGTTTTCCTCTCTCACCTCCTAGCGCGTGTTCTCTCTCAGATTAGGCGTTTGCCGAGTCAGTTTATGAGTAAGTACATATGAGTACGCATGCGTGATTGAGTGAGTGAGTAGAGTAAAAGGGTCCAAATTGAAAATCGACCAAGAGTTGCTGACAGATGACGAGTGAGGAAAAGCAAGGCTGTGTTCTTACCCTCTCAGCTCTCAGGGGGTGGGAAGATCCCGACAGGCAGCAAAGAAACAAAGGAAGAAAAAGTGACGGCCGGCGCTTAACGGAGGCGACGTGGTCGAACTTTAGACTTTCAAGAGCCACAAAGAGAACAAGGCCGCCATCAACGAACGCCTCCCAAATCATAAAATGGGACACCCAAAAGCCTCAAAAGGAGCTCTTCAAGGGTGGAAATTAGTACGGTGATCGGAAGGATCGGAGGGGCGCGCTACGCTCAGGAGGGGAGCCGCCGTGTTTGCTGTCCCCCCAAATGCCACGCTTCTCCAGTCCTTCGCCCTCGCTCTGCCGCTCTTCCAGTCCTTTGCCTCCTCTGCGACACGAGCGTCAAAGCTTCTTTTTCTCTCGAGGGAGACGAGACGCCAAACTGAGACAAACAGTGGAGATGTTTCCAGGGATCTGCTGCGGTCAATCGGCGCCGTCGGGGTGCGCTTCCTTTCGCTCCCCTGCTGCCATGTTTTTGTCTGGACCACTAGGATTCCATCCTTTGATAAGCGAACAACTGTCAAGTCCTAGACTCTTTTGACTGGTTCACAAGACTCTTGAAGAATTGAAGATGACTCTCAAGTCTTCAAAGGACAGGAGGAGAAAGCTTTGCAATCGTTTTCGGTTGGGGTTTCCGAAGCCAGCGACCTGAATCTGGCTTACTCAATCTGAAACTAACAAGGGGCGCCTTGGCCAGGGTCTCACAGGGCAAATTTTAGCTCAAGATGAGACTAATATAGCTATTGATACGAATCGGCGGTGAGTCGGGGTGAAGAAAATCAAATCAAAGCAAAGCAAACGAGGACAAATCTCGGACTAAGAACCCAAAAGTCGCCCTCATCTGGGCAACTTTCAGAGTGACACTAACCACGAATGTGAAAACCGAGCCTCACTTCAGCGGCTGAAGAAGCCTCAAACCAAAAGAACGGATGGCCCCGAAGCACCAACGGAGCGTTGCTACCGTGGCTTCTAGCGTGCGGTCCAGCAAAGTCAAATCTCCAAATGACATCAATTGACTTTGAGTCTGCATCACACTTTCTATGAGTGACAGAACCACTTGGTCGAGGAGAAAATTGGTATGATGCAGCACACAGTCATTCCTTAGAGTTGGAACACTTTCACATGGTCACGGGTACACATCCCGCGTCTCTGGGAGATATTAATGTGAAAGTCCTCTCAGGTTCAGTCAGTTCTAGCTAACGCTGCTTCACAATTATGGCATCAAAAATCTAGGGGCTTGGTCAACTGCTTCTACGAGGCGGCGTGGTAGCTAGCTAAAGGGACTCATGTCGCGCGCTCAACTTCATTACTAATATTCATCCGGTCGAAAGACCGTGTTCCCGATAATACCTCCTCTACGACTCTACTCAGATGTCACAAGTGTACTCCATCGTCAGATCAACCCGGGGAACCCCCCCAAACCCAGCAGGAACCGCGTACGACACGTTATAATACCAGTGGTTCCTCAACTGCTGCCCATAGGAAATCGGCAACTTGTCCAACCCTGGGGCCGAAACATTGACGCTCAGGCACGGCAGCTCTTCCAATCCGGTAATCGTCTTCCCGCCCAGCGTCCACGAAGGCGGAATCCCAGATAGCGCAAACGTGAAAATATCAGACCCTTCCTGCGTGCTATTCGGATATGACACGCTGAGTGACCCCTCGCCCGCCACGGCCGAGATGGTCGACGCCGAAGGGTACAGCAGGAAGAAGCCAATGTACGGGTACGGCGTGTGCGACGGGTCCGAAGCCCAGTGCACGATCGCCGGCACGAACTGATCCCCGCGGTTCTTAGTCTCCGCGAGCTCCTGTCCACCGATCATGAGCGGCGCGCTAACCCACGATGTCGTCGTGCGCGTGGCGTCCGAATCCAGTTTCTCCTTGACCTCGCGCGTGATGCTGCGCTCGCCTGCCCAGGGGCCCTTCGCCTTGAGCGCCGCCGCTGTGCTGTTGGAGATGTGCCGGGCCACTGTGTCGGAAACCAGCGCAATCGCCGCGCCCTGCGCTGCATCGAACAGCAAATCGCCCTCGCCCTTGGGCGGCTGGGGCCCGTACTCGCGCCCGAAGACGGCCCACCAGTACATGGGCAGAATGGATGAGTGCTTGGTCATGTCGCGGGTGTAAGCGCGGTCATAGGGGCCGACGAGGTTGCCGAGGTAGGGGTTATAGTGCGCTGCAATGTCATCCCACAGCTTCGTCAGGATGTACTCAGCGTTCTTCGTCAGGGTCGCGTTACGCGGTCCGTAGGCGATGTTGGCCGCCAGGGCCCAGACGTCCATGCCGTAGTAATTTGGCGCGTTGTACTCGCCAAGGGTATTTGAGCCGTTAGACTTGAAGAGCTCCAGCAGCTGAGACCCTTGGGTGTTTGCGAAGTTGGTAAAGGTCGCGTTGTTGCGGCGGGCGCCGATCCAGCCTACTGTGAGGGCACGCATGAGGCCCGGGTTGGAGTATCCCAGAATGAGGTTATCGCCTTCGGGGTAGCTACCGTTGCGCCTCATTGCGCCAATGGCCTGGATCTCGAGCGCATCTTCGATTTTCTTGACGAGGTCTGCGCCCAAGAGGTCGGAGTAAAGTTCGACGTCTTGCACTAGTTGAGTCCTGGATCGTGTTAGTATCATTGGATCCTTGTACGTCCTCGAACCCTTCCAAATAATGCGATGACGTTGAACTCCTTCAATGTTTCCAAGTACTCACCCTATGAATTCTCTCCAGTTTGGGTCGTAAGTAGTCTAGATCTGTGGTCAGCGGACTGCGTCTGCGTTGGCAACCACCTCTTGTGCACTTAGACGATGCTCACATAGATCTTGGGAGGGTACAGCTCAGAGTCAGGCGTCGGATCCGGCTCATCGGGCGACAGCTTGAACGTGCCATACCACGCCGATTCGTAGTCCGAGGTCATCTGGCTCGCCAAACTGCATCGAAGACCACAAATCAGCACTCTCGACCACATTTAAACTCCTCATCCGACCAACTGACATGTTCTCAATCGCCGCCTTTGCGTTCTCCACGTCGTTGCCCTCGTTGCGATGGAGCAGACCCGCCGTGTACCAAGCCGTGAAGCGGACGGACCACGGACCCTTGTCTTGGTACCAAATAAGGTTGTACGAGTCGTCCCATCTGGAGTCCTGGACCCCCATAGAGAAGTCGAATAGACTTTGGGCATCTAGACAGTAGTGTAAGTCAATCTGGACTACCTACTTGACATCCTAGGATTCTCCTATGTCTCTGGCGTTTACTTACTTGCGGAAAGCTTTGGCTTGCTGGTCGCGGCGGACCCTAGCGTTGCGCCAGAGGCCACAAGCGAAGCGACTGCTAACTTGAAATGCATGGTGCTTGTAGGAATGCGACGAGAAGTAATGAGCAAAGCCGGGAAACACTTTCTAGCCTGACGTATCCATCTCCCTGCCGTCTCATGCCAGCTACTATATACCAAAAGTGACCCTCAGCAATCACATAGTGGATATCACAGCAAGTCCATAAGGGAATCGATCAATTATTCCGTTCACACGCGAGCATTGCTAACATCCTTAGCCGGGGGTAGATCACCATCCACCAAGACATACCATCATCAACCCCTCACGCCAACCTCACTCAGGCTTCCTCGACCGAACTGCTCCTAGCCTCCCTGGCCTCTCTACAGGTCCGCCAATCACAGATACGAATTCCAGCTCTACAAGCCCCGGTCCGAACCGGGCCGGAACCGGTGGACCATCACCGTACCCCGGGCGAGGTTACATACCCCAACTTTGGTCTTAGTGAGCTGCGCTTGGGCGGGGTCTAGGTAAACGGGTTTGCGGGGTGTAATCCAAGAACCACGCGTTGGTCTCGGGTATGGCACCACGAGAGAGCCGGGGATAAACGTCGGGAAGATCACAGAGGCTGCTGGGGCAAAACCGATAGCCAGTGCTTATATAGCTACGTGACACGATAGTGAAGGACCTAGTCTCCGAGAGGATGGTACAGCCTCCACTTCTCCAGAGGTCATGTTACCAGCGGCATATCTGTCGTCGCTCCTGATTCGGACGCATTTCGCCCGAGTATCTCGCCAGTGGCTGATAGGCGCAGCCTACCCGAGCCCATGGATCCTTTGAGGAAACCCCGCCGATATCTCCTGATCTCCCCTCGGGGGCCCCTATCAGTAGGTTGAGGTTTACACGACCCCAACAATTTCTACTCTGTGAGATGCCCTACGTGACTCCGGCCCGGAGGTTGGCCGGACATGGTAACATCGAGGCTCCTGCTATCGGGAGCCGAGTGGGATACGAACGGATCGGGCCTGGCTTGTTGCTATCTCGGCGCTCGTAGCATAATAACGACGCCGTATCCCCCGTCCCTACGGGATCCTGCCGTGTCGACTGTCTTCGGAATGATAGTGAACGTCTCGTCCTTCAACCGCAGCAATGTCGCAAAACGCTGCCGCAACAACGGAGCCAGCTGGCGGTATTCCCGTCACTGTTGACGCTGCTATCGCAAACAAGAGAGGGGCATTCGCTTGGTTCTCAAATGCGGGAATCGTCAAGCTCAACTGTGTCATCGCGCTTTCGTTGGTTACGAGCTACGCAACTGGCTACGATGGCTCAATGATGAATGGCCTCCAATCTCTGGACACATGGCAAGAATCATTCAATAACCCTGGAGCTCAGGAGCTGGGACTGTGAGTCTTCTCATGCATCCACGCTGAGTCTGCCCTAACATCAAACAGACTGAACGCGATCCAAAACGTGGGCCAGCTCCTCGCACTCCCCTTCTGCGCCTGGTTCTGCGATCGCTTCGGACGCAAACCCGCGCTTCTAGTTAGCGCCTCCATCCTCCTCATCGGTGTCGCCCTTCAAGGCGCAGCCCAGAACGTCGCCATGTTCATCGTCGCTCGCGGTGTTCTCGGCTTCGGCCTCGCGCTCAATATCACCGCCGCGCCTCTTATGATCATGGAGCTCGCGTATCCGTCCCAGCGAGCGCCGCTAGTATCCATCTACAATTCTCTCTGGGGATTGGGAGCTTTGAGCGCCGCGTGGATTACCTTTGGTACATTTCGGATCGGGAACACGTGGGCTTGGAGGATCCCTTCGATCTTACAAGGACTTTCGAGCGTGGTGCAGCTCGGGTTGTGCTTCTTTATCGAAGAGTCTCCGAGATGGCTCATCTCAAAAGAGAGGGATGCGGAAGCCGAGAAGCTGTTGGTGAAGTACCACGCCAACGGCGATGCGTCTGACCTCATCGTCCCATTAGAGATGGAAGAGATCAGGACGGCACTGAGGTTAGAGGCGGAAGCATCGCGGACTACGTCGTACATGGCTTTCTTTCAGACACCAGGTAACCGGCGCCGCTTTTTCATCATTCTTTCTGTTGGTTTCTTCTCACAGTGGTAAGTCATACGCTTTGCTGCCTCACCTGTTCATCACCATCTAAGTCTATCTCGACAGGAGCGGCAACGGTCTGATTAGCTACTACCTGACCTTGATCCTCAACTCGATCGGGTATACCTCTCAAGACACGCAGACGCTAATAAACGCCCTCATCACTCTATGGGGATTATTCTGGGGCCTCCTCGCCTCCGTTCTCGTCAACCGTTTCCGTCGCCGAACGATGTTCCTCGCTTCGACTATCGGATCTCTCGTGTGCTACGTCATCTGGACAGCACTTCAGGCGACATATGAAAAGCAAACCGACCTCACTGGCGCAGGATCCCCGGGCCTCGCAAAGGGTGTCTTGGCCATGATCTTCTTGTACAACGTCACATTCACCGTGGGATGGGGTGCGCTCCAGGTCACCTACGTCGTGGAGATTCTGCCCTTCAACTTGCGTGCCAAAGGCTTGGTTCTGTACAACTTGTTCGTAGCGCTGGCGTTGATCTTCAACCAGTACGCCAACCCGATTGGCGTGACGAACTCAAAATGGAAGTACTATATCACATATGATGTGTGGCTGGCTTTTGAGGCTGTGGTGGTGTATTTCCTGTTTGTGGAAACAGGAAAGATGAGCCTGGAAGAGACTGCAGTCATTCTTGATGGCAACGAGGATAGACTGACGGAAGAGGTGGCTCGGAAGACGGAGAAACTTGCGTTGGAGACACATGCGCATGTTGTAGAGGACAATAACCATGAGTGAGCGGATCGGAGCCGCTGGAAGCAGTCACACACCTCGACAGGATGTCCATATATTCTCATCCATGCATACCTATTACTTGGGTTGCATAATACAGCGTGGATACCTTTAAGCGTTATTAATGAGAACTTGATCCTGAATGAATTAATCTGCACAAAACACAAGTTACTGAATCAAGATCCAGTTGCTATTCTGACTGAGTTGAACCTATATTCTACGGTGTTCAATGGTACTGAGGAATGTCCTTCGAAGGGACACCTGCACCGAATGCCGAGGCTTGGTTCATCGGCAATGATAATGATTTTTTCATTAATGCTCTGCGAAGGCGTGCCTAGAACTATCTCATCCACGTGCCGCTGGGCTGCCACGAGACGGATATCATTCACACCTTTTTTTGAACCGGGAGGCCAGTTTGAACGGGCTTCCGCCGAACGAGTCTTGAATTGATTGGCAGCCTGAACGGCGTTAGCCTTCCGTATACGGTTGAAATGCAATTCAAATGTCAATCTATGACGGATTTCTTGTTTCACACAGTGATGCAATAGACAGATGCTCTTTGTGAAAACAGGCGGACTGCAGATGTCAGTCAGCCCCCTTACAAATCAAGCAAAAGCACTATAGACACATCTTGAATATAAACTTTCGATTTATCTATGAAGCGGTTTGTAATGAATTGACATCTTTAAATGAACTTTTCCAATATTGTTATACCCCGTCCTCAACGAATCTAAGCCCATGTTGGAATATACCCCAACTCTCTGCCTAAGGTAGCCTTCACTCTTACTTACGCCACCTCATGCCTATTTATTCCGAAATATTTTTCCCTTAGATGAGATGTCTAATTTGACACCGTGCAGTCGCAAGTCCGCTTAGAAATCGAAACCCTCTTGGCTCCATGTTTTGTCAACAGAACCGATTCGGCCAGACCAAAGTTGGCACGATGGGATTCAATAACCACTAATTTGCGCACATAAGTTACTTCGCTGAGGAACTGGGCCAAAGAGAGAATAATATTATGCGGCAGCATAAAAGCGGTCGTCGCCGAGAGCAAGTTACAGATTCTGTCCAAACTTGCCGGAGCCTCCATGTCGGGGTGGCCGGCCCCGCACACAGGACTAAGAACATAAAACACTTGGGTGATAGAGCATGGCCGTCTAGCCGCTAAAGGCTCTGTTTTGTGCCAGGCGAACTAAGATACACGTACTTGATCAAGCTCTCTATCAAAATTCTGCACCCGTGGGTGTGGTGATGAAAGTGATCAATTGACACTTTTGGCGAATACTTTAATATGGTTGTCGCCTCGGCGATGAGTGTCCTTCGGCAGACGATGCTTCAATTTGGCATGGAAGTCAAAGTCAGAAAGTCCGCTTGTTCCAAAGTCTCGGCTATATTGCAGTTGTCACATCATCACCTTTCTCGACCTTCATTCATAAGATTAAAGTTTAAATAACTCCACTTTTCAGGCTGTACCAAGGACATCTCTGACGATCGCTGGCGGCCTCGGGATAGAAAGCACAGCTTGCCAGCGCCTTGCCAAGAACGCCGCCGAGTGAACGAGTCTACTCAAGTGGATCGTCCGACGCCCGCTGTCAAATATGGGAAAACTTGGGTACCGGTGCACTTCCAGTTGCTTCAGACTTTATTTTAGTAACGAAGACAGTATGCATTGGCCCGCAGCTCGAAAGTCAGTTTCGCATCAGCAGGGCAGCTCCTGTTTCGTGTTAGCAGCACCGGCTTCTAGAAGCATTTTCTGGCTGCTCTGGCGGCATGGTTCGAGTCAGTCAACGCTGTGCTTGGTGATGCACCCAGCCAGCTGCGCCCAAGTCTTACGACACCGAGAACGTGAAGTGCAATGTAGGTAATGCAGCAAACCGAAGACCCATCCGATAACAAATCGGTTCATGTGGGATAAGTACCCCAGGCCCGGCCTAAATAGTTTCTCGAGTCTGGCAACCCAAGTCAACTTTCTCAAGCAGCCAAAACACAACCTCCCACTTTGTTAGAGAAACACACATTCTCTTCCGAACTCAACAATTGAATTGTATATTCATCTTTCAACAATCGATTCGAGCGTTCAATATGAAGGCATCTCTCCTTACCATGATCGTGGCCTTCTTTGGGCAAGTACACTCGCTCTGTGTTTTGAGCAAAAAAAAAAAAAACGCACATGCTAACCAACTTACAGTGCAGCAGTCTCCCAAGAGATCTTCCGTTGCCGTTGCGCGAGTGCAACCGATTTTGACGTAAGCCTGGAAGGTATCTCAAGCCTGTGTACCTCCAAGGGTGGAGAGATTGAGAGCGCAGGCTTGTGCATCAAGGTGCCCTCCAGATTCACAAACGACGAGTGCACAAAGGTCGAAGCCGGGGCCAAGGGCGAATGCATCGTCGACACCATCTCCGGCGGGTCCACCAGCTCCGTGTCCTCGCCCGCCGCTACGGCACAAGCTACTCCAAAGCCTAGAGCTGTCGATCCTCAAGCTTGGGTGGCCTAGATGGTTAAGAGGACAAGTTGCGGCGGATGAGGGCTTGCAGGATATATCTGCTATCTCGTCAAATGTTGCCCGACTCTTTGAATTTAGTAGCGCTTACTTAGGATACCACTATGAACCAGTCTTGATTTTTCCTGCCTCCACGAGACTTGATATACTACCACATTTACGATGCTCGATGTCACCATGCCTTAGGTTATGTGAAATTGCTTGCTGGGGATTGTTCCGTGGTCCCTGGTGCTGTGTGTTCTCACTCGAGTCGGCATACACTCCGTTGCAAGCTGTGCACAGGCCAGCAATCATGCTAGAATAAGAGCAAGGAACAGTGATGAAAGTCTACAAACAAGGTAGTTCAAGGGTTCACTTCGTCTTTACGGTGGACAGTTGTCTGGTTCTCAGTCAGGCATTACGGCAAATCGGCAAGTGGGCATGTGAAATTGGGCCCGAATTGTCCGAAAGCGCAGCTCCTGAAGCGCCGAATACTCCGACACAGTGACGTCAAACGGTTCCGAATGTCGGACGACGGCGGGAGTTCAGTAGACCCCTCACTTCATCAATCGGCTTCACCGACCAAGGGGGATTCGGACTTCAACCTGACTTTGGTTATAAATTGCCAAGAAGCAAACTACTTTACATAGAGTCACTGCACTTTCCATCTTCGGGTATCATTCCACGCTTAGAGTCCATTGAGCATTCTTTCGACATTCACAACCTTGTTTGCAATGTTTTACCAGCCCGGTGTTGATGATCATGGTTTACCATATGATCCATTTAAAGTGAGTTACCAATCGCTTCCCAAAAGACGCTATCGACTATCTCACTGAACATACAATATCTAGGCATGTGTAGTACCTCGTGCGATTGGATGGATCTCATCCGTCTCACCCGAAGGCGAGCACAACCTAGCCCCCTACAGCCAATTCACAAACGTCAGCTTTGACCCGCCCATGGTCATGTTCAGCGCGAACCAAACGTACGCAGAAGGCCGAAAAGACACCGTCAACAACATTGAGCGTACCGGAAGCTTCTGCTGGCAGCTCGCAACGTACCCCCTCCGGGAGAGCGTCAACATCTCGGCGGAAGCCATCTGCCCTAACGAGGACGAGTTTGAGAGAGCTGGCCTTACGAAGACTTGGTCAAAGAGCCTGAAGACATCCGTACCCATGGTCGCCAATTCGCCTGTTCGCTTTGAGTGCGAGTATATGCAGACAGTGCGGCTTCCCGGGAAACCGCCAATGGGAACTGTTGATGTGGTTTTCGGCAAAGTTGTCGGCGTTCATATTGATGACAGCGTCTTGACGGATGGGAGAATTGATGTTTCCAAGACGAATCCTATCGCCCGACTAGGGTACTTCGAGTACGGTATCATAAACGATCGCTTCGAGATGATTGTACCTGGAGATAAGCGCATGCTCATTGGGGTAAGCTAAGTGCCTTTCGAGACTCAGAAAGTTACGAGTGAGTTTAGTTGTTGACTTCTGACTATTTCATTTAGCTCGAGGGTAATGCAAGTAATCACACCAAAGACAACCTCAAAGGAGCTTCGGATGCGGATGCCTCCTCTTGAAAGTGTAAATACGAGGTTCAGATTGCCTCCATATAATATTATAGACCCCAAGAGCCTCTCAAGATGGACTATGGAGTTCTATCCGAGGATTATCGCTGCTTCGTACATGAGCATCTTCAAATGTACCATGCATTCACCGAAAGCAAAGTATTCGTGGACTTGAACTGCATTATTGTCAAGTTCAGAATTCTAGGTCTCAACAAGCCTATATCCAGACTCCAAGAATCTAATAGATGATGCCGCCTGGTGTTCACAACAAGCTCTCAAATGAATTTGGTCACTATATTTGGGATATCTTCAAAACGTTAGACATTGAGTTGACAAGTACTTTGATTCACTACTTACTACAGAATATCCCAGATGGAGTCAATAAGCCACCGATACGACTATCGAGGTATGCGGGATACGTCGATATCTTATGTTATTTGACTGGCGACCCAGAATCTAGTTTTCTGTGACCACTTATAAATCTCCGTTGCGTTTGTTTTGTTCCCAAGCGATCGAAGTGTACAAAAGTAAGTCCTATTCTACTTGCACCATACTAGGTAAATCATATAGTCACGCAGCCTTTTCAATATCGAATTTTGCTCGAAACTTACTCTTTTAATTCAAGTTTTGTTTACTTCGGCGGGGATCAGTAATCGAGATCTAGAGTGAATGTCCTTAATCCGACGCTGGGGGCCCAGTCACAGGCGCGACACGTATGCAAGCTTATCTTGTAAGGCTGAAAAGAGGTTGCCAGAAGTGTGCTCTGACCCGATTCTCTGGATAGGGCAGCTTCCTTTATTGTGATCCCAGTAATCTGGATGGTTGCACAATGCGGATAGAGCTCAGCGCTATTCACAGCACCCTAGACATGGGGTTGCCAACTAAAAGAAATTCCCTATGTTTCGCCGGTATACTCAAGAACACTCGACGGGCGCGTTGTCAAGACTTGCACGCGGTCGCGTTTCTCGTGGATCAAGCGCATTGAGTAAAGGAATGAATTGCCGATTGTACTCATTAATATGAGCCTTGCGCACGGGAAACGAGCTCAAGTTGAGACCATTGTCAATTCAGCGACTCGAATCCTTCAGGCAATGAGAATGTATCCTTGGCTTCGTGATCACTGAAGGACTTTCATCCGGTGGGATCTATCGTCGCATTGCATACAGCGACTGGGGGGCCGTCTGGTTAGCCGGCATGTGGGAGGTTATCGGTTTGCTCCCAGAGTCCCAGACATCAGCCTGCCTGATTAGGCAGTGCAACCCACCAGTACCGCAGGTTACATGCACCTTATTCTCTACCTTAGCTTCAGAGACGAACAGTTGATCCGGGATCCGAGAGTCTTGCAGAGCCTCATGGACGACATCGTGAAGCTTGGGAGCTTTCAACCCAAACACAAGTTCGTGATGACTTCAACTTCTTGCAAAGCAATATGCTGACACTGTAATATCTGTGCCAAGCCGGTGTCAATACGAACCCAGTCCCTATCGGCCCCACAAAGCCTGTTGCTTGGCAACCTGGAAATGGACCTCGTCAAATGGGGCCTCGAGGATCGATGGAGTCTTCACATGCCACGCATGGACGCACTATGTGGTTCTCGAATTCAACCCACCGGGCCGTTGTGGTTCTGTACTCTAACATAAACTAAGCTGACATCAAAAAGGCAGAACAGATAATCTAGTTGCATATGGTCCTGGTGAATAAATGGGAAAATCGAATCCGAGCACCACACCTCGGGCCTCCGCGAGACTACCCACAGGAAGATGCCCAAGAAGCTCTCTTCGAATGGCCCAACTTTGTGATGCCATATCAGCGGAGTTTGAGCGAATGCCCCTTAGCGTGGCTACGCGATCTATCTCCTTCCTATTTCCCTCCACCGTACCGGCCTGGCCCCAGAATATCTGCGATGTCTGCGCAGTGCCGAGAAATATCAGGGGAAGCTATGGCCGGGACGGGGGACATCCACCGCTGGTTCCAAGACGGGCATGCGGCATGCCGTCATTTCTCTTTGCCCCTCACATTCTTTCTTCTCAAGCCTTACCAATGTCTCTGCCGGTGCCGCCGCCACGGCACGCACGGGGGGATTACTGACCTGGAATCTCACGAGAAGACCAAGAGAGGAAGACAGAGATGCATTGCACAGACGAGAAAGAGGCAGATATCCTGCTAGTGCTGAATATGAAGCCTGCCATTGAGTGTGATTACGCGAGTCACGCGATCGGGCGGCACCGAGCCCATCCGGCCTTTTCCCCTCCCTCCCTCTCTCGCTGCCACCAGATTCCTCAGTCCCTCAGCCACTCGACTTGACTATCATGCCCGAGAGGCCCCCTCCATACGCGCCCCTCTTCCTTCGCTCGAATTAGTCAAACGTTAAACGGCAGTTGACCCCAGTCAACGAAGCAAGCCGAGCTTCCTAGTTGCGGCTCTTGGCGAAGACTCCGCAGCGTTAATCGACTATCAGGACAGGGGAAGTCGGGCGCTATTCGCTTCTAACTGGCGCGCTCTTGGGCGGAGCATCCAGTGGCATCAATGAAGCTGGTATGGCCACTGTCGTCGCTGCACGTATTGAACAGCCTGAATGAGAAATCCGAGCGCATTTCTCCACAAGCCAGCACGGAAAAGCACCGCCTTTTGACGCGCCAATTTGCAAATGGGAAGACACCTTCATCAGAAGGCTTGATGATCATTTCAGGAAGCTGGTTGCCAACGCAGACATGGGATGAACGCATCGTCTTACTCGCCTCAAGGTCACTTCCCAACCTAGATGTTTGCATGCCGGTTTCCATCTTCCGACGTTGAATTCAGAATGCGAACCCACACGATCGATAGGAATACGAGGTTGTGGGAAAAGGCAATATGTCATTTCTTGGTGTCTTCACTCAACACAGAAGGCCGCAGCTGCAGAGTTGCGCCCGAGTCCATGTCCCCTCGAATGCAACAGCGCTTACCCGCATATTCTGCCCCAGACCATTCACCCACCATCACACATGGTCCTGTACCTGAACCTCGCTGATCAGAGACCGCATCGGGGCAGCTTTCTAGTTTAGACCGCGAAGCCAGTGCTCTTTGGCCGGCAATTGGGCCATATGGGGATCTCCCGCCTCCAGATAGTCTATTGCGAGCCCCCCTCTATGGTCGGAAATCAGGACGGATGTGGCAGGCGGGAAGAGGTTAGGGCGCGTGTGGAGTTTGCGTAGCTTTTTAATTAAGTCCTGGTCCGTTCGTAATCCCTACATCGGGTGGCCCAACCAATGTCAACACGCGACCTTCCACATTAAGCATAAGTTGGACTAATATGGCTCCTCTGCTAAGGTAACCTCCGACGGTCTTGGTAAACAACTCCCAAGCAAATCAAGAGCCGGAAACCCCTTCCAATGTCTCATTCAATGGTAAGTCAGCTTGAGTCAATTCGTGCCCCCAGCCAACCACAATTCTGCCTCCGCGGGGCTAGTGGTGGGCGGTCCTCTCATTTACCTTAGATAATCAAATTTGATGTTCTTTGAAGTCCGATCCATCGGTGTAAAGTCTGGGACCCCTTTCTCGCTTGACTATGCTGCCGTAGTCGGAGCTTGAACCCGTGCCAGAACCACATAGACAACATGACAAAAGATCCAACTCCCAGATATTAACCGGGGAGGAGGCCTGGGACAAGGAAGTTGGACGCAAAGGCTCGGCGCGCTTGAAAACAGCGGGTAAAGAAGTAGGTCAGCTTTAGCTTTCTGGAAGGTAATAGCTCCTAAACAAGCATGTTCGTTCTCGCGTGCTCCCATGGAGTCGGGGAATCCACAACTTTCCTTGCTCAAGCACCTGGCACCTCCCGCTCTAGGACCAGTTTAGGAAGCTTGACAGCTTCAAGCTGGAGACCGTAGGGCTTGGCGGGACATCACGCAAGATACTACACCGATATGCGCAATGTCAAAGATGGAATCGACAGCAACTCCATCCATCTCAGCCTCTGTCGATATCTTGGAAATCCAGTATAAAGATGGACACGACATCCGCCCTATCTTCAGCTTTTGTCTCTTCAGCCCCATCCGCTCTCCTCTGATCACTTCTCCTCCTCGGTTCTCCCCTCATCATCACAATGGCCTCCCTTCGCCGCCTCGCTCTTGCCGTCGGAGCTCTGCTCCCGGCAGTCCTCGCCGCCCCCGCTGCCGTCAACAGACGCGCTGAGCCCGCGGCCGCCCCCGGCAAGTACATCGTCACCCTCAAGGAGGGTGCCGCTGCCAGTGTCGAGTCCCACTTGAACTGGGTCGCCGACGTCCACAGACGCTCCCTGAGCAAGCGTGACACTGTCGGTGTTGAGAACACTTTCAACATCAGCAACTGGAACGCCTACTCTGGCGAGTTTGATGAGGCTACCATTGAGGAGATCAAGGCCAGCGCCGACGTAAGTTGACGAATATCAGCCACTCAAGATATCACATGAGCACGCCTCTAACACTATGATACAGGTTGCTGTCGTCGAGCCTGACTACTACATGTACCTCTCTGACTTTGAGGTTGAGGAGCGTGCCCTCACCACCCAGTCTGGTGCCCCCTGGGGTCTGGGATCCATCTCCCACAAGACCTCCGGCTCTACCTCGTACATCTACGACACCTCTGCCGGTGCCAACACCTACGCCTACGTCGTTGACTCTGGTGTCATCTCCACCCACACCCAGTTCGGTGGCCGTGTCACCCTCGGCTTCAACGCCTTCACCGGCACCCACACTGACACCCTCGGCCACGGCACTCACGTCGCCGGTACCATCGGTGGCTCTACCTACGGTGTTGCCAAGTCGGTGAGTTTAACTCCTATCTGAGCTTCTTGCGTAATTGATACTAACATCCCATTCTCAGACCAACATCATCTCCGTCAAGGTCTTCCAGGGCGCCCAGGGCACCACCTCCTCCATTCTGTCCGGCTTCAACTGGGCCGTCAACGACATCACCTCCAAGTCCCGCGCCGCCCGCTCAGTGATCAACCTGTCCCTCGGTGGCCCCGCTTCCACCACCTGGACCTCCGCCATCCAGGCCGCCTACACCCAGGGCGTCCTCTCCGTCGTCGCTGCCGGCAACGGAGACGAGAACGGCAACCCTCTCCCTGTCTCCAGCCAGTCTCCCGCCAACGCCCCCAACGCCCTGACCGTTGCCGCCATTGACTCCAGCTGGCGCCCGGCCTCCTTCACCAACTACGGTGCTGGTGTCGACATCTTCGCCCCTGGTGTCTCTATCCTCTCTGCCTGGATCGGCGGCAACTCTGCCACCAACACCATCAGCGGTACCTCCATGGCCTGCCCCCACGTTGCCGGTCTCGCCGTCTACCTTCAGGCTCTTGAGGGTCTCTCTACCCCCGCTGCCGTCACCAGCCGCATCAAGGCCCTCGGCACCTCCGGCCGTGTCACCGGCACCCTTTCCGGTAGCCCCAACCTCGTTGCCTACAACGGCAACGGCGCGTAAATCAACCTTTTATGATTTGGTCAGTCATAGCACGAAGGAACTGTGGGTGTCAAGAATATTAGGCACGACCAGGGCTTTTTCTTTAGCTACAAGAAAGTAGTTGATTGGGATAGTGACTAGAACAATGATTAATCAAACAAGTCTTATTCACAGAAATCTGATGCTTAACTTTAAATACTGCAATCCTCATGAAACCAAGATATTTGTAATCAAATGGACCGAGAAGAATAACTCGTCAGGTACAAATCCTCTTGGTGTCCATGACCTTGGGAATATTCCATGTCAGGAGATGGTTCAGTCTTGGCATGTAGTTGTCTTGGTGACATCAGAGCTATGCACAGAATCTTCATGTCGGCTCATATCAAGTGCACATCTACTAGAGCCTACATAATTCACGTCGTCTATAGACGGCTGTAACGCCGATGCTGAGGTAGTGCGGACCAGCCACTTATACTACCATGTGGGTAGATTGAGCATGATCATATCAATGGCTACAATTTCTGTCGATGATGAAGTGGACCCCTGTGATTTAACTCTTTGTCATTGTCTATCGAAACGACATATCCGACTAATACTTGTCTAAGCTAGAAATTACCCCTCCACATGTTCTCTTTGTATGCCTTGAGGGTAGTAGCAAAACAAAGCGAAGCAAGACGCCTTCACCACCAAAGCCAATGATATCATCTCTTCCCCGAACAAATAGAAAACGCCCCAGTAATGAATATGTAGTATGTGCAAGAATTTCCCTCCAAGTAGCTCTGACCTACGAGGATTTACGATCGGCCCAGAGCGTTGAACCAGCTCTTGCGTGGGTCCTCGGAGGGATCCTCGAAGACCTTTCTGCGGGCGGCTTCGCTTTGAGGGTTGTTGTACTTGGAGAAGAAGCGGTCCATCTGTTGAGACTCAGTCTTAAGCTGGGATCGGATGTTCAGGGCGACGGCGGAGACTGCAAGGTGTGTTAGTTGTCTTCACTGGAGACGTGGTAGGGCTGAAAACTGGGCTTACCAATGCCGACGGTGATGGCAGCGGGAAGGAACCTGGCAAGAGCCGGGGTAGTGGTGGGAATTCTGGCGGGTTGGTTGACCATTGTGAGAGTTGTGGGTTGAAGTGAGGTGGTTGTAGATCGTGTGAGTGTGAACGGTGGGGGTGGTTCAGGTAAACCGGGGAATAGTTGCAGTGGACTTTTGTGTAATTGAAACACTGAAGAGTTGAGCTTGCTTTTGTGTGGTCGATGTGAGACTGGAGTGCATCTGAGATCGTGTTTCCCCCCATCTTCGTTGAAGACATTTATGTATTCGAACTCGCCTGCCTCTCACCTGCTTCTCCCGAGCGTGGTGTGGTTGGAGTGGTCATCTTTCCCGGTGTTGTCTGTTGATAGTTCGACTCTGCTCGAGGGTGGTGCGGTGTTGCGGCCGGATCTGGCGGTTTGGTGGTGTGATGTGTGTCCCGATGGCGCGGGTCTGTCATTTTTCTCATTTTCCGGGGGGTTCCCTCCAAGCTGCAGAAGACCCAACTGCCAAATTTTGGGCATGGAGAAGGCCGGAACCCCTGTTCTTTCATGGCTCCTTTGGGACCAAATGGGGGCAAGATCTTGCACTAAGCCTGATTGCTCTTGCGCTATCCCTCGTTGGTTGGAAGGATTTCGAAGATCTGAACCTTTCTGCGTGGTGTCTCTGCCCAGCTGTGCTCAGCGTGACTCTGCAAGTCGAACGATGCATACCGGGTTCTCTTCGTAAGCATGTGCTCTCATTCGTCGGGTCCTCGCGGCGCAGCAGTCCAGAGCTGGCAGAGCGGGCAGTCCAGTCCTTCGGAAGGTGTTCTGTCGGGCCATGTTGGCCAGAACGCCTAGATTGATGGTATCATGGGCTTCGCCGAGCGTCATTTGCGTCTGGAGGAATGAGGCCATGCCTCGTTTTTAGGCTCGCTATTGGAGCTTGCACGCAGCACGGGAATATCATGGCCCGACGATATTGATTTCGTGTTTGCTCCCGACTGAGCATTTCATGTCGCGAAAAGACGGAGATCACCACGGCAAATGCGTACTCCGGTAGCGCCGACAGACACCGGTTTTGGGCCCTTGTTGTTTGTCTCTGTGCTTCCTCTGTGCTGGGAGCGTCAGCTGACGCCTGCAACCCAGCTGAGTTTGGAGCGTCAGCCACTCTACGAGTCAGTTCAGAGCCACACCAAAACTCCAGCTTGGAAATACCTTGTGCCGGACGAGCAACTTTAAGCCATTGTAAAGTGGGAAAGCAAGTTGATTCCCGCTGAAATCTCTATATGCATGGTATCTTAGGTAAAATTTCCCGTTGCAACTCCATAATTCTCAATCAACCTTGAACGCTTAAGTCAAGAAGTTGCCAACAGACCACTCTCTATGAACTCCCCACCCTCGCGCAAGCTCCTTAGCAAGTGAGCTTGACATTCTGTAAAGTTGATTGAAAGCTGATGTTGCACTTCTCTCCTGCTGCCAAGCTGTATGTTTTCCATGCGTTCTATACAATGTCGAGTATTAGCATTGTTGCTTCCGCGTTTTTACCATATTTCCATATAGACACCCCGACATCAATGGCTGGGAAGGGGCACATGTCTTGTGCTTACCTTGTTGGTCGTTGGGTTCCAAAACTGCACAGCAAAGTTCACCTGGTAGTTGACCTCGTTCTTCATATCGTAGAAGAAAAACTCCTTCTCGTAAGTCTTTTGGGTTGGATTCGTCCTGCCGATCGAGAGGGTTTGCAAGCCGACGGTGACGCTAGTGCCGATGTCTCTCGGGATGGAGTATGATGTGCATCTTAGTGGGTTGTTTCCATCGCCGGAGCCAACTTCAGTGCACCCTGCCTCAGCGATGCTAAACAGGAGTGACATTGCGCCAAGTGCGCCAGAGAAGCCGGAGAACTGCATGGCTTCAGACACATGATAGTTAGATACGGTGTAGTGTCAGCTGTGGGGATTGAGTGCATACTGGGAATTGAGTTGTGTTTCTGTGTTCAACCAAGTTAGATCTTGCAGAGTCGTAATGAAATTGAAGTCGATGGGAATCTAAAGGCGTCTCCTGTTTTCCATGCAGAGGTCATGCTCTACATCATATACCTCATAGACTCTTCGAGCCAAGGAAATTGTTACACTGTCAGTTCTATCACTTTGAGATGATTGACTCGGTCTCGCATTCTCCCGCAACTCCTCTACCCAGCTTGAGCCAGCTTTGGCGCACGCACGAGTCAATATAATGCCGTCTCAACGCTTTGCGCACCAGACTGAGGCTAGCCTCTCTATTTAAGCTTTCTCCACGAGATGAAACTCCTCTCTCTTGGCCTGCACGGGAATTGAGACCCATTAAGGGGCTCGCCACAGTCTACGAGTTCTCGTCAAGCGAGAGAAGTACCATCAATGGCCGGAAATCCAGCCCAGTCGACATACTAGTCAAAGAAGATGGGATAACTAACCATTACAGGGCATCAGCAAAGAGCCTGTAGACGGCCGCGTTTCGACAAGGCTCTGTTCGTCTCATTCATGAATGCTTGACGATCCGCAGATTTTCGTGCCAGAACTACCTATACTTGAAGTTATGCTGTGCCATCATTAACATACACACACCACATATCCAGTGCAGCGCAGCCTTCTTTAATTTTCCTCATCCCACCTGAGCCATTTTTCGAAAGAGGCGGTCAGATAAAGGGAGGTGTACAAAATTTTGTCGCAGGGGGCTCACGTTCATAGACTTGGTCATTGCCATCACTCAAAACGTTGGTGGAAACGCAAAGCCACCATTGTCGTGTCCTTGAGCAAGAAGCCCTTTTGAGCCAGGAAACCCTCGATATGTCTGGAAGAAGGTTCTAACTTGTGATCCAAGCGTCGATTCAAGACTCAGATTAAGCTTCCGGTTCGTCTCACCATGGCGGTTCATCCGGTGTAGTATTGTAGATCTGCCGAGAGTTGTGGAGCTCTCTGCGTGAGACCAAGTCCCGGAATTTTGGTTCAGCTAGGCCTGGTACCTGCAGGTGCTCGCGGGTACAACGTGTCGACACCTTGGTCTGCATTTCAATGCCGATGTGTCAAACCTCACAATCAGCATCACTTCACATAAGTTCCCAGCGAAGGCATACCGGGCCACAGAGCCGACGCATTTGGCTGTTATCAGTATCTTCCCCCAACTGGACGTATCGTGCTTTGGTATTTGAACTAGAGTACTTCCTAAGCTCAATTAACCACTCAAAGTTGATGGACTCAGAATCCAAACCATTACAGTCTAACGATCTAAGGCGACAGTAAACCGGGTTTCACCAGGAGTCATTGATGGAAGCAAACGTTTATTTTCATTACGGACCACATCGTTTTCGGAGTATTCCATCTACGAAGGTCAGATCATGTTCAATAAATGACCTATTCAATGAGGCTTTGTCATTTCGAAGTATCGACTAAGATCAAAATATGTACAAGAAGAAAAGAAATCTTGGACCTCTATGCGGCCGAAGCCAAGAAACTCATACTCTCCGACAACCCGAGCAATACTCAACTACTTTGGTCCAATACATAACCTATCTAGGAGCATTGCATTCTGCAAGACACTCATCGGCTATCAATCACTGAGGAGATCCTTGCCAAGTTTGATGGATGAGCGAGGGGTGGTTGGTCGCAGGCTCAATCGTCCTCTTGCTGCAGCCAGAGGAAACGGAAACGTTGTTGAACCGATCCGCAACCCAAGCCAGATAATCGACATGCGACGCCTGGAAAGCCTGGTCATGACCGAGCTCGGGATACAGAAGCAGCTCTGCAGGCGACTCGGGGAAAGCCTTGCAGGTTGCATCAAAGTCCTGCTCCATAGTCTCGGCGTAAGTGAGAATATCTTTAGTGCCCTGGACAACCAACATCGGGGCTGCCCACTGGTGCACGCCGGCTCCGTTGTAGCGCTCTTGCCAGTCAATGACATCGGGGTGTGTCAGCCAGCTGGTATTCTTGTACAGCTGAGTCTCAGTCAGGCTGCCGTAGATAGTACCGCCGGTCTTGAGACATCCCTGGTTTGACAGAGGAATGCGGCTGGCAACAATGTCGCTGACGTAGTCTTCTATTCGGATCGACTTTAAGAGCTTTGACAGAGACTGGAGGAAGTAGACGGATACCACATCTCCCACGGGGCCTCCGGCCGCGCGGCGGAATGACTCGGGGATGAGTGACAAGGGCCGAAGCGCAGGCGCAACCGACACGGCACCGATGAATCCGCCAGTGGCCTTTCCAGCCTTTGCCTCTCTCTCGTTGGTGCGCCACGCAGTCAAGCCACCCTCGCTGTGTCCAACAACGACCCATTCCTTGGACAGCCGCTCACCGAGGGCTTTGCGAGCTGCCTGAAGGCTGTGGCTCACATCAGCAGCATGGAGTGCTCCTGACTCGTACATGAAGCCCTGGGGAATGTCACTGCCCTGGCCAGCATAGTCGGGTGCGATGACGGCGTACCCTGCCTGAGCAAGGATGAACGGCGCCTCCCACTCATAGTAGAGTCCTCTATGATTGGTCGGCGCACACTCACGACTGTAACCCGCAGTTCCGTGGGCCCAGACAATGGTACGGAAGGGCTTGTCTTTGCCCTGGGGGTTTGACCATGGGAGCAGGGCAAAAGCGGTAAGTCAAACCCCCCACTTCCTGGCACCCCCCTGTTTCTGGCACCCACAAAAACGATGGGATCACAACCCAACCTCCTCATTACTATTAACTATTGATCCTCAACCACACCCACTACAATACAACTGCCAGCCTCACTAGGGCATTCAGAGTCGCTGGATTCAGCCGTAATAACCTCCTTTTCACCCGCTTCGATTTGAGCCCGATGGATATCCCTGATGTTCGCAAACTTCGTGTTGGGATCGATCTGAACAGTCTTCCTCTTCCTAACTGCAGCGTTGGTAGGCCCTCAGGTGAGCCAGCTGCTGCTGGGCAGCTGCCAGTTGCCAGGCCTGCTCTGTGAAGCCTTTTTTCACCTTCCTGAACAGCAGCCGTTGAGTGCTGGTATCATTGTCGAGTTGGGTGTATAAGTGCAGTTGACCGCTGAGCTCTGCCAGCTTCCTGGGTGTCGACCAGACCACTGCAGAGGAAGCAGAATCCCATGGCTCAACAGGGGTAGTTTGTTGACCATTATGGCATCGCTTTTGCCCCGACTGGTTGGTTTGGGTGTGGTGGGCTTAGCAGAAGGCTCAGGTAATACCATAGGGTTCATCAGGGGCTTAACCATCGCTACAGGGTGTAGACCAGTCCACTTCCAACCACTTCTGATGTTCGAGACTGATAGACCAGCAAGTCGAGCCTTCTGGTAACAGTCCAGGAAGTTCCTTTTACCTATAATGGTAGAGTCGTTCCATTGAGACAAGTAACCGAGCTCCTTCCGATAGGCTGACTTAACAGGGCTGAAGACAGACTGGTCAAGTGGCTGGAGGACATGAGAGGAGTGTGGTGGTAAGAACAGTAAATGGATATTGTTAATATAGCAATTCCACATGAAGTCTGTCGTCGTATGACTCCATGCCCATCCACAATCAACAGTCGAGCCTCGCCCTCAGCCTCGGGCATAGTCTGTGGGATAAACACCTTCTCTAACCATTCAATGGCAGTTAAGTCTGTAGTCCAGCCATTATCTGTTGCTGTAAACTCCCACCCATCGTATGGAACCAGATGTAATGGAAACCACTGTTGTTGGACCGTCTTCCCTTGAAAATGATAAGAGGACGAAGTGCCCTACCCAAGGCTGAGATACACTCAATGATAGAGACCCATGCCCTCGACCCAGGTTGTTTCTTGCGAACAGACGTCGTCTCAGCCATGCCCAGCACTAACCCATTAGCTCCTGACCCTCGAGGATGCCAGTCTCATCCATATTATATCTGTTGGCTGGTTTGATGTCCTTGATCTCAGGGATAGCAAGGAACTTAAACCAGTTCCTAATGACCTCAGTAGATGCCCCATTAACGCGTCTAGAATCGATGGAACGACTTCTCTGAACCTTAATGATAGGGTTCCTTCTCACGAAGGCATAGATCCAGCCTTTTCTAATGGTTTGGTATCCCCAGCAGCAGCCAGAACTCGCTCTGCGAATTCCTTCACCTGTTGGTGCGTTGGTGCGAGGCCCAGCGAAGCCTGAATGCGAACCCATTGTGCCAGCTTACTCTCCTGGTCAGGAGACAGCCTCTGCCAGTCAGCAAAAGCCACTTTCCTAGTCTGACCACCTTGGAGACGTAGTTGGAGGGTTGATCGTGGTATCCCATACTCCAATGAGGCTCTTTGACTCTTGCCGTTTGAGATGTCCTCGAGAGAGCAGAAGCTGATCTTCGGTATATTGAGGCATTAGATATAGAAGAAGGTATGTGCAAAAAATGAGCCCATTTGGACTCGAATTGAAAATGTTGTGATAAAAGGAGGTTGGGGGTGGGCATTGCGTTGTGGTGGATTTTCGCGTTTTTGTGGGTGCCAGAAACAGGGGGGTGCCGGGAAGTGGGGGGTTTGACTTAACGGGAAGGGGCTTGCCATCAATATCTTCGCTCATGTAGAAGAAGCGAGAGAGGGACATGCCAGCGGGGACGGTCCAGATCTTAGCGGCCTGGGTGCCCGTGAGGTCTTGCCATTTTACCAAGTCTCCGACGGCGTAGTCTGAGAGGTTCGATGGGTTGGCGTAGAAGGGATCGACATTGACGTCCACATTGACCCAGTCTTTGGTTTCGATAGCTAGTGAAGAACGGTACGCAGCTTCGCAGTTCTCATCACAGTTGGTGCGAAAGTCTTGGGCTTGAGTACCGATTTGAAGCGATGAGATGGCCAACCACCCGAGGGCGAGGGACCGTATAGCCATGCTGATGGAAGGATTTGGTCCGAAAAGAAAGTGAGTATCTGAGGAGAAATATTGCAGAGATGAAGAGCTTGGTGCTTTGGAACTTCGATAATTTCTGGCGTCTGCGGACTGATCTTTATATCGCCTCAAAGCAATCGCGCCGAAGCCGGGGCCGATATCAGATGCCGTAGTCCAGTTCAATGAATGACTATCTAGGCCAGGGTCTGTCCACATTCACCACGACGTTGCGGTTCCGTAAGCGAGATGCTGAGCTCTTGGCGGCATGCAATGGAGAGCCGTTAGGGGCAACGAGGCATACTACCGGATTTGGAACTAAGAATCTCTAGCGGTCCATGGTCGATAGTCTTGATGGAATGGGTTCTCTCAATGGTACGAACTACCCTCGTGTTACTTCGTGGCACCCGAAGTTCCTCAAGTATCAAGAACATAAGATTTCAGCACTACAACACCATCAAACATGACCAGATAGAAAGCCAGTAGGCATCATTGAAACATTTCTGTTTCTTCACAAATAAGAGTTTAAGGTTATTTCCTTGTCCATATCCAAGAAAAATCAGATGATGTGCCGTAGCTGAAGAAGCCTGCAGCTGTCGTTGGCCATCCACTAACCGAATCCAGCAGGTCAACGCGCCAATAGAATGATCGCATGACGTCGAGTGGAGAGGGACGCGACTCTATCGACAGTGGCTGTGATATGCTCCGACCGACCGGGTTTAGACAGACCCCGCAAAATTCGAGTCACGGTGGCCGAGGGAACCGGAATGTTTGGATCATAGGGCATTCAGCAATTCGATATCAATTCCCAAAGTCGACTGCGGTCAGAAAGCAGCATTGGAGACGATCCAACCGATATCGACAGTGCCATCATGACATTGACTCAACTGTGTTGCGATCCGCAATGGCAATTGGCAATGGAAGCACAATGACACCCACCACGCAGACTCCAAGTCCCGTCGGCATCAAACTACCGCAAAACCCCTCTTCATCATGCCTAAAGTGAATTGTCATTTGCACATAATTTCCGGCATTCAATCTTTCTCAAGTCTTCATGAGCTGCCTGACATGAGAGTCAAGGTAGCCATAGAATGTAGGATCGGAAGAAGGAGGAATTGTAAAGGCAGCCATCCTTCGTTCTTCCCTCTTGTTTCCCAGAGAATGACAGAACTCCGCTACTAGGCCTCGCGAAACATAGCAACACACTTCATCATATGCGAATGATATGAACTTGATGAGTTTAGCTCTCATAGGTAAGTTGATGTCAATTGCTGATGTGTTCTCAAATCTTAGTGCGGCGAGAATCTGGATTTTGGTAAAAGTTTACTCTTGTGGCCCGTATCTACCGGCTCTCTCGTTGATTGCGCATCTCCTCCAATATTTACCAGCTGCAAACCGTAAGTAGAATGTAGGATCTCCGCCTGAACAAATGCAATTGTACTTCCGGGGTAAATTGGCCGTCTCCCAGTACCCTCCTAGTTGTGCATTCGGGATGAACTAAACTTGCCTCCAGCACTTTCTGTACCACTGACTTTTCCGGTTCTGAACAGAAGTAGAAGAAAACACTGAGAGACGGAGGACACGTTGCGGCGGGATAAATTACTCATGAGTAAAACTGAAATGAGTAAGGGGGAAACACACGGAAGCCTGCCATCGGCTAGAAATGAGAAACAGACCAAGCCCCTTTAGAAGATGGAAGCTTCCTTTATCAGCGATGAGCTGCGAGTATCATATTGTTCATAGAGCTACAAGTGACACGACTCTCCTAGCACGTCGTGACTAGCCCAGAGATGTCAAAAGTCACCAGCCAAACCCCGTGTTATTGGCTTTCTGCGTAAGTTCAGCGTAATACCTACTAGCTATTAACCTCACTTCACGAACTTCTCGGTCCAAGTCCTTGAGACGAATTTGTGAACAGTTATTTATACTCGGTGACTGCACATGGGCCTGAGCAGCGCTACAGTCAATGTAGTAGGGGCATCATATGACGCATCGTACTTCCGTCTCACTAAATCATCAAGTGTCAAGATGCCTTTCAAGGACTCAGAGTATATGAATACATGGCTGCTGCTCTGCGTGATAAAATCTCGGAGATATTCCTGATGCCAGGACTCGAATGACCCCCGGCTGAGAAGTCCCAAGAAGATGAAAGGTCTTGCGAACTTAATCAAACGTATATCCAATCATTCCCCTCGACCCAAAGAGACATGTCTATAGAAGTATATTGGCTTAGAATACGTCAAATCTAATTTGCGAAAGAAATCTGGTAAGGTCCAGCCCCGCGGGTGAAGTAGCGGTTCAAATCGCAGTCAGCTCCAGGAGCGAGAACGAGTCCCATGAAATCGTTATAGCTCTCCTCGATACGGACACGGACCGACTTGGTGCCTCTGTTCTTGAAGTTGTAAGTAATGGCGTCGTCGCAGTCGCCTTCCGGATCGCAAGAGTCCCTGCTCTTCTGCATTTTGACGGAGATAGTTGTACCGGCCCAGTCGTAGGTGTTCGTCTGCCCGACTCTTGTCGGCGCCACGCGGTACTTGTTGTGCAGGTAGGGTCCGTCACCGCCTCCGCTGCGAGGGCACTCCGCTGCGGCGCTGACCATGCCGAGGATGGCAAGAAAAGAGAGGGAGGCAGAAATTTGCATTGTTGTAGAGACTGTGGGGTTTGATCTGTTCGTTTTTGGTGTCAGTCTTTGTATCATGGAGGCTTCTTTGGTGATGTACTGACTTATAAAAGAATGGCAATGTAGTTCCGTTAGAAGCCTACTAATGAGCGTGATGTCGAGCAGCTGATGGAGATAGCTCGTTGGCTACCTGTCCAGATGCGAAGGGGCTCACAAGCAGTACAAATACCTAGAGATACTGGGGGATAGTTATCAATTCTACCGCATAATTCAACGGCCTGGACATCACTATAAGACGACCTCCCGGAACAGATTGGTCGGCATCATAGCTTAAAGCTTCTTAGATACAAATTGACTACTTACTCAACACCAAGCCTTCGCCTCGTTTTCGTATACAGAGCTAGCTCGAAATGATAAACTCGACAAGCCTCGTTCGCTTCGGATACATTGCATTCCTATAATCCCAAGTACATTGGACATCACCCTGACCAGTTCGTCAGTTGTCGCGAGCTGTCTAATTACCTAGTCGCACCAACCATCGGCCGAAGGCTTGGCACCATGCCCATCCGCGGGTTGATTTTGTTGTACTACCATCGTGAGATTCAGGTCATCACAGCAATGACTCGCGCCGTAGTCAGCTCGAATTTCTGCCTGAAGCGGATCCGAAGTCCGGGACGGAGATAAGAAGCGACGCCCGTCATTGTCCAACAGATCACGTCGTGCACTTACGACAGACAGTCGAGTTCATGGTTTCTGAGATAGTCTTCCATCGACATTGAAGACCGTGGCTTTCGGCAGTGAGCCAACGAAGAGGCACAAAAGAGAGACTTCCAAGGACCACATCATGGCTCTGTGGCCTCAAGAGATCTGATGTGTTCAAGGTCCCCAAGCTTCATACTTCTGCCTTGAGTCCAGGCACTTCACTTACTTCTTTGGTGAGGGTCAACTAATATAATAGCTCTTACAATCTTACTACCCTCCCGCAGACAATGCGCTCTCTGACTCATGTTCGGGATACATACGTGTAGATACGCGGATAGCTCCATATTAAGAGGCGCATTTAGCTTTGGTCCGTGAACTCAATCTACCACTGGCTTTCCCATCATCGCAGTTGTAGTCTTCATTAAGAGATCATTTCCGCCAAGTGCAGGCCATCATTGGTCCGAGGCCGCGTCAGTCTGTCCCAGCACTTTCCGCCTAGCATTAAAAGAAGCCAGTATTCGTGAGTTTAATTGTGTCAATTTGCGCCGGGACGTCACGGAATCCATATGATTCGCCAGCCTGACCTCAGGTACAGACTGGACACTGCAACGTTAAGGGCTATGTCAATCAAAACTTGGATGTGGGAACTTAATTCGCTTCGAGACGCAGTCTATAAATGGGACTAGGCAGCCAAACTTTGGCACAAGTATGTTTCTCTGACCTTAGCTCAGAGGAAGGAAGGGTATTTACTCGTAATGCTGACAAGATTAATGAGCGCTGTCCGAGAGCACGACTTCATCAGGTCTGTTTTCCACCCCCGCCAATGAATCATTACTCGATCGCGGGCGCCAAAGTGACGACAGCCCAGTGCACCTGAGACTTCTCATCCTTCAAAGGCGTCCAGTGCGTGACGAACCTCTCGTCGCCGCGGAACAGCGCGCTCCTTCGAGTCTGTAGACGGACCTCGACACTGATGGGCGCTCCGGTGCGAAGGGCGTTCCGTACGCGCGTCTTGTAGTCGGACTGGTGGTTGACCATGTTCTGCTTGAGGAATCGGAAGACCTCCTGGCCCGCGACCAGGCCGACGGTGTTGTTCGCCGGGTGCAGCATCTCCAGGACACCTTCAGAGTAGAATTTGATTATGAAGGAGTCGTAGCTGACAATTAGGTACTGAGACGTTCATGTTAGTAAGGGTGGTTCGCTGCTAGAGGATAGCAAGCTCGGTGGGGTGAGAGTAAGTCACCTTCGAATAGGCAGTGTAAAACTCCTTCATCTGTGCGCTCAAGTCGCGTCCTTCTAGCTTGTGCAACAACTTGCTCTCCATGCCCGGATCGGCGGCGATCCCGTTGGGCACATGGTCATCGCTGACCTTCATCCCGAGGGCTTTCAGGAATGCTTTTCGAGCCGAAGGTTGAGAACCTGCGCGATGCAATGGTGCCGGCGGCACCTTGGTATCCTGGGTTTGAACGTCATCATTGGTAGATGTCGACAGAACTCTCATCACATCCGCATTGCTATGAATTGTCGTTGAGCAATTGATCTGGCCGCCGATGAAGAAGGCTAGTTTCCCGGCTTCGTTGTATAGGGGAGCTGTGTAGGGGAATCATGTTAGCCGTAAGAACACTTGACATAGAGATGTATGTGTGCTCGTTCGAGTGCCTATAGTATGATGCTAGGGTAGGATCGCCGTCTTTCTCAGTCGAGTTGACATATACTTACCGACATAGAGCAAGTTCCAGAAAGGATCTCCGTTCTTCTTGTAGTTCAGGATGAGTTCAACTGACTCCTTTCGCTCGTCGATCGCGTTCTTTAATCGTCGGACGGGAACGCGATCGGTGTGCGCACCCTGGAGGAATCTACAGTTTCGCGGAATGATTTCGGGTCTAGTATAGCCAGTGACTTTAATGAATCCATCTGAAGCAAAGACAATTGGGTTATCTGCAAGACTTTACCCCGGAGTTAGCATGCGTGCGAAATAAAGAGAGTCAATGGCAAGGTGTCAAGTTACCCAGGATTCGTCAAGCAAAAACAATCACCGAGTCCTTGATAGCTATGTCGGTTGGTAGCCAAGGCTCTCGTTGCGCTCAGTGCCATCTGGTAGCGCACAAATCGAGGATAGATATCTAGGAAGACATCCTGTTCAACGCTCTCTTGAAGATCCGTAAACAGTGTTTCCATGGACGGAAGCGTCTTCGTAACCAACGACTTCATGTCGCCATGGACGGACTTTCTTAGTTCCCCATTGACATTGATCTGCTTTGACGAGTCGTCGGCAAGGAAGTCCTTGTGTATGCTCGTCATAATCCCTGCTAAGTCATTGAGAACTGTTTGGTATTGCTCGACCTATGATGTGAAGGTGCTGTTAGTGACAATGCTTAAAGATACTGCACTGATGTATTAGCCTCTCACCTTTTTGAGAAATTCGACACTTTCGCTGCAGAATCGAGCTTCGCTAAACTTCAGCAGTTGGTGCACAGTCGTCGGATTATGCAAGACGACCTGGAAAATACCAGGTCCGAAGAAATCAACAGTACGGTTCGACGATCCGTTGCTTGTGATACTTTGCTTCGAGATTGACTGTCTCGAAACCGAAATAGAATCATCGCTCATTGCCCTTCGTGCCGCCGTTGGCGGTCGATAATCTGACGTCAGGGTCGAGCCCCCGAGGCCATTCTTCACGCTGTAGTCTAGTGCCTCCTCTTCCATGTCGGAGTGCTGCTGCTTATTGTACGTCTGCCTTCGAGCGGCGCGCGATGTCTGATGCGGGCGTCTCTGGCTGATTGGTGGAGGTTCGGCGTCCAGGTACAAGCGATGATGATCAAGCACCGGCGTCCTGAGCTCTCTCTTGTGTGCGGCGAGGGCTTCGGCTGCTCGAGATCGGGGAGGCGGCTGCGATGATTGACGCGACGAGGCTCTCGAGGTGGTCGGTCGGCCGCGAGTCTGGCGACTTTGCGCCGGCGGCGGTCGGGAATCTTCCGTAGGTACGTGGATGGCAGTGACGGGGGTCGTTGCTATGCTTCGGTGCCCATGGCGCGTCTCATTGCGGTAGTCATGGTATGCGTGGTCTTCTTCCTCGTCGACGGGGTCTTGGTGCTGGTCCTCTTCCTCCTCAGAGTCGTCGTAGATGATCCTGTGTGGTCGTCGGCCTCCTATCGGGGGAGGTGTTGCTGATCGGACAGCGCTGGAGGATCGCACCATGCTCTGGTGGGAGAGTTCCTCTTCTTCTGCGACTTGTGCCAAGAGTCTCTTTGCGGCCTCGATCTCCTCGGCGCGCGGGGGTCGCTGCGGCGTGTTGTAATCGTGTCGCTTGAGCACTCGTTCGGGGCTATCAATGCTAGCTCGATCGGGACGAGAAGACTGGCGTGGAGGCACAGCTACTGTGTCCCTGTCAGACTTTGTGTAAAGCCGCCGTGGTGGTGAGTAATCCCGGGATACGATGTCTGTCCGAGATAGAGGACGGGAAGGGCGACTGAGTTCTGTGCTGTCTCTCGCTGAATGAGATTTTCCATTTGCCCCCGTCATCCCATTTCTTTCTTGTCTTCCTAAGGCCGTATCCCGTGGTCCATCGGAGTCCTTTCCGGTTCCTCCTAGCATCAGACTAGACTCCGAAAGAGACCGCCGGAACTGAGGTCGTGAATGTTCTTCATCGCTGTCTTCAGACTCTTGGCCAATGGCAATGCGCGCCGTCTCGATGGCAGTGGTGTCTACCCGTGGCAGGACCCGCGTAAAGAGCTCGTCGTCGATCGGCCCTGTGGGAACTGACTTTGCAGCGTTTCCATTCCCGGTGCGAGAGTAAGGCGGACCGTCATGACCGACGTCATAGCCAGGCGCCATGGCTTAGTGAAAGACTGCTCTGTGGCGCAAAAATAAGAATGTCGCTTAATCAAAGGAGGACAATACTTTTTTCACTAGTAGCGAGAGCAAAACCTTCCTTGTTCGGATGGCACGCGAATGTCTCAACTCGCCGCCATGTGAGTGGACGTTTTCAGAAAAAAGGAGGAAAAAGAAAGACTTTCCGAGAGGAACACAAAGAGGGCGTTTGGCGTTTTCTTGAACCAGCTCCAACTTGCCACGGAGCCAACCCGCGCAACCCAGGCCCCGGCAAGAATTTGATATCTCCATCCTACCATGCACGCTTGAGCAGTCTCGTCCCAAACCACATTTCCGGCACTTGGCGTCAAGCAGGGGAATGCTCGCCCTGGAGAGAGGGGTTGGACCCATTGAAACCTGTTTTCACCCTCCTCGAACTACTATGGCAGAGGAGCCTTGGTGATAGCGAATGACTGAATTGAGCGCAAGATTGGACGACAGGGCAGAAATCCGTGGTCCAGGTACCTCGTTAGCTTGTGCTTGGACCGCGGCTTGGTGGGTGTTTGGCTGGGTGTAGCTTGCAAAACAGGGTGACATTTGTCTCCGGAACCTGGTCCCGTCCCCGATTTTCGAGTCCGGCTGCTCTAGCATCGAGACGTTCTTGCATGAAGAAAAAAACCTCCTGTTGAACGTGGGATCCCCACCATCCGAGGCTGTGTTTGCTGCTCAGGGTTCGGTGCTCCCTTTGCGCTAATTATCAGGCCGTTCTTGAGGCCTAGATTTCGTCCTTCTTCCCTAGCCCAATGGGGCGTCGGCATCGTTGTTGACAACTCGACGGTTGAGTCCCTTCATGTCAGGAACCCGGAGATTGTGGGGTTCGTCGGAGATGGGCGTCAACGTGCACATCACCTCGTGTTGTTCAACAGGGATCAGGAGATCACCGATACCCGAGGTGGAAACCTGCCATCGATAGCCGGTTCAACTCCTATCAACACGAAAACTAGGCTTGCTAGCAGACAATAAATGTGACCAGATCACGCCAGATTCAACGGCGCTTGGCATTGTTACAGTATCGACAATGTAGATCTGCGTGATTCGCGATTTGGCAAAGTTTGTGTTGCGATTGTTACTTTCCGAGCATCGCAGGACATGTTTGCTGCGACCGTACGTAGGATCGCCGATCTAGTGTTGGTCTTCAACTCGCAAACAATTCAATCCGGGTCAATCAGAATGTCCGCCAAGAGACTCTCTCTGTAAATTCTATGCACTTATGCACGGCAACGTTTTGATCCACCTGCGTAGAGATGAAGCATGTTTGCTCCGTAAGATGGCGTTCCGGGACGGTTATTTTGCTCGGGTACCGGAAATGACGTGCCATTCGGCTTCTCTTGTGTCAATATCAGCCGTCGTCTATACCTCCAGAGTTGCCTACCGCGGTGATTGTCGCGATATCTGCTGCAATCTCAATCATCCGCCAGAGCCCGAGCGTCCTCTCCCTCTCAGGCTCTCAGCCAGATGGCCGTGAGATGAATGGTGACGCGGAGGATGCGATGTAACCCTGCACACATGGATGTGGCCCTGTGGCCAGACCATCGAGTGCTACATGACGACACGATGATGGGGCTCGAGCGTTGAAGAATTGTTTGTTGGCTGGCGAAGGATTCGGGCTGGTAAACACTTCCGTCCCGCAGCGCCCAAGCTTCATAGCTTCCTCTCTAGGCTAGTTAGAAACCCTCTTCTTTTGGCACACTCTGGAATTAAAAGAAGATGTGAAAGTTAAAGATGATTTGAAAGTTCGACTCGACGGAGCAGGATCCGGCCAGCGTTTTCCGTCTTCAACATGTGCCCTATCCCAGCACTGGAGTCCCTGGATTTCTGGGATCAGACCTCGGTCCGACTCATACAAACTTGCAACTCGGTAGGGATGGGTTCGTCTCAATTTAGTTGATCGGGGCGTGCGCAATATCAGCCACGGAAAGTGGGAAGATTGACCAATAACATGAGCATAGGAATGGAGCTTGGGTCCAGTCTTCATGCCCAAGTAAAAATTCCCGTAAAGTGACAGCGGCGACCAGGAAGGTCAATGCAACCTTCCCGGCGCTTGTGTGACAGAGCAAGAGAATAAGCATCTATCCACGATCGATCGAGAAAGTGAGAAGTGACCACTCGTTTTGGGGACTAAGGAAGGATTCCAATGGATTTTTCGCGGGGATTTACCCCAAATCAGCGAGGAGCACTCAACGTAGACGCATTGATTCACTCACCCGATGCGGTCGAGTCCTCTTGAGGTAGAAATCATTGTGGTAGACTACCTCATCTGGGATGGAGAATCGCCATGAAACGCCATATCGGAAATTCGTAACGGTATCTCAGCCTGCTTCAGCCGTTCAAGAATAGGTACTGTCTACATGTGACCTCCACAAGACACTGCCAACGTAGGATGGTAGAGGAGGCATCCTGCTATTCGCACTGACTTTCTCCGATCCGGTGATGCACGATGGTGAAGTCGTTCCAAGCCACAGCGCTCCCCACGTTACGGTCGTGTTATTTGACATGACCGCTGACACAGAGGATTGAACAGACACCTTCACGGGGTAATTCAACTCCGACGATCAGCACCGTCTTTAGCTGACCCTTCATCATGTGATTCCAGCCTGCGTGATCGGCCGGGAGCACAAGTTATCACCCAACCTCGGTCAGATCAATGTTAGCATGCTATCTGGGACTGAATCCTCTCTAACCTTCTAACGAAGGCAGAGAGAATATGGTGCCGATTGTGACGACAATCATGTTCTATCAAAAGTAATATCTGATGATAAGACGAAAAGTTGAGCCCTCGAGTGCTCAGCGCTTTAACCTTGGATTTGAAAGACAAGGCCAGTCGACATGTGGTATAGCCTCTGTGCATAGGGTTTGCCATACGCCAGAGAGATATCGGCTGAAAGACAGAGAAATTCCGGCCGGAAAACCTATCACAGAATGCATATTGAATTTCGGGTCGATCTCGTTGGTTAGGTCTTGAACCGGCAATCTCAAATCCGCAACGGGATTCTGTTGGCATTTGTTCACACACGTATTATTTAGATACAGTCAGTATCGTGCAACCTGCAATTTTTTGGCTCGGACAAATGAGACGCGCAGAGACCACGCACGAGCCTTTGTAATCTTAGGGAAATGTAGCCAGGGCATTCAAGCCAATGTAACAGAGAATAGGAAAGGGACCTTGCATTAAGCAAGGTTAGGCTCTTAAGTGGAGTTATGTGATTCAAACAACTGCTGAAGTAGAAAGGTTCCTTGCGCTGAACGAGGAAGAACGAATTAGTGCCTGTTTCTTGGTATGATAGCAGCACGTTTCATCTTGATGGGAATTCGATATCTGAGGAGTCATGGGATACGATCAGATGTCAAGGAAACATTTAACCTAAGGTACCTCGCCTTAGTGGGGTATCGTAGCTGGGTTCGATACTAATCCAGACGGAGAAGCGTGGTTCTAGACGCATGGGAGTAACCATTTATAATGATTTCGCAAAGTCTAGCCAATGACTGCTGCGCTACTGGCGAGGGTATGTAAACTGATGGTGTATTTAACTGATTTATTTTCGATCTCTCTCGCTAAGGTATGGCATGATAGTCGAACGACCATCAATTAGTTACAAAGATCTCTTAGTAATGTCGATGCCCGTGATTTTGAAGGTATGACTGGCAGGTTGGTGAGGGCTATGCAACCCAGCCTGGGAGTCAACAATGTGTGTCATCAAAAGACCTTATCAAGAGCTGCCACAGATACACGTTGCTTTCAAAAGCACTTTATATCCTGCTCTCCGAGAAGAAGAAACGGCAAACCTAGACAGTGGATGATCATACCGCAAAAGATATCGAATTGCACATCCTTCATATGAACCTGATCATCCCTGCGGCCATCGAGAGGAGTAAACTTGTAGGGTTTCACAACTGAACATTCCACAAAGAAGGACCCAATGAGTCAGTATCGCTACGTCACTGCTCATGACCCGCGCACTTGTATGTATGATGAAAGGGTGTCCACGCTCTCCATGAAAGCTGCAGGCGGGGTGTACTTGGCGGCGAGGTGTTCCAGTCATTTTACGTGAATCAGTGCCTGTTAGGTAAGACATCATGTTTACTTTTCAGCTGTTTTGTGTCAAGAACCATAAGTCGAGGTCTTCAGTAAGACGGGCTTCGGCGGCTACAGGGCTTGGGTTAGAGTGGTGCTGCGGGTACCTGCCTAGACCCAGCCCTAACTTCATCCCCCTATATGTCATGTTCTTTTGCAAGTAGGAATAGTACGGGTCGGAACTTCAAGGTTGAACTTATGCGGGTTTCTAGTAGTAGAGGCACAAGATCGCCATGTAGTCTTGGATGTATTTGTGATCATGAACAATCTAGCCCCGAATGTATGTGCAAACGTCAAGTTACCACTAGTACATGGGGCTGCCCAGCTCAGATGTGCTCGAATCTGGGTTACGAACCCACTACGAAACCCCCCTTCAAGCTTGAAAAAGTGGAAATCAAAGTCCAACGCCGTTTATATGCAATGAGATGCTCTCGTGATCGTGGTCAATCGAATTTACTGTTGGCTACCAACGTAGGTCTCGCTAGTCGCATCACCGACGGTGATGGTGACGTTGTAGTTGGATAGGGTCGAGGACGAAGAGGCGCCGTACAAGCTGTACAGGCCGGCAGATACAACGTACTTGCCAGCTGCGAGACCAGCAGGGATCGTGACCGTTTCGGTGATGTTGTCGAGAACATTGGACTTTTCTACATCATGTGTTAGGAAACGGCGGCAAAGTATCAGCGTAGCTGTCTCGAAAAGAAAAAAACACACCAGGCCCAAGGTAAAATGAGCCCAAGACGTTCTGGCCGAGAGTTCCGGGGTAGGCGGAGGCCTCGGGGGCGATTCCAAAGGCGATCGCGATGTCCGCGACAGTCTGGATGTAGTTCTCAGTCTCGATGATAGCCTGGACCTCATCACCGGCCTTGACGGTCTCGGGCAAGGCGATGCCGTAGATGCGAGCGTTGGCCATGGCGAAGAGGCCGGCGGCGGCAGCGAGAGAAGCGCGGAACTGCATGTTGAGAGATTGCGTAGATGTTTGTATTAAGTTTAGTTGATTAGGCAGATTGTACAGGGTAGCCGCGATGTTTGGATAGATCGGAAGTAAAGTTGCTTAGAGTATGTCTGGCTGTAATAAGAAGGGAACGAAGCAGCTGAGGAGGGGTTTGTCTGATGTTCTTAAGCATTTTCATCACAAACATCAAATGAACGTGACGAGAGACCCTTGTCGTCTTTATTTTTCCATGTCTATTTTCGTACGAGGCGACGTCAGGATCCCCAAAGAATATCTCCGTAGGCGAAAATCGCCTGGGCATGACATCTTTGGGCGGTCCCGGGTCACCCGTGCCAGCCGAATGCACGGCTCCGACTCAAGCGGGTGGCGCTGCGGCTCGTGTCGCCATCGAAGCTATGTCTTGAGCATGCTCGATGGCACGGGTAAAAGGACTGGGCAGTTGGGGCTAGTGCATGATGTGAGTAGTAAGGTAGTACTCTAGAAATGTTCCTATTCGGTCTATTATTGGTAGTCGCCGCCGTTTCCACGGCGTCCGCCGCGACCAACAAGTTACTTCTTTCGCCTCAACGTGCGAGGAGGTAACATGCCGGGGCATCGGGTGCCGGGAAATTCTGGGGGAAAATGCTATGATCGGGGAAAGGGGGTGGGCCACAGGGCGAAGCTGCAGGACACTAATCAAACTTTGGCCAAGTGCTAGACGCTGATCGGGTCGATCTTTATAAATAAAAACAACATTGGTGAATTGGAGGATGACAAAAGCTCGTATATCTCTTGCAAGGAGCCGTACTAAAGATGATGGCATTGGTCCGTTTGAGGCACTGCGCAGTAGTTTTAGGGAGTTTGCTTTTGTTCGCCTCGACTCGCTACAAGTAAATGAGCCCACGAGGTGACGAGAACGAAGAGAACCGACGGACTTGGCTTCCCTTATGTCCATCACGGTAACGTTTCAGCACCAGCGAGCACCCTAACACGTCAGATGGTCCTGCTAGGAGGGTCTGCACTTTGAACGGCGTGGGCGGGAAGCATGGCGCAATAGAACACGGGCAACAGGTGACGGGCCATGGGATACGACCGGGGACCCCAGCAGGAGATGCGCCACTTTAGGGGTCCAATTGGCTCAAGTGTCCGCTTGCTTCCAGCGGAAAACAATCGATCTCCGGCCCAGCTTGCTTGATTGTGATTGAGTCTCCCTCAATGAAGCTGGCAAGTCGGTCCAATCAGACTTCATTCACAATGTCCTACATCAATTTGCATTTCTCGAACACATATTACACGTTGTCTACGTGCAGATCTAGTAATTACCGTCTCTTCAACCCAGCTCGGACAGGCCACAAGCGCACTAAGCGACATGAGTCAATAAAAGATGAAATCGGTGCATTCATATTATGAGGGTACTTGACAGCGGCGCAAAATGTTGGTCACGATTTGATACAGAAAAAGCAAAAGAAGATATCGTCACCCACAGGATTCGAACCTGCGCGACCGAAGCCACTGGCTACCAACTCTCCAGGATACAAATCCCAAACTAGCAGGCCAGCCCATTAACCACTCTGGCAAGGTGACTAACTGAGTGTTGCAAATGCGAATAACAAAGTGGAGTATAACTGACCAAGCGTGTATCTGCCAGCTCAGAGAGATCCACAAAGCCCCTCTGCTGATATGCAAGGGATATCCGTACAGTTACGGTGAGGTAATTATGCACAACGGTGAATGACGCTTTATGCACGCTGTATGCGGTTGGTGGTCAAACGTTCAATAGAATCATGAGGTCTTCATGCAGCGTACGTTCTGTTGCCGAGGCCATATCAATGCTACGTATTCATAACAGATATTATTCAAATCGGAGAAGAGCACCATGTACATCGGGGTTGACACTGCACTGTCCCGAGTTGTCCTTCAACTTAATCATCACACAGCCGGGAACTGTCGGTCCAACGTCCATGGTAGCACTTCCATTATGAACTACCGAAATATTTTCACGATGTCTCACTGGGGCGTTGTAGAAGAAGATGGGTCGACTTAACTAAAAGAATTGCGATACGATACGTTAAGCAGAACCGTCAACATCCGAACAAACTTCGCATTGCGATCTCTCAGATTGTAAATCTTGAGATTGAGGCACTGCTATCTGCCGTTGCTTGAGATCAACTCATAATGGAAAGATCATATGAGTTTACCCATCATTAAAGAGCGATCTTCTCTTCCCGGCGCGGAGTTCGTAGTTACGGAAGACGTCAATCAGTAAGGTACATGGAGTCGGGAAATCGTGTCTTGCTCTTGGCTTTTCTGATCTATCTAAATTCTAGTCTTTTTCATTTCTATGTGACCTAATTAGGCATCATCTTTGTTTCTCGATCTAAGTCTTCAAAGCGCTGGACTTGAAGAATTGAGGGTAAACGTCACGAAGCTCTCTTATATGACGAATTTGGTACTGGGAAGCCTGTGTCTCGGGAATAGGCAAACCTTCTTCGACGAGATGGGCCGCTGTCCAACCGAGCTCTTTCGCGCTCTTGCAATTATCGTAGGAATCATCTGCAGGTTTTAGTACAAATCATCTATATAGGAACCGAGACCCGTGGTGCGTCCACCGTGCCAAAGCTTTCGGGAGTCAAGAGCTTACCAACAAAGTAACAATCTCCCGGATTTTCAACCCCGGCCTGTTCCATGGCCCTGCGGAACATTTCCTTGGCTGGTTTGCAGACGAAGGGGTACTGGGCGTAGTCGCAGTACGTCAGACCATCAAATAGGTCATCGATTCCGAGGAGTCGCACAACCCGCTTTCCGTGGTTGACGTAGGCATTCGTGAAAAGCCAAAGTTTGACCTTGCTGGTGTCGATATCCTCCAACAGCGCTCGGAGGTCTGCGTCGGGCTTTAGGATGTCGTCGAGAGGCAACGCGTCATCCACCTTTGCGTTGAAATCCAATGGGTCTATTTCATGGTGGCGGACTAAGCCTTCGATAGCGAGGCCGTATGTCTTGTAGTATTCTCTCGTCAATCTGGAGGCTTCCTCCTCTCCCAGTGACAAGTGTGTCTCAAAATACTGCTCGATAAGCTTTGCCATGAGGTTGTGGATTTTGTGACCTAAAGAAGAACGCTAGTGAGTCCATCTAAGCTGGCGAGAATTCTGGCGCGCGGAATTATTGGTTGACTGACTTCTAGAGTACAGACAGTTGTCGATGTCGCTATTTCCCGGCGAGTCAGTATGCACCTAGCCGTTGAGCATCTCAGCTCTTGGAATTAACTGGGTATTGAGCTTACAAAAAGAACACTGGCTTACGAGCCGTAGCGCTTCCATCTGTTTTATCCGCCATGATGAAGTTCCTGTGAGCAGTGGCTGTCGCTGAAATGTTCCCTTATTGAAGCTCTTAGATGCGGAGACCCCGCGCCGGAATGAGATTTTGAGATTATGAAAACTGAAGTTTCGGAACACCTGCGAAATCGCGGGAGCTCCTCAGCATCTATAAATGGCCTGCAACAGAGACTCGGACACAGTTTGGGGTTAGCGTCTTAGCGGGAATTGCCCTGTGAATCAGTCATTGGAGGCCGCAGATCCACTGTGGTGTCCTGTGTCATGATGCGCTACCAATTCGACTCGTTTCTCGCCAGATTGCGTTGAGCAAAGCGACGGGAAATGTTTGAGAAGGGGTCAAGTCTATGAAATCTGCGAGAGAACTTTTCTTTCTAAAGTAACTTAGACCAAATCATAAGCCTGTCATAATGTATTGTATGGGCACAAGACCGTACACGGAGGATGTTGAGTACACACATTTGGTCTATGACTCATTGTCCCATCGAGAAATGCTGGTTATCGGGCGGGAAACCTAGTCTCAGCCCAAGGCATGGAAAACACGGTTAACCAGACCAAAGTTGTAGATAAGAGCCAAACGGGTAAGCGAAATCATATTAGGCATTTCTCCGTGAGTGTAGCAAGAGATGCTATATTTAGTTTTCTATCTTGCCTTCATGGCACAACTACAGCACAGGCTTAAGGTATATCCATGTCCCGAGCTTTGGGCGGGAGAAAGGAGATTCACACAAGTCATGGGATTGTCTTTTCTATTGTTTCGCCGACATATACCACATGGCAGGCATTTACATTCAAGGCAATAGGCAGAATTTGTCAAGTAGAATGGTTAGCTAAAGACTTTTGTAAGCCAATACTTCTTACACTTGTTTGCAAGGGTCAGAGCCATGCCCAATTTATATACACTGAAATGTCTAGAAAACATGTACAACCGAAAGAAGGATATATGCCACGCTCGTCTCGATATATGCGACCAATGTTCACTTCGCAACCATGTGGAAAATGAAGTTGTGGTAGGAGTGACGGCGGCCGCGGATGTCAAGTCTCAACAACTTACTAAAACACACGTATAATTAGCAACAGCAATGACAGATATCTATACAGTGGTACTTACGGCAGTTCCGGCGCTGTTGAAGGTAGAGCCGATGGGGCCGACCTTGATGTTGGAGAAGATGACGTTGGAGTTGGGGGCCTGGGACTCGACATCGGCGGGAACGCCTGAGTCGGTGCCGCAAGTGCCGCGAGCGGTGCCGGGGCCGGTCTCGTTGGTAGGGTAGGTGGAGTCCAGCCAGAGCATGTTGGAGTGGTGGTCATCCCAGACAGACATGACGAGAACCATACCCTCGGAGAGAGCCTTGCCCATCTGCGCAAGACCGCCCTTCTGCGCAAAGACGTCCTCATCACCGAAAGCCTTCTTCTGGGCGGTGCAGTAGTCCGTGGTGATGGAGTTGCCCTCGACGCCGGTGATGTCGGACTTGGAGTTGGCAAAGACCTTGCCGTCCTGGACGTAGAAGCGCTTGATATCGGTGAGGGCGCCGCCGGTCTCGACGAACTGCGTGACGACGGTGATCTTCTTGGAGGTGTCGATGGCGAACTGGGAGCCCTTGCCGTAGAAGGTGGTGTTGCCCTGGCGGTAGCTGTTGAAGTCGCATCCGTCGGGGTCGCACTGGCCGGCGTACCGGGTAGAGCTGTAGGTGCCTCCGCAGGCGTCGCCGTTGCAGCTCAGCTGGCCGACCGTCTCGCAGGGGTGAGGGGTGTAGGCGGTGGAGACGGAGTTGGCCTCCCAAATGTCCATCTCGGAGCAGCACGAGCCCATGTTTCCGACGCCGGCGTTGGCATCGTTGGAGGAAGGCACCCAGCCCTCGACGTTGGCCTTGCCATCGATGAACTTGAGATCGCGGGGGCACTGACTGTCGCAGTAGCCAGTTCCGTGGGAGGCACCGGCCTTGTTGGTAGGGAACTTGGACATGCCACCATCGGCGTCCATGGAGACGAAGTACAAGGCGCCGTTCAGACCGCACTATGATCGACGTGTTAGTCAAGCTGCTTCCCTGCACGTTCCCTGATCGGGTTGGAGGCTTCCACTTACACCAAGGTTGGAGACATCGACGTCAAAGGTGAACTCCTGGCCTAAGAGCTTGAACATCTGGTACTTATCTGTCCCGTCCATGAGGAACATGCGAGAACCAATGTTCTTGCTGTAGGGGCCCTGCTGGACAAATTTGAGGTTGAGGGCATCGCCGCTGGTGGTGGCGCCGTAGGTGCCGGAGTAGTCGGCTCCGTCCAAGCAGCACTTGGAGGCACAGTCCTCGCCGGTGGTACAGATGGAGGTGTCCCACTTGTTACCCGTGTAGCAGTTGGTGCTGCCGTCGGTCTTGTGAGTCCAGCGCCAGTTCGCATCTACGGTAACGGATCCGTCGACCTTGGTGCAGGCACCGCCGGCCGCGCAGTTGGACCAGGTAAGCGCAGGCTTGGTCTCCGCGTTGAGCGTGCAGACCTGCTGCGCGCGAACAGCGGCCACGAGGGCCGTGAGGGCAGAAACCTTGGTCAACATGGTGGTGATGATGTATATCTTCGGACGTCAAGTCGATAAAGAACGGATGAGAGAAAAGAGTGTGTAAAGATGATCAGACGGGTCTGAACATAAAAAGAATGAATTGGAGTGCCGGAAAAGAATGTCGCGAGTGGCTTGGGATGAGGAGACGAAAGCCAAAAGTGTGCGGATGGCCTCGGACACATTATATAGACTCTCACATACTGTTTCGATCTCCCGTTCAAGGTTAAACTATCATGAGATGGTTGCGCTTAGCCCCTCCTCTTTCCACTTCCTTCCAAACTGCTTAATTTCCGTCCAGGGGCTTAGGAGCTCCTGCGAGCGGCTCGGAGTGAGTCGTGATGCATTCAATTGGGAACAGTAACCCGGGATGCATCGGTCATTGGAGAGTAGATGATTGTCTAGTGGGCCTGGATAGGCAAGATCGGATGTCTTCCCGCCTTGCCTAAGTCTGTATTGAGGGCCCCAGGGCAGGTGGAATTGGACGAACGTGGTCAGAGTCCATTTCTTGGAGACTCAGAGAGACCAAGGCAGACCAAGCCTGCTGGGCGAAGCTTGATCCGGGAGGGGCGCAACTTGGCTCTCTTGGTTCTCTCGTGGCAGCCGTCTGCAACATATTGATTAATTACCACATGGTCAAAAGAGCTGGTGACGCGGGGATAAGGAGTCGGTTGAGCGAGTTAGCACAGCACATGTTTGCCGCAACCCGTCGTAAGGTGACATCGTGGGTCTTCTCCGCAAAGTCAAGCAAAGCCAAGTTGGGGTCTATGCAAGGGGCACCCGGGCGGAATATCTCCCACCGCCCTCCGTTTGGGAGAAGCGTCTCCATGCGATTGGACGAGTAATATCCGCCGCCCCTGCTTGCACCGGAGGACACGGCATTTATTGAGCATTACCGAAGCTACTGATGCGGGTGTGACGGCGTCAACTTACCCCAACAATCAACTTACCCCAACAATCAACTTATGTGCGGCACTGGTAGTGGTAGTCTCAGTTAGACTAGCAAGCGTGGCAAAGTTATCGATGAAGAGTTGCTTGTTCGGCAAACTGGCGTGGGGAGAAATTTTCCAAACCCAGCTCAACAGCAATATGTCCTAGTTTGCTCCGTCCGCTCTGCGATTAATAGTATTTGCCTCAATCTTTCTCACTAGGAACTCGGCCCACCATCGTGCACAGTCGTTCAACGTGGGGTGCTGAACCGCCGATATCCGGTCAAAGTTGACAATGCCCTTGGGTCTTGGCTCACCACTTTGAGATTCAACCGCAACCAAATGTGATCAGACCTTGACCATTATGCTTGCAGCTGCGCCTGAGGAATCACTATGTCTGAAGAAAAAACAGAGTTGAGTTCTCTTTATCCCATTCCCCAATCTTCCCCCTTAGTCTAATTTACTTTTTGGCCCCCTTTTCCTAGTCAGGACATGCCTGTTTCGCGGCTTCATACTGCCGGTAGTGGGGCCGTGGGCCCACGGAGCATCGAGCGGAATGACGGACCGTCAAGAACAGTCCACCTATCGGAGTCGCTCAGCCGAGTGCGGTCCTAGTCTTCTCCCGAGTACGGAACTGCTCAGTTGAGGTATACGGATTCATTACGTAGTTAATGCTACTCTAGATACCCATATCTTAAATCTCTATCTCGTGCAAAAGTCCCATGGTTTCTCCAAATTTCGGGCCCTGAGAATCTAATGCATGCAGAAACCCTTGAGAGCGCTAATTCTGTTGATGCATGTTACGGAGGGTATCGTACCGCACTCTTGGATTGTCAATGATCAGCCTCAATCACCTTGACCCGCCTCTAGCGCGCCTCCGGTGTGAATACTGAAGCTTTGCGGCTCCGTGTCTGACGGCTTGGCCTCGTCTTGGCCATGAGAGAAGGTCCATGCTCGCGTTGCCAACCAAGAGAGAAAATGGCTCGGAGATGGTATGCTCGGTCTCCATTCACCAACGGCTTGGGATCTCGGAGCCGAAATGCAAAGTCTTTCAGATGTAGTCCCATTTTGGCATGGATATCGCATCGTCTCAAGGAAAGAGATCTTGAACCATACAACAACGGAACGTCAAGCAGCACGGTGGAGCGCCTTTGGCTTAAACATTGGTGAATAGCGAGCACCATTAAGCTTCGTCCCACACTATCTGACCGTCGAGCCGGCAACACGGGTGGAGAACTAGCAGCAACTCTAGGTCACGGATGCTACCGCGCCGTTGGAACTATGATTCAGTGAGGAGATGAAGCTTATTCAAAATAGAATGTTCAAAAAGTTGGGCGGTGCTGCAGTCCATGGGAATATGAGTATGGTGATCTAAGCCTCTTCCACAAAGTATGACATCAGCAACGTTCTGAGCTTATCAGGTAGGAAGATAAGGCTCGACAGAGTCGCGACCTCCGCGGTGAAGGTTGAGGCTCGAGACTTTATATACTGACCCAAATTCAGACTTGAAGGGGCGAGCGCAAGCTGAACAAAGATCCATCAAGAGAGCAAGTCTGTCCAGCGAAACACCCCTCTTTGTTAGTTTCTTGTCAGGCTGCGCGTTGAAAGTCAACTTTAAGATCGGCCGTTCGTTTCGTCACAGAAAACTCCCGACTCTTGATTGCACCAACCACTGTAGTGGTGCAAGCCCCATAGGTCAAGGTTGACGTTCAGAAACAGAACGGACAATCATGCTCAGCAAATCAAACGAGCAAGAAAGGTTGGTGTGCAGTGCAGTCGTGACTGACTCTCTCATCTCGCCGGGATCTACTGTGCATCCTTTGTCGATGAACTACCGATTGGACTAGGTGAGCAGACGAGAGGACAGAGTTTTGCGTTTGTGAGGTTTCCCCAGTCTGTCGTCGAAACGGTTGAAACGATGACTGGGAGAACAGACGCCGAGCGATCACCGACCATCAACCCATTCTTTGGTGCTGCATTGATGGGATTCAACAACAACGAGACGATTCTTGCAATGCGAGACCGACAAAAATCTGGGTTATCTTCTCAGGGACTCGCAGTTCTTCAATTCATACTAAGTACTATATGGATATCAATAATGTGGAAGAATGCATTTAGATCATTATTGACTCTCAATCATATGCAAGGTACCAACAAACTCTGTATCAAATGCAGACGGACTAGTCCATACACCACACTTGACAAGGAAACTTTCAATGCAACTCACGACGGTAACAAAATTCAAAAGGTAGTGATAACTAAGCTTCCGAGGGTACTCAAGTTTGGCAGTCCCTCCCAGTGTCCACTAACCGGACTCACTGAGGGGGATCTCCATGCTTTTCCCCGCGAGCTAACGCAGGTCCTGAGGAGAACGTCCAGACTCATCGCTGAAGCCAAGAGATCCAAACCCGCCTGTAAGGCTTAGCATATTGCAATAGTCAAACCTGGCAGAAACGTCGCAGAAGTAGCGCTGCCCCTCGAATCACATAAGTGGAATCATTGGCATACATACGTAGATCAATCACTTGTGGAGGGAAAGTTTGATTATATACACTGCCAAGAACAACACCCACACAAACACACATAGTCATGGGCTATCGTTCATTAAGAGGGGTTCTTAGGATTCATGGTATGCAATATGATGCCGCACACTTTGCCGTCCCTTCAACTCCCCGGCCGAAACATTGCGGATACCTACATCGCACTTTGGAACATCTCTTGTGGCGGACCAGTTGTCTGGCATTCTTACCTATCTTTTTGCAAAAAGGGAAATAACAGGAAACCGGAAGTGAACGCTGAACGCTTTGTTCCTTCTGACCTACCTGCCTTGCTTGTATCAGCACCGGCGGGATTGCCACATGCTTGTAGCATTGAACTCGTCGCCTCGCATTCCCAACTGAGAAACTGCCTGTCTCCCCAATCGTACGACCATGCGCCTGGTCTTATCCGGCCGGCCCTGCATCGCTGACTATCCGTAGCATCTGTGCGTTTCAGCACGGGACTCTTCGAACACGGCGTGGTTGATGGGGTGGGAGGCACAGCAGGGAAATAACGGGCTATGGAGTGTTTAATACCGGGCGAAGGGAGAAAAGACTCTTGGAACTCCACCACGTCGGTTTCAGGAACGCAAAGTCAAGTCTTTTTTGGGATGCACAGCTCGGCTGCATGCCCCGGCCTACTGCATACTGGCAAAATCACCCGAGTGAACGCGGAGAGAGGAAATTCTGCCTCTGTGCGAGCGTCTCGGATTCGTCGTCATTGCCGGATCTGGTTATGACTCGGCGGTTTGCTGCAAAGTCCTCATTTTCCATCATGTTAGTGTTGTTCAGTTGTCACTATCAGGTTTTTGCAACGGAGCACAGCAGACGATTCGACATCAAATCATGGCTATGAAATTTTTATAATGTGTACACACAAGTAAAGAGTAAAAAAAGATGTATTGGGTGTAAAATAAAAAAGACTCGCAACCGCTCTCCAGGTCTCCGCAAAGCAAAGCAAAGTAAAGTTTGCCGCTTTTGCCCTTCTTCCCAAGATTTGAGTTCGCCGCGGTTTTGTGTGTCTCTGTGCGCTCGCTCAACAAAGAGGATTGTACTTGCAGAGACTTTGAATTAGGAGGGAAAACCACTATCTTTTTGACGACTACCACGTGAAAAAAGGGAAAGAATTGGCTCAGAGCGTTCGTCTACCGTCAGCTAGCAGCAAAGAAGCTGAAACTTCTCTCAATTCTAAGAAGAAGATCCCCTTCATGGCATGACCTCAGGCTGGAAGTCGGCACCGGGCACGACGTAGCGCTTGGCCCATCGAAGGGATCCGCTCTCCTCACGCTTGGCGGCTCTGCCACGCTTGCCAGCCCGGCCCTTGCCGCGTGCACGTCCGTTGCCGCCGGCGTTTCCGGCATTGCCGGCGTTACCGCCGTTGTTTCCAGTGTTTGCGTTGCCGTTGCCAGCGTTGGCGTTGCCGGCGTTGGGGTCAGCGGCAGGGGGAGCAGCAGCGGTGTTGCCTCCGGTCTGGCTGGGGCCGGTGTTCTCGACGGGGAACTCCTTGACGGTGACGGGGGGAGCGCCCAGAACCTTGTTGGCGGCATCAGCAGCGGCCAGCTGCTCGGGAGTTCCGTCTTTCTGGTTGGCGGCAGCGGCGGCGGGGAAGTCCTGAATATCCTGCTGAACCTGCGAGAGAACACCCTTCAACTTGGCGGCGGTCTGGATGTTCTGGGGGGTGTTCTGAGTAGGAGTGACATCGGTCTGCTGGACGGGGAAGCAGCCACCGAAGGGACCGGCGACGGCGTTGTTACGGCAGCGGACAGTGCAGACGTTTCCGGTAGAGGCTGTCGAGTCATTAGTTTTTGATTCCAAACCAGGGCTACTATATTCCACTAACCTCCAGTGCACTTCATGTCAGCAGGCATCTTGACAGTGACGTTGAACTGCTGAGCCTTTGCCTGGGAGAAACCGTTGGTGCCGGGAACGTTGTTGGTGACCTCGAGAGGAATCTGGCCGGTGCCGGCGAGCGAGTTGCTCGTCTGATCCAAATCGCATGAGAAGGGACCAGCACCATCGGCGTTGACCTGGTGGATAGTGACTGTGACCGTGCCGCCCGCCTTAACCTGCGTGACCTGGTTCGCTGCCAGGGCGTTCTCGGTGTTCTCGCCAATGTCGATGTTGCCAGCAATCTCGGTGCGTCCGCACTCGTTGACGACGTTGTTGTTGATCTCGGCATCACGGATAATCGTGGCGTCCTGCTGGCAGGGGTTGATAGTCGTGCAGTTACGGGCAATGTTCGGGTCGACTGAATTTGAGGGTTAGTATCAAAAGATCGTGATATCCTCTTCCCGCTCGTTCCCCTTTTGCGCAAAACATACCCAGGAACCCGACACTAGCAGGTGAGCCGGCGTCTCCCTGAGCACCGAGAATGGCAGCGTGGCCATGGGCAACGGCCAGGAAGGCCGAGCCGATTACAATATCCGTGAAAGAAAGCATCTTGTCTCGCAGAGACTAAGTCGGAATGTGCCAGCACGATTAAAGGAACGAAGTGAAGGGAGAAGTGAAAAGAGAAGGAAAAACGGAAAAGCCCGGTGAAAGAGCGTAGGCGCAGAGGAGGATAATATGATGTGTGGGTAGAGAGAAGGGAAAGGGAAACTTAAACACGAGACGAGGCCGTGAAAAGGTCGTCTTATACGAAGGCTCGCGGTCGAGGACCGAAACGACGCAAACACTGCCAAACGTCGACCAGCCCATGATGTACGCTGATCTGCTCAGATCATCTGCAACACCTCTTGTCGCAAGGCTGTGGTGCTGGGCGGAGTCGCGACCTAACCCTGAACCCGACGTATCTTGGCAGATGGAGGGTAGGGGACTGAAGGGGGTGGTGTTGGTGGTGTGTGGTAGGGGGAGAAAGGGACGAGCCATGGAACCTTGGGGGGGTCAGGACCTCACTCGAGGTTGAAGTGGATGAGAGTGGCCACCAGTATGGGCAGTAATAGCATGGTCAACATGGTCCATGGTGCAGTGCAGTTCGCGTTGGTTCGAGACCTGGTCAAGCGGCCGGTAGCGAGGCAATTGGAGGAGGAGGATGAGGCTCACATGGGGGCACGATGGGGCAGAAGTTCAGTGACAGTGGATCTGAAGGAGGGTTTTGGCTCATGATCCCTGTTGATTGACGGACATAGTGACGGCGAGTCAACCGCTAGTTTTCATAAACGGCGACTAGCCGTGTTTGGCAGGGCCGAGACAGATGGAAAGAAAAAGGTCGGACGATTACGCGCTGGGGGGGCGCTGTTCTGAAGAGGCGAGCGTGTTTCATAGAGCATTAGGAGATTCCATGGTAAGCAATTCTGACAACGGCAGCGGACTGCAGACTTCCTAGTCGAACAGTGTCGACGGAGTGGAGGGCGGGAAGCCTGGCGAGAGTTGAAAGGTTGCGGTTTGCTCGCTGAACTCTGGACGCTTTGAGCAACGATTTCGCATACGGGCCCTGTTTTCTCCCGGGGGTCAGCGCTGTCCCATTCGTCTGTTTCCCAGGATAGTCCCATCTCTTCTCGGCCCAAAGGGGGTCACAGACTCGACGAGGTGATACAGACGCCAAGAACAAAAGCACCAAAGCGCGCATACGACAGCCAGAAGCGGTGCCGCGGCGAGACGAGCGGGGTGAGCCGGCTCTCACGCTCTCACGCTCTCACACACTCTCATCACCCTCATTCTCTGGAGTCTCCTAGTCTCGCTCTTGTTTTCTCTCTTCGTCTCCTTACCCCCCTCCCCTACCCTCCCCCCTTCTCCTTTCGTCCCATTCCTGAGGCCTTGACGTTGACAGGCGCAAGCGTGGGCTCTTCCCGACGCGGGTAGGAAGCAGAGAACGTGGGAACTCGTCTGGTGTATTGCTCTCATTCTGAGACTCGCGCTCGGAGACCGGCCGAAGGCTGGTCGCCATTGTAGCCCAAAAGGAGCCACGGACGCGCGACGGGACGGGTAATCCGTCAGATCCAACCCAGATCGTGGCGTCCACGCTAGTCCGACGGACGAGAAAATGGGGGAACAATTTGTTCAGCTGAGCCTCATTTTTGCTTGGTCCTTGGTGATCAGCGCTACTGATAGGTAAGACGAGCGAAGTTCGGGAGATCAACTTCGACTCGACTTGCTTGGTATGTAGCCAAGACCACCTGGCTCCAGTAAAGAGCGTGGAGAGAGAGTTGGAGTACAGTGCATCGAGCAGAGAAGCCCTACCGATCGTGAACTCTGTTCTTGGTGAGTCTGGGGAGCAATCTATCTTCTCCCACCGGCATCCCCGTATGCCACTTAAGGTACAATTTAGCGGACGGGTACCTGAAGGCTTGCGAGCGTACCTTGCATGGCACGCATGGGAAGTGTGGGAAGGGAACATGGAGTACTCCGTTCACTGCATTTCTCTCGCGTGCTTCGGGGTGCCGCACCGGCAAGCAGCGCGCTCTTCTGTCCGCCAGTCCAAGTCCAGAACTTTTCTCCTGCTCTCACGCTCTGTGTCTCTTCTCTTCCGGCGAGCGGTTCCGCGTAGATTGCCAGCCGCTGGCACCACTACCCTAAAAATTCTCCGTAACGGAAAGGAGACGCGCGAGATCCACAAGATTGCCGCAAGGAGTCGTCCCATCCCTGTTGGCGCCTGGGATCTTCAGACCAGGATCTACCCTTCACGTTTCACCCCTGGCCCACATCTGGAAGCCAAGAGCAGGTGTCATTCGATCACCAGCAGCCTCAAGTGGGTGGGCTGCGTCGAGCGTGAAGGGAGGAGACTGGTCACTGGAGGTGGAGGGGGGGGATGGACTCAAAAGAAGGGACGTTTCGAGACGAATCTGAAGCAACGACATCGAGCCATGAGAGAGTAAAAGGGGATAGCTCGGCATTTTACTCTGAGCCTGTTCTGTGTCGTCACTCGTCACTCGCCAACCGTCTGGCTTCTGATATCCACAACCTCTGGTCTCGCGACCGGGCCCCTAGCCTCCGGGGGGTGAGATAAATCATAATGGGATTTCAGATGGGATTAATCTCGCCTCGCGCTGCCCTCCGCAACCGTAAAACCTTAGTGCTCGTCTCTGATCTCTCAAATAGCCCGTGTTTGCCCATATTACTAACCTATCACCAGCAATGTCCGCCGCCCCTCCGCCGCCTCCCGCCAGGAACAACTCCTGTTCGACCCGCCTGCAACCTTATGCGACTAGTCAATAATTGATAATGTTAAACGGTGGCATCCTCGGCGGGAAGCGATGCATCAACCTCGCAGATTACCTTTTTTTACTTGCATGCAACAGCCCCGATGTAATCGTTGTCGCATCAACCTCATCAGTGTTTGACAGTTTTCATTACGAGACTCCCTTGTTCTTGTCCTTCTCCTTCCAGGCTTGGTCAGCGTCGGGATGAACCGACGGGCTCGCAATATGCTTCCGAGCCTCCTCTTTTTGCTTATAATCCGAGTTGAACCTTTTGTCTCGGTCGCCAACGTACTTGGCAAAGTCCAATTGGCCGGGCTGGGTGAAGCTTGTCATGAGTTGCGGTTCGCCCAAGGGCAGCTGGTGGCCTTTGTCGACCTGCCAGAGGTGGAACACTTTTCCATATAGCTGGACGACTTGCTCCATCTCCTTGTTCTCTGCCGCTTGCCAAGCCAGGTCCGGCAGCTTTCCCTGCGGCATGATGAGCATGCCTGACTTGACCTCATACACATGGCTGTGCCAGAGCTTTCGCTCCTCCGCGTCCAAGGTTTCGTAGAGCTTTGGCGTGATCATGTACTCGATGCCTATGATGCGTGCATTCTTCTCGGGGCTATCGTAGAGTATGCATTGCCGGACGTCTTCGTTCAAGTGTCCGCAGTAATGATTTGCCTCCACCACGCGTGTAAGGTCAGAGGCATATGCGTGAAAGGCGTTGAGGTGAGCGCAGACATTGCTTAATGGTGCGAAGTCCTATTTTGGTGTCAGAGGTCGTGTTACAATGAGGGTGATTCGTCAGAGAGGGAGAACGTACCTGCACTACTGAAGCGCCAGCGTTGAGCACTTGGTTCTTGGTGCTGATGGGATCTCCGGCATTTGCGTCCGGCTTGGTAGCCATGGTGGTCGATAAGCGAGATTGCAGTGATGCTCTGGGCAAACACCTGCTCGATTCGTTCGAGACGTGGGTACTTGGGCTTGACGTTTGAAGATTGAATGAGAGTTACTTAGTTCTAAAACTTGTTGATGGTTCATGTCTTTTTTCTATCACTCCTTCGTGAAGGTTGGGGAGATTCGCTCGCTTTGACAGAGCCCCATGATTCCCCTCCTGACGTCATCCATGCGGTTCCCGCACTCTTCGGCCGCGATTTCATCATGATTGCAGCATCGAAGAATCAGATGGAAACACCAACGGCAACTCGGGAAGGGAGAACCTGCGAGGGCGGGCAGCTGCACAGGCGAGAAGGGGGAAAAGAGAAGGGCGCAGCATCGTCTCCTGCCCGTTCTCCTCGGCGTTTATGTGCGGCAGACGGAGGTCGCCCCGCTTTCCCGGAGCAGTTTCCCGGCGCGGGTCTTCCCGCCTTAGCCTTGGCGTGTGCTGCCGGACTCCGATCGGTCGGCGCCGAGGAGGGGCAGGGCTTGTCGGCCGGTAGGGCGGAACAATGCCCTGTGCTCGGATTCGCGTCGGTGATCGACCGTTCCGGCTCACGCCGCAGTCAATCATCTCCACCAAAAGTTTGAAACGAATGCTGGCCTGACTGGACTTTGAAATGGTACGAGGGAACCGCGTAAGCGCCGGTTTGCGCAATCCTCGTTTCGAAAAGCTTGTAACCAGATAAGATAATGTGCTTGTCGCAGCTTTAAATGGAATTTGCGTTCTTGCAAGTGTGTTTTGCTTTGCTTTTCTTTCGTACGGCCAATGACTATATGCATGTATTATTTACTAAGGTGGTAGATCTTGTGATCTGGCAAGACAAAGTAAAATCAGTGTCATCTCCAATCACAATTCAGTCATTCGGGAAATTGCCATGCACAAAGCAATAGACTAAAGGCAGTCATTCCAGATGTTTGCAAAAACGATCAACGGTTCAATTCAAATAGATTCCACAGTACATTGGTACTTTGTAATTCTCCCGCAGAGACTTCCATCCACTCTGCTTGAGAGCCTATCAAGCAGGCTGCCCTTAAGCAAGTACTTGAAATGATACCTGCTGCCTTGGCCTTCGAAAGACTAGACGCAGAAGATGCAGCCACAGCTAAAGTCGAAGCTACAGTCGCGCTTATGGACATCGGGATACGCAGCTATGATGGCGTCGACATAGTCCTTGCTGAGTTTGATTGAAGTTGTCTGACCTTCGGGGTTGGGCGCAGCCAGGGCAAGAGACGCCAGAGCAGTGGCGACGATGGCGATGAACTTCATCTCGGATGAAGCTGAGCAGTTGCGTGTACTTGGATTGGTTAGAATAACTCTAATCGACGCCATGTTCATGTGACGTGATTAAAACTCTTGAAGAAATTGTTTGAGATGCACACAACTCGATATCGAAAGGACGTACATTAGTGATGTGGGATGCACACTGGAACTCAGTGTACTAGATTGTTTGATGATGGTGGTGGTCAAAGGGGATGGAGTTGTGCTTTCGAAAACGATGATTCTGCACCTCTTTATACTCAACTGCATTGATACTGGGTTTTCTCTAGGCCATTTGTGTCATTTCTACGAGGGAGGTCTCACAACCCCAGCTACGAGGAACTTGGTTCTTATTTCTGCCGGTCATTCATGTGCACGTTTGAATCTTTGAAACTAAGAAGATTCCACGAATCTGGAGACTCGCACTCTGCCGCTAGGACGCGCCTTCTCTGAGAACTAGCTGCGGTCGTGTGGCCATCACCTTCGATGATACATGATACTGGGTGAAAATGCCACTCGTGATTCGACGGTACCTGAATTGAGGTGATCAAGCCATTGGTAACTATTTCAACATGTGCTACAAGTCACCACTTCGACAGTCGCTTTTCATCCGACATTTTATAGGCTCGTACGTCCTAATGCAGTAAGCCTACAGGAAGCCCGCTTACCCATACCACCCCGTGAGCCGCCAAGACTATCGCAGGAACTTTATGGAAGGATTGAGAAGGATGTTGACTGATTATTCGTGGAATTGTGAAAGTGATAGTGCCGTAGGATCTGATGTTGCGATGACTTTGTGATTGATCCTAACGCTGTCCGGTAAACGTTTTGTAATTACTGAGGTACATCTCGATCAACGACTGAGGAGGATCGCAATTCCACTTTGTTGATGTTCGAAGGATTCGACGAGACATCATCTTTTCAAGCGGGGTTTGTTGATGGAATCCAACGGATGAGGCCGGATTTCTCTGTGCTTTGCCATCTTTCAAAGTCGCTCAGTTTATGCGATTATTACCAAAGTTACCTCATGAACAATTACCTCAACTCGACAAGCCCTAAGGATAATAATGTGACCACGACACCTATGTGGCCGAAATGGGAACATGCCGTTTCTTGTAATCGTATATGGGGATTTTCGGGGGCTCCGTAGTATACAAATCTGGTGTGCCGAGAAACAGTCCATTCTCACAACAGGCTGCACGATCAAAACAGTGTTCACAAGCCGCGACTTCACTCGGCGAAGCCCGCAATGTCGATTAAAATTGTGATTTCTTCACGCGTCATTATGTATGAATACTATGTGCGCACAGTAGTAAACTGCAAAAAGGTTGTATTAATCCTATCATTCGATCTTGTGTGGCTATAGGTGTCATCACCCTGTTATCTGTGACATAGTGTTGACAAGCGGATCAACGACATGCCTCAACATCTCCAAACCCTATGATTTCAGACATTTTGAGTGATACACTTGTATGAAATAATGCTGCTGCGTATGTTCAGCATGTAGAGCTGACGCATAAAGTAGGTGAGTGGACGGCTTGAGCTCTTTCAGATTCCAACAGGCGACGCCTTCGAGAAACGAAGCAAGATGTCAACACAAAAGCGCATGTTGTTCCCACCCTATTGACTACATATGCCTGCCTATACATGTGCACAGTGATGAGAGGCATTTGCTGACGCCAAATTGAGATACTCCATGCTTTCCAATCGAGAGGGAACTACTCAAGTATCAATTAATCAGTACCTATTGAGCTCGTCATGTTCCTCCACGTAAGTTAAGACCATCTCGCACTAGAAGCAGATTTTCTGCCAGCAAAGCTCAACGCTCTTACTTTTGGCTCCTCTCACCGCACCATTTATCAGCTCATCATTGCTTCGCGCGGGACTTGTGATAGCGCACTTAGCTATGATCTAATTTCTGATTACTACATTTTTGTACGAAGCTGAAAGTTAGGTGCTCTAATACTGCCCCTCTGTGCGAACATCAGCCATTGTTGTTCGCTTTGTCAGGCGTTGCCAATAGCCCTTTGATACATGACTCGCCCACCCTGACTCTCCGCATCAACAATTTCTGAGCTGTGGCCCGCGCTCGTGAGGTCTTTGTCTTAAAGATCCCCCAAGATAAGGCCCCTTTCTTCACAGAACAAAAAGAAACCATCATATGGATACAGAGTTCAGCTGGGAAGTCTATAGCGTGGGCATCGGAAATCTTTCCGGCCATCCGCAGCCACTCAGCATATCAGGGTTGTCAGCCCCCTCGTGCCCTGGGAAATGTCTCGCAAACCCCTCATCTCCGCCCCGGTGCCATTTATGACATTTATGACATGCTCAATTCACCGTCCGCCCTGGGCTTATCCTGCGGAGGTCTCCACCCCGCAGATAAACCACCGAACAACACCGCGTACGAGAGACGTCAGTCGCTCGCCAGCAGAGTCATTTCGAACGACTCAAGCCCTGCCATCAGGTCTTCCAGAAGGTCTCGCACCCCCCTCTTTCTGGATTCGTCCGCCTGCAGAGAGGGTGTGGTCGATCTACACAGATGAAAGGAAACAAACCGTTGGCAGCCGGATGAAGTGAGTCGCCCCAACGTCGCGGGCCCCTTTTTTGCAGACGCGAGAAAGGAAAGGGTAAGCTTACTTACTCGGCGCTGCGCGTGGCCGAGAAGAGAAACCAACTTTGAGATCCGACAAACATTCCCCCCCAGTACCTCGAGCAGGTCCCTTCCCAACACGGCCATGTCCCAGAAACCAACAAGCTTCGCTTGTGACCGGTGCAGGGCGGGGAAGCGAAAAGTAGGTCGTCCGCGCGCGAAGAAGAACTCTCCCAAAGTTTTGCTCCATTTCTAGACTCCATTCTAGACCCCACGGGGAAGGACCAACTTCCCCGAGCTCCCTTGCTAGTCTCCTAGTCCTTTCGTGAACTGCCGTGACTAACGACTTTCTCCCGTCGGCAGTGCGATGCTGCCCGTCCTGCATGCTCCTTGTGCAGCAGGCAGAACAGGGAATGTGTTTACACTGAGCAACGCCCCAGAAAGTGTGTCACCTACTAGTCACTTATGGTTCACGTCAACTATAAGTAATGCTAAGTAGCCACCGGACTATGTCGCTAACGTAATCATCCAGGCGGAAATACTGGGATGAGGACTACGTCAGAGCCCTCGAGGCTCAAGTACAATCGCTGCTCTTGGCACTAGAGAAGCAAAGCGTTGAGAAAGAGCCCTCTCCGGCGTTGTCTCTGAGTGATCGCGCATCTCAGTCTGCAGAGCCCGATGCGACCCTCCGAGAAAGTCTCGATGGAGGTGACGCCACCGAAGGTCTCCCAGCCGGCGGTGACGACGAGGAGACCAAGGACGTTGTGTCCATAGAAGACCATGGAGGCAGTGCGAGTAAGGACTCAGGGACACAAGAGAGGTCTCAGATGGCAATGGAAGAGCTGTGTGTAATGCTTTGGAGAACGAATGTCGGTGACGGGGTAACCATCATCGACGACCCTGCCACTGGGTCTCACTATGCAGTCGATCCCGTACGGCCAGCTGTACCCATGGCCCATCAAGTCATCCCTCCAGAACAGGTGCTCGTTTACTGTCGACAAAAGGGCCTAATCTATGACATGGCGGATCTGTTCTTGGATAACATCAACCAAGAACATCAGTTCACGCCGTACACGACAAACGACTTCCTGCACAACTACCCTTACCAAACCCCAGATGAAGCCTTCTTACACAGTGCCATCATCGCTACAGGCACAACCTTTACACGACGACCAGATGCTACCCTCATAGGAGATGCATTCGCGCAGTTTGCAGAAAGCCTTATGTTCACCTGCTGTCGGCAGAACCCAACACTCAAGGTCATCCAGGGGCTGTCAATGATGTCCTGGCGCTCATTGGCTATGGGGAGAGACCACTTTGGCTGGATGTTCATCTCCATGGCCGCCGGCATGTGCGTACATCTGAGACTGCACGTTCTGGCGCTAGACGAGTGCGAAGCCAGGCAGCTGGAGGCTACGGAGCAGGAGATTCGCACTTTTTGGATGTTTTACATCATTGACCGGACAGCCATCTCGATTCTAGGCCGTAACTGCGCATTACCGTGGCGGAGAGTCAACGTACCGGACTTTGAGATGACCTTTGAGAGCTCTAAGGCGGGCCTAGGTCAAGTATCTTTTGCATGGCAGTGCAAATTGTGGTATCTGCATGACCAGTACATGGACCAGGTGTAAGTCCTGCTTCCCCGTCTCCCATACAGGTTTCAGAAGATGGACTTTCGTGAGTAACACTGATCTCAGCTTCTCAACAAACTTCGAATCTCTACCCATATCGCAACAAGTCCGCATCCTCGTGGCAAGCCAGGACGCACTCAGCGCCTTCTTCCGCTCCCGCGATGATAGGCTCCATCTATCGGGCGACTCAACCCCGAAACCAGTTATCCAATTCCACCTAGCCTACCAAATGACAATCCTCATCACCATGCCCCCGTTCCTCCGCATTTTTGCCGCAATCTCACAGACCTCAGAGACAACCGAGCCCGGGAACACTGCGAACAACAGCAGCAGCAAGAGACAAAACTCGGAATTCATGCTTCTCGTCCTCCGCTCCCTCACCGCAGCAGCAACGGCGACTTCTCGCCTCGTCCGGACCTACCGCCGCGCCCACGGCTTCGACATATCCCCGAACCCGGTCATCATCCACCACCTCCTCAGCGCCGCCATCGTGCACCTCATGAACGCGACCAGCTGGACGCCGGCGCTGCGGCACCAGAGCACCTACTGGCTCCGGCAGTGCCTTGAGCTCCTGCGCGAGCTACAGGTCTCGTGGCCCGTCCGCGCCGTCAAGAGTATCAAGATCATCCGCGTGCTCGCGCAGCGGTGGGGCGTGATGAGGGCTCTGCCCATCGAGTTCAGTTACCAGATCGAGCAGTCTGTGTCGACAGCGCCCGATGCTCAAAGTGACTTGGGCGCGAATATTACGCAGCCTAGGAGTAGGGACACGGGCGAGGCGGACCTGAGTGGTGTGAACCAGGTTCAGTTCGAGTATGAGTGGGATGGGTACGGCGCTACTGCGGCTGATGCGCCACCCGTGGACTTTAGCACCTTGGACATGAGCTCGTTTGCGTCTCTGGGAACTCTCGATGTTTCTGGTTTGAGCGGTGAGCGGACGAATCCTATGGGTACTCTTGACTTTCTCCAGGCCTTCCAGGGGCTCACAGATTGCGAAGACTTCAATTGGCTTTCCACTAACAATGGGTTATGAACGAACCAAGAGATGGGAAAATGTCTCGGACATGTGTAGCGTAGGCTCACGGATGCAATGTATCGGTACTAAAAAACACCTCTATACCTTCTCATGGTTCGGAAGGTTCTTGTTGCAATCTTGGTGTTATGCAGCGATTGAATGATCAGGAAATCTCGGTCGAAGCGATGGTAGTTTATGGATGAAAAGTTTGATTTGCTAGAATGACAGAAATGGCAATTATGAAATAGGTATCTAGAGAACAAGCACAGCCTCCTCCTCTTCCTCCTTCGGCACCTTCGCAACACTACCATCCGCCCTGACCAGGATCTTAATCTCCTTATCCACATTAAGCCTCAGAAGATCCGGTCTGCTGTAGTGGCCGGTGCAATCCGCGAACATCTTTGTCCTGTGGATGGCGTCAAAGTCCAACTCGCCGTAGATGATGGTCTCCGTGTTCTCGTCAACGGGCTCCGATAGCCTCCGGCCGTCCGGGCCGAAGATGGCAGAGGTTCCACCGCCGGGGCTGGACATGATGGCGCCGCCCGCGCTGCTGTGCGCCGCGATGCCCTTTTCGGAGATGAGCGCCGTGCTGTGGAGAACAAAAGCGTTTGACTCAATAGCGTATGTGCGGGAGAGGTTGTGGCATCCTAATCATCTAGGTTAGTTCAAGTTCATCAAGATGCCGGAATATCGGAATGTGGAATTCCGCCCGGAACGACCGTAGTGATGACATACCTTCCGCGCTCATCGACCACATGTCCGGGCCACCGCCGGAATGAGGCGTGACGCTGGGCCATGCCGAGACATGGATTTCTTCCTTTTGGGCAATCGTGTTATACTTCAAAAGGGGCTGGATGTGCTCCCAGCACGCCAGAGAACCGACTCGCGCAAATGGCAGCTCAGCCACGCTCTTCAAGCAGTGGCCCGACGCGTCGCCAAAGATGGTCCGCTCCATGTGCGTAGGCTTCATCTTGCGGCGGTGCACCTTGATCTCGCCATCCTGGCCGATGAGGGCCTGCGCGATAAAGAGCGAGTGGTTGTCATTCTCTGAGAAGCCGAGCGAGACGGCAATGTTGTTCTCCTTTGCGCAGGCCTGGATGGTGGCCATCTCAGGCGAGTCAAGCTGAAGCGAGTTCTTGATGTACTTTACGTTGAGATCAAAGTCGATGAGGCGGGTCCAGATCCACACGGGGTAACCGGGGATCCAGCACTCAGGGAAGGCGATGAGCTGAGCCCCGTTGGAAGCGGCCTCTGCGATGAGCTTGCATGTCTTTGCGACGGCGGCTGGGAGGTCGATCCAGGCGGGCTCGGCCTGGGTGACGGCCACCTTGACAACTTTGCTTGTGTTGGTCATTGTTGCTGTTGTTGTTGCTGCGGGGGTGGAGTTGGTGATACGTAATGCAAGGTTTGAGAGCAAAGACATGTGAAGGGGAGATACAACTGCAGGTAAAAAGTAAAAAGGTTGACAGGTTCAACTGATTTCGGACGACCCTTCGAAGGCTTCCTTTTATATATCTCTTGGATGGCGCTGCTAGCTGACCGGATGTGGGCGCGGCATGTAATAGCTGCAATACTACAGGGTGGTTCGTTACCTGATGAAGATAGCGCCAAGATATGTCTCCTTACAAGTTCGTCTCTCTCCATGCAACTCAGACCCAATGATAAGGAAAATGCGGGGTTAGAGTTTTGCTAATCTCCATAGTCTTCTTGATAGCAAGGAGATCGTTTCACAATGCGACTGTCATAGGGGGGGGGGGGGGGGCAATGATAGATCTTGAATTCCGCTAAGCCTCCGTTGGCTGCGCGGCAGTCAGCCGGGAGCGGAATGCAGACCTCCGCAGTGATACTCCGTCAGCAATGTCCAGAGGCACACGACTCGAGCAAGGATGTCAATAGTGCATTGTTATAGTGCTAATCATCTTGGATATCAGAGCTATCGGCAGATTTGTTACGAAATGATACTACGAAGGAGCGAAAAGAGCAAGTCAGAATCGATGCTCGTATCAGGGGCCGGAATCCTTTTATGGATGCGGAGGAAATCCATATCCCGATGAGCCCCGTCCTCCCGGGCGTAACCAAGATATGCCAGGCTTCAACCAGCCTGCCATTCAGCTCAAATCCACTTCAACGCGTTCGCTTCATTCCCCTATCACTCCGGGATTTGACTAATCGGCCCATTTCGAACCAACCTCATCAGCTCAATAAGCGCCGCCTTCCCAGGGCCGATCATGTCGAGTCCCTTGAGACCCTTCGGAATGCAGCTCAAGCCAATCGCAATACCCAACCCACTTCTTCTCCGTTATCTCGCGTAGGTCGAATCCCTCTTGGCCGGCGTCGACGGAATATCCGTTGACACTCAAATAGCTTCCGAACTTCTTGCCCTCCACCCACCCCTCCTTGTTTGGTCTCCACACCTTTGTCATGCTCTTCTCGCCCGCCGTCGCCGTAGCCGCCGGCCCGCCTTTGCTGCGGGCCTCCTTCTCCTCCGATCCGGAGTCGGTCCCAGCGCCGACTCCTAGGGCAGCTAGATCTACATCAACCACCTCGCCCTTCCCCATAAAAGTGAAGCAACGCATGCCACAACCTTTGCAAAAGAGAAAGTGCAGGTCTCTCTCATAGACCGTATAGTCGCCCAAGTCGTTGTACGGGTCGAGGGGCTTCAGGAGAAGAAAGTCATCAGGGGCCGAGGCGAGGCGCATGTGAAAGATTCCAGCTTTGTGGCAGGTGGTGCAGTTGCATCTATAGAAGTCTTGATGCGTTCGCGATTCGGCCTTGGGGACACGCGGCTGAGGTAGTGTGTGAGGAAACGAGAGGAAGACGATGTATTGCGTCGCACCGCAATGGCATGAGCCTTTGTAAGGTCGTCTAACAGGCTGTCCATCCATTGTGAAGACTGTTGTTCTGTTCAATGTGATTGTCGATGAAGGTAACTGAAGATGTAATCGGGTCAGACTGCTTCTCTTTCAAGTGCGAGATGATTTGGAGCGGGGAACCTGGTACAGGTGCGCCCTTGTAGAAACATGGAGACAATCGCCCAATTGGCGCGCTCTCGCTGATCCCTAGCCACAAATCGGACACATTCAGACCCATTTGCGACTGGTGTTAAGCCAGCACAACAATTACTTAGTCAAATGGCGTGTAAGTGATTGATTACAGTTACAATTTATCGCGCCGAGAGCCCATATTGGCTGATTGTTATAAGACGGAACCCCCAAATAACCCCTCGTGCATTCTGAGGGCTGGGCCCATGGTCAGGTCTATCAATCCATCATGCGATTGAGAGTATCGATATGGGACTATGATTTCAACACGTATCTACCAACTTTCTTCCCGCTGCCTGGCCAACCCACCGAGCATTCACCACGGGATCGGGCCATGTCGGTTCGAAAATGTCGCGCTCGCACCATCAGGTCCCAAGGTCGCCAAATGCACCGCCTGAAGCGATCCCAACGACGCCTCATCAGGCCCCTCGTACGAGTTCATGTTGGTCGCACAGTAGCCAGGACAACAAATATTGAACTTCCACATCTTGTCGTCTCTGTATCTAGACGCAAAAGTCATCGCAGCGTGATTGAGCGCGGCCTTGCTGGAACCATACTCGATAAAGTCCCTCACAGGTCCCAGATTAGGATCTGTTCGAATCGCAAGACTCCCCAGCCCTGAACTGACGAAAACGACGCGCTTCACTTTGGACGACTCGCGCAGGAGAGGTATGAAAGCGTCTGTGACGGCGATGGAACCAAAGACATTAGTGTTGTAGACCGTCGCGAGCTTTTGCCGGGTCGAGTCTTCCGGCTTGCCCAAGAGGATTCCGGCATTGTTGATGAGGACGTCGAGATGGCCAAATTTTGTGCGGACTGTGTCGACGGCCAATTTGATGCTGTCATCGGATGTGATGTCCAGAACTAGAGGCTCGACATTCAAGCCGGCTTCCTGGAGCTCCGAAGCTGCCTTCTCGATGGCTTCCTTCCGTCGCCCTGTCATGAAGACGTGGTAATCAGGGTGCTCCGACGCCAGTCGCTTGGCAATCTCGTAGCCTATGCCCTGGTTGGCCCCCGTCACAAGAGCTACAGTTGGGTCTGCGGACTCTCTGGACATCTCGAGATCTGCTTCTGCTCCTCAATTCTGACCTCCAAGTTCTAGATACTTTATAGAAGAAGAATGCCGTCAGCCAGTTTACTTCCAATGTCTGTCAAATGATGGTGTAAACGGTTGGTCATCAGTTGATGAAAGAGCTTTCCAAGTTGCCTATAAGACCTTATGCCAGGCCATGGAGCGCAACCGCTTTTGCTTTTCAGTCTCGTGACTTTGCCTCTCAAAATGACGACAGATCAGTCAAAGGTCCTTCCACGCGAGGGACAGCTTTCTTTGGGGAAGGCCATTAACGACAACCGAGACTGAGACCAGAATCAGATCAGCCTGCTAGCAAAGCTTCTAAGAAAGTTGATGTAGAGAAAGTCTATTGACCCTTGCCCGATACCGAAACAATCCTTCGCCCAATGTAGATGCTAATCATGCTGATGCATCGAAGATCCCACGCAGGCCTTCCCCAGCATGAGCTTTCGTCTCAACTTGATCAACTTGACACGGCCCGTATCCGGAGTCCGGAAACGCTGGGAACTGAGAACGTTTGTCGGTGATCTGAAACCGAGTCCACGGATATTCGCGCTTCATGCTGGAAGCCGATCATCATTCAACGGAAGTGCGAAGCATAACAAAGCTGTTCTCAGGAAGGCCTTAACTTGTCTTACAGACAAGTCCAGATAGATTTAGAGTGTGAGTACACTATTTGTGTCTGGCTTGTTAATGAATAAATGTTCACTCTATCACGAGTTTAATAGACAAAAATGGTGGAAGCACATAAGAACAACACGTATCTGTCGGATGATGGCCAAAAGCAAAAGAATTGGGCCCTAACCAGGATTCGAACCTGGGACCTCTCCCAGACATGTCGTCAAGACCCTAAGGGAGAATCATACCGCTAGACCATCAGGGCTGATTATTAAGCGACATGCTTTGTTGGAAGTCGGGAAGCCGTAGCTGCTATTCAAGGACATCATCAGCGGGTCACGCAAAAACGGCTTGGGATCGCGTTGTCTCGGGCGCTCCCCAACCGCTCATGTTGACAACCTCAGTGGCTCTTCGCAACGCGGATGTGGGTTTTCCATGGCATAACGCTCACCGGCTAGTCGACTGGACTTATTCATTATCCAGAGTTGCCAGTCATATTCTGAGAACCTTATGTTAAGAGAAACTTTCAATTGCTAAGCTGTGCGTGCGGGATGTGATGATTTAGACTGTAAGGTAGTTCGAGCCCCACTCTGACTTATTCGATGTAGTCTTTGTTGAGGACATACTTGGACTTATCGTAGCTCTTGGGCCAAACACCGCTCTTTCCAGGTGCCAGAATGCCATTCGGGTCCAATGCATCCTTAATGGTCTGGTTCAACTTGCCGAGCGCATGATTATTGAAGTCGTACGTATCCGCGATCTGATCCATGAGAGCGACGTGAGTACGGAACTCGCCCCAGCCGTTGTCAGCGCAATCCTGGATCATGGTACGGACGAGCCACTGCGCACGGCGACGCATGTCAGGATCCTCCCTGTTATAAACGATGCACACAATGTTGTCTGTGCAACCTCGCGTCAGCAATCTTTTTCAATGCCTCATAATGACCGAGCGACAAACTGGGTGATGGATGACTTACGCATCTCACGCATGCCAATGCTGAGAATACCAAAGTAGTCCAACTTTGCCTCCGCGAAGCGTTTCTTAGCCATCGTGTACTGCTTCATGGCAGACTTGCCATCAACCTTGGAGATTGGCGAGAATGACAAGAATGTGCAGTGGGGGATCCACCTGAGTAAACTGGTCAAAGCTGTAACCTTGAAATAGGGCGTTTGGGCACTTACTGGTTGAGCCACCTGAGCTCATCCCATGTCGGCAAGCCTCGCATTGTGTCAGCACGGCAGTGCAAGGTGCTGTGCTCTTCTTTACGATCCTCAAGCAGGAACCACCGGCTTCCGGGAACCTTGGTCATTTCACGCTTAGTGATTTCGAGATGGGCTTTGCGGATGGGCTCGGGTCCGTAGGCCGCACCAATGTAAACCCAGCGGCCAAGGTCGACCTTCTTCGCCGCAGCATCCAGTTGCTCTTCCGTGAGCGGGGTATTGGGATCATCAGTGTATGCTGTGCGGGGGTGGTAATGCGACGCATCGAGCGAGATGTGACGGAGACTAGCTGCATTCTGAAGAACCATGTTCTGTAGAGTTTTTGTGAGCTGCGTTACTCATCAAGTCTCAGGGCAGCAACTTACGACACGAAGCGGACGAATAATATCGACGACGGCCTCAAGATCTTCATCCTTCTCATATGTCACCATGAAGGGAGTAATTCCAGGGGGTGCGGGCATGAGCTATCCCTCAGTCAGCTTTGCCTCATCTTGTGACGAACTTGGCCTCCTCTCATAAGTTCAAACTTACCCACATGCCCATCTTCGTGACAATGGCGTTGTTGCTCTGGGAGAAAATTCCGTCGTTGATTGGACCAAACCCATAAGGGAACAGTTGCCAACACTCATTTTGATGCTGATCCTGGGGCGGTACCCCCTGAGCCGCCTGCTTGCGGCCTTCGGGACTCTGCATCGCACCCATGCCCGTGCGGACGACCTCACCGCTGGCCAGCACAACTTCCATTCCACAGTGCATCATCCAGTGATCACCGTAGGGAGTGAAGCCCACGCCATGGTCCAGTGCGTTCCCGATCATGGAGCCGTAGCCGAGCTCCGGTGAGTCCAGCCACACCTTGTCCCGCAGCCCGTTGTCATCAAGATACTTTTGCATCTGCAAATAGGTGACACCGGGCTCAACGAGACAGTAGCAGTCCGTGGCATTGACCTCGATGATGCGGTTCATGTGCTTTCCCAGGTTCATCACCAAGCTTCCGGATACTCTGGGAGCGGCACCGCCGTAGCCGATATTGTGACCTTTGCTGTACGTCCACACAGGAACGAGATATTCGTTGCAGAGCTTGATGACCGCTTGGATGTCTGTTACATTGCGGGGGTGAATGAGCGCGCTGCCAACAAATTCCTCACGCTCGTAAAGAGAGTGCATGTCGTGCGTCTGGCAATCGACGGTCTGATAGTCACCATCATCTAGAGGGGTGTCTCTGGTGATGATCTGGAGGTTGTCTTTTCCGACTGCCTTTTGAAGGCTTGCTGCGAACTCTTGGAACTTCTCCACGGATACTCCAGGGGGAAGAAACCGAGGAGCCGGCGCCGCACCGTTCGATGCGTGCCCCCCGTTCGCCGACGTGACGCCTGGTGCCATGATAATATGAGTGGCCTTGTAACCGTAGTACGGTGTTGAAGATTCGGTGAATTACTTCGCCAATTTGGAGATGGTGTAGTCTTTAGTAATGCTGTCGTTTGTAACCACACATACAGTTGACTTCGTGAACCTTCTCCTTGAAGGGGGGGGAAGAGTTCATTTATTGACAAGAGCTTCCAGTCTATGACGTTCGTGACCTTATACTCAGCTGAGCTCTAGAGCTTAGGATGAGCTCTTGCCAATGTTCATACCATAACGGATCTTCGGAAGTTCGGCCTCCATAGATGACCGCGGATCTAGTCCGCGCGGGGCCGTAAGCGCGGAGTAGTACTTGGAGTGCTCGATATTAAACATCTTCTACATCAAAAGGCCCGTTCCTGACGAGGCTGACTCTCCTGGAATTCCCCAAACTGGCTGCGTGGCATTGAATCAAACTTCCAAGAGTCCGATGGGAACGTCCGTATTATCGTCTTCACCTGACTAGTGAAGTGCAGAAAAAGCTCAAGACTACATGTCTCATTGGAAAGGCAATGACAAACTGCCGATAATTGCGGAAGGTGCGGAGAGTTCGTAATCTTGACCAACTCTGCCGCGGCCATATCGTCTGATCAAGTGGGATGTTTAGAGTTGTGTTTAGGTTGCCGAACTCGGATTTCAGCCCTCGGCCAAGCCTCTCAGAATGACATCGAGTAGACAAGTGACGGGCGCCGAAAAGAAGCCATCTCTACTTGCCTTATACGAATACCCACGAGTTCGAGTGTTTCGCTGACGAAGTGAATCATACGCTGCCATGGCTTATGGTTTCGCCTGATCTTTGTAGAGCTACTCGGCTAGGCTGTCCTTGTTTGCTTCGAAGTATCTCCGCGTTTTAACTAAGCACGCGGCTTCCGGGTATCTAAGCTTGACAGCAGGCAGGCCGCAGCCTCCTTGTTCAACTTCAAGATGAAAGGTTACTAGGACTGAGTAAGTGCCCTCAAGTAGTCAGCATATCCATGCACTGCCCGAAGGACGACAGTCCACCAAACAACTGCATTGCAGTGACGTTGTCGTGACTTGATACCGGATCAAACTCAATGTTTGTTCTCGCTTTGGAAGTAGACGGCGACCTTTCCAGGACAACGACGGACAAACTTGCCCAACTAGAGGACAGTGGCCTTCGGCCCTCGGCCTAATCTTCATATCCACGAGTATCTCGGTTGAAGGAGTGTAACGTAGATCTAATTAGGAAGTTATCACTTGAGGCGAACGGTGTTTAATTAGGATGCCCAGACTCTGGTGAAGCTATAAAGATTAAATGATGCCCTACTTCCTGCATGTCAGCGTCATCTGAGCATGATTAGTTAGCATTTCCATCTCATTCCTCTAAATTTCTTACACTGCACATACTTCCTTTGATTTCAGCATGGCACCAGCAGCCATCTACAATCCTGTAAAGGATAGCCTCGAAGCACCGCTGAGGTCTCCTCAAAAGTTCAACGCCTTCTCCTCAAGTGTCAACGATGGTACTATCCCTATTGACCCTCCCCTCAATCCAAAGCATCGATGGTGGTGGGATAAATGCGCACCACTTCTCAATACCTTGCTCAACAGCGCAGAGTCATATACACCGGAAGAGAAGGCAGACCACTTGCGCGTGTTCCGCGATGTTGTCGTACCTTCGTTCGGAATCCCAACACCCAAGGCAAAAGTGAGGCCGCTGTTGACTTACGATGGATCTACCTTTGAGCCATCGTGGAACTTCACCAAGGGGGATGACGGTGTAATTCGCTACACGTTCGAGCCCCTAGGAGATACTGCCGGTTCTACCGATGACCCCTTCGCTGGAGAGATTGGCAGATCCATGGTTCCAATACTCTCTCAAGTCTCTTCTGACGTCGATATGCGATGGTACGAGCAACTCGTTGGCGCATGGTTTGTCACACCCCAAGAAGCCGCCGCTGCTCGTCAAGCGATGCCCTCTTTTGTCAAACGTATACCGCAACTCTTTCTCGCCTACGACATGAAGCGTTCAAAGCGTATTCTCAAATCCTACCACTTTCCGGTTCTCAAGCACTTCGCGACAGGAGCGACGACATCAGATCTCGTTTTCGACATGATTCCTAAGTTGCAGCCTTGTGGAGACAGGCTCGCCGCATCTGCCGCAAAGTTGCAAAGGTATCTGGCAACGTGCAAGGAGCCGTGCATAGTTGAGATGATGGCTGTCGACTGCATCGACCCCAACAAGGCGCGCGTCAAGGTCTATGCTCGGACAACCTCAAACGCAAAGTCAGTGCTGGCGGACGTGTTCACACTTGGTGGGGCTCAGACCGACGAAGCCACGATGAAAGGTGTAGAGACCGCGGAGAAGGTGTGGCATCTACTCCTGGATGAGCCCCAAGGCATGACGGCGGATCAACGGAAAGATGCTAGAGATATGCAGAATCTGCACAAGGGCATATGTTTTGCATTCGAGCTGAAGCCTGGAGCGGAGCGCATCGATATCAAGGCACATTTGCCGTGGGGCCAGACTGCGAGCAGCGATGCGCAAACCATGAGGAACTTTGCACAAGCCCTGAGAAACTTGGGATGGGACGAGTCTGCAGACAAGTTTTACCGTGGTGCCACGGAAACTTCCAAACTGTAAGTTGACTCAAGTTATGATACTGAACATTTGACAAAAGCTAATGGTTTTCAGGCCTGGTAGGGACTACTCTAAGCCAGGTGGATTGTCTTATGTCTCGTACAACTATAACGAGACTGGGCCCTACATGTCTTCCTACTTCTCTCCCAAGGTTCAAGGAGACTGATATCGCACCGTGTGACGAAGCTGCTGGTTAGCTATCTGTATTTGCAAAGAAGCGGGTTGATGAGGCGCAACTTGGCAACGTGTGTTAGCGGAAGAAGCTTGGAACTCTTCGGGATTTCTCCTCAAATTTTACGTATAACGAATCAGAGACGCATTGCTTGACATCATTGTAACATGAAGTAGAGAAAATTAAAGTAGAAAATCACATACAAGTTGGGTGATTGGAATCAATTACTCAAACCTTGACACTCAATTGGCGTAAAAGTTTCGTCCGTCCGTCATTGGGCATTCTAAGTCTCGACTTCTCCAACTATCTAAGCAGTCCATGATAAGATAGACTCATTACTTGGTCACGCGCGAGTGCAGATGAATTTTTGTCGATAAGGCAGAGTACCTTAGTTCCCACAACAGACAATGCTCGAGTCAAACGAAACGGTTCTAGAAACGGTGATAAAGGTTCGTGAGCTGTGATTACTCAACTGATATTGTCGGGAGTTGAGATCCCTTTGCAACCCCAAGTGCGTACGAGTTTACAGCTGGCTTGTACAATGACTTATGCAAACTTCGTCTCTGCCCGGTCACTTGGATACTGTGGCATTGCCAATACCTACAACTCGAGATCGGAGACACACACATCGTCGACGTGGCTGAGATTCCCCTGTTTCTCGCATCGCATCGGACAGGATGTGAGTCTGTGAACAAAAACCCGCCAAGTTGATTCCGTCCGCAGTTGCGGAGGGCCGGGCACTGGTGTTTCCCCGATGACCGCCGGGTTGATCAACGGACTAGGGCTATCGGGGCAATGGAATCAATGCCACAGTATTACGGGAAGCCGCGCTAGCTGACGGCGCCCCTGGTTTCACTCTTGTGGAAATTTCAGGCTCCAGGAGGCGAGCGGGCGGCGGACATGCAAGTTTGACGGGGTATCGGATTCAAGGTAGGTAGAGAGCAGACGTAGCCCGGAGCGAGGTGCGAAAGCGATCAACGAGAATTCGACGGGATGGCAGTGCCGAAGAGCGCGGACCATGTCAAGTCAAGCAAACAGGGTGTTGAAATGTTTCCCGTCTCCTCCTTGTATGTTTATGAAACTTAGACTTTGCGGAGGTCCTTCGTCGATCCCCCACCTCATCGCCGCTTTGTCCGCCGTATGGTTTCGAAAGCATCGGATACCCCAAAACGGCAAGCTTCTCTTTGCGAAGTCTACCACTGATTCTTGTCTGTTCCCTTCTATCAGTCCAACGTCATAGCCCGCATGCTGCAACGTCTGTGTTCTGACTTGCAGTAGTCTCACAAGAGATGCAGAGCTTCCGCTCCCGCTCCCTATAAGGCAAGTGACTACCCTTGTCAAGTTCGTCTGAAGTTTTGAAGGAATGCTTGAAACCTCTTATTCGGTATTCCTGCTCCATCATTCTACTTGACAGCGCTATCTCGCAACTGGAAACATCGCGGAAGAGCTAAGGCCCTGGGTTCGCAATGGCGCCAACGACGCGGCTCGGGGACCCAGAGCTATGTTTCCTTCCAGAAGATCGCCATTTTTGGCAACCCCACAGCAATACAGCCGCAACTTTGACTCCGGATAGCATGACCTTTGACATTGAGGGTCTAGGCGTGGATGGCCTGACGTGGTGGCAGCCGCGGGAGTCCCCAAAACGGACATAGGATGTGGCACTCCACCGAAAGCCGCCGGGCCGCAGTGTCGTGCCGTGAGATCACTGTCGGACTCGCGCCTTCGATTTCATGCATCCAGAAAATACCGTTGTATTGAAAAACGGCTCCGAAGAACACGGGCCCGAGTTGACCAGTATATAACCAACCTTCAATCACCTCCAGCAGGGATTTTAAATCATCATCATCCATTATCAACAATCACATCCACATAATCAAAGAAAATCTCTGCAATCATCAACAAATAACTTGAACTTTACTCTCAATCCATCTAAATCAAACACCATCAACATGTCTGCACCACCTGCCGGAGGCGTCACTGAGCGCATGATCATCCCCGTTAAGGGTACCAAGGAAGACTGGAAGGAACCTCTCAAGACCTACCTCCTCGCCCTGAAGACCCAAGACGGCTACCTTCGCACACGATGGGGACCTTGGTCCGAGAACGAGCAGGTTCTTGATCTCATTTCTGGTAAGTCCACATTTAGTGTGGTTATCTGACCAGGACACTTCTAATTCTTACCGTAGGCTGGAAGTCAAAGGAGTCCCGCGACAGCTTTTTCGCGTCTTCTGAGTGTGCAAAGGCAATGGAGGAATTCAAGACGGTCATGGCCGGCCCAGTCAAGTCGTACTTCATCAAGTTCGTCCCGTACGCACCCAGAGCCGCCATCGACTCTCCCATCGCCGAGACTATCACTATCAGCGGCTCCACCATGTCTGAGGACGACATGAGAGCTCAGTTCGAGAAGGTCCGCGGCATGGATGGCTTCAATGACTTTGCCAGCGGTTTCTCTACCGAAGAGGTTGATGGCGGTGGCAAGGTTTTCGTCGCGGCTCTGGGATGGGAGAGTCTGGAGAAGAGCAGAGCTGCCGATAAGTCTGTTTACATCCCTGCCAGCGGCAAGGTTGAGTCTCACCACGTCAACTTCCACTACCCCATCAAGGGCTTCTCTGTTACCAACACCCACTAGATGGGGTAAATTTTGAATGGGATATCTAGACGGATCATTGGTCGATAGCGATAGTTCAGCAGTTTGCAATTGACTTGATTAAAACCACATTTTGGAGTGATGGTTGCTTCGTGTTGAGATCGCCATTAGTTGGTCTAACCTACTTTATGTAGTGCCCCCAGAAGATGAGTACTTGAACCATGCATGTGATGAAATGGGCCAAGAGGGAAATCGATGCTTTTTCAGATGCCAAGACAGCTCTCAGGCTTATCCCACGCACTTAGGTTGATCTACTGCGCACGTATTCCCGCATAAGGGGACTGGACTCCCTTCCCACAGAACCTCTGCCGTGACATAAGTTCAAGTGGCCGACTAGCCCGAAATATATCGGACGGTCTGAGACAGACGCGATTGGAAGTATACACCGAACTGCGAAAATTACCTGTCCCGATAGATGTGGGTGCGTTCAACGAGTGACGTTGCGTGACATACAACAAGGTTATGCAACTTGTGCTCGGACTTGGGGCGGGAGGATGCGTCTGTCAAACCGGGGGTCCGGCCCAATGGTCAATCTTACACGTAGTGGGCGAACGGTGTCTTGGAGACTCAGATACCACGACTTCTCACATTCCACGTCTTGAATGCATGGTTGCTGACGCGGTTAATGCCTCCCTCGGGTAACCGCCAGTGTGCCCTACTTCGATGGGCGCGAGCCCTCTCCTGAAATTCTGTGTATCACCCGCGTAGCATAAATACTTCTTCAGAGACGGAAGCAGCACTGATGCGCCAAAATCAACGTCGATAGAGGATTTCGGTCTGATCTGCTCATCTAAGTTCTACTACTTCATACTACCTTAGTGTCAATACCTTTCACCATGGTGCCTAAGATTCAGAAAGTCGCCGTCGCTGGAGTAAGCTCGTGTCCAAGCTTCGTCTAGGCAAATGGTCCGTAACTAACAATGAAAGGCAACTGGTAATGTTGGAAGACCAACTCTGAAAGCACTGCTTGCAGATGGTTTTTATGTGACCGTCTTGGTCCGCAAACAGGGCATTTTCCCTGACGGTGTAAATGTCAAGGTCGTCGACTTCACTTCTTTTGATGCTATTAGAGATGCGTTACAGGGCCACCAGGCTTTCGTGGACTGCACTCTTGTTCACGACGATACTCCAACAAGATTGATAGATGCTGCCGCCGCAGCTCGAGTGTATCGTTTCATTCCATCAGACTTCAGCCTGGATTTCAACAACCGCAACGTCCACTCGGTGCCCGTCTTTTTCAAGAAAGATATGAACGACAAGCACTTACTGAAGAAATGTGAAGAGAGCGGAATGACTTGGAGTGTTATCTGCAACGGAGCGTTCCTAGATTGGAACCTGCGGACCGGCTTCATGAACATCGACATCTACAACAAGAAAGTCGACTATATCAACGAGGGGGAGAATGTTCACGTCTGGACTACACTCGAATCAACTGGCAAAGCCGTTTCAGGGGCCTTGCTTCACCCAATGGAGACTGAGAACAAGCCTGTTTACGTGCATTCTGTCAACAAAAGCCAAAAGCAGATGGTGAAGCTATGCAAGGAAGCGTTGGGGACTGATGGTTGGACTGATTCAAAGTCAAATATGGACCAAGTCTTTGCCGGAGCCTTGAAAGAGTTCCAGGCGGGTAATTACAGCATGAAGGTTTTTGGCGACATGATACGCTATGCGAACTCCAGGCCGGACTTCTCTTGCCCCTGGCCCAAAGACGATAACCCTATGCTCGGGGTCAAAGAGATGTCGGATGATGAGGTGAAGAGTCTAATTAAGTCAATTGCCACAGAAAAGACAGGTTAGTGAGGTATGCTCTGTGAGTTATCAACATATAGTCGATAGAGTATGCTTCGATCCGAATGAGTCTCAGGTCACTTCATTTGAGTATGAGAGCTGTCATGAATAAATAAGGAGGATTGGTAATCCGCCGGAGGGCTGTTTCTACTCCTACTGATTACGATAAAGTTCCGATTTTGACACGTAAGATGGTGCTACTTGCAGAGTTTTTATTCGCCTAGAGAGCTTGAAGTTCGACAAAAGAAAGTTGATATCAGATATCTAAGAACGGGGTTTGAATATGAAACCTCTCTTTCCAGAACTAGTTATTGTGTGCTGTAGGTTATGTGCAGAGGCGGATATCTATCATGGTGGCGTTGAGAGAATTGGACATGGAACAACAAAGAGGAGAACAGGGTATCACTTTACACGTTGTGATAAAATCTTGGTGCTGAATAGCAATCCTTGAAGACTTGAGTCTTTACTAAAAAGCTATTGCAAAGGATCTGGGGGTCTGTCCTGAAAACCCTGACTTATTTTCAAACTTGAAAAATTTGAACGGAGATTATCACAGTTTTCACCTCAAATGATTCAAGTACGGGAAGCAAACTTGTGAAGTTTACGTATCGCTCACTAAAGCTGTAGTGTAAGCAGTAAAGTATCGCTATCTTGATACTGAATTCCAAAGCTTGACATCGTACTCAAGACATGAATTCAACATTTCCATTTGGGCAGCAAATTTCGCGAGTGCAATCGTATCATATGGCTAGTCTCCGTCTCCTCAATCAGGAACCTCAACCCTCATGTAACCTCTCTCATCTTATGATGTATCCTGGTCACTAAGCTAGGTGCACGTGTATAACCACACTCGTGACTCCATTTTTCTCCCCCATTAGCAGTTACTGATTCATGGAGCCTGAATGTAGAAGGATGATGAAACTTTCTGCCCGTGATTAGAAAGATCGATGAGCAGAAATCTTACCCGAAAGCGCATTCGAGCTTTCGACGATAAACGTGGAGAAAGATAACTCTATCATGCCGTGTGCTCGATGTAAACTTGAGACAAGAGTCTAGCAAAAGCTAAGCCAAACTCACAGGCCGAGTGAAAGCATCAGCATATGTAGAGAGAGGAGCACTTCGGTCTTCCTTTTGCGTGATTCAAAGTCCAGTACGCTATAAAACTCAGGGGTTATTGAAGACTAAATCGAGCATTTGAAAGAGAGTCGACGCCCAACTAGATCTCTCTTTATAGAGCATGCATGTTACATGTAGAAGAAAGCATCATTATCTTGCTTCAAAGTCGATTTAACAACTCGGCTTATGTTTCCTCAGTAGTCCCAGCCTTTTCTTAATGGTAAAGCCACGTGTGGTTACTCGACGAAAATGAATTTGATTCCAATCCTACACTTTTTCGACAAACCCGTGTTGGAAACTTTAGGAAGTCTGTCTGTCTGTCTCAAGCTAAGCAAATTGTTGCAATGATCTGCAGACAAAGACGTCAGACACTACCAGAGTAGTCCTCATTCTATGATCAGTGGGCAGAACCCATCCTGCGCTTCAAACGGCCAGATCTCCATAGTGTTTCCAGTTCCCCGGAAAACTTGTTTGCCATCTGAACTCCACAAAGAACGGCTTCGAGCCACATACAGTCTTTGTCCGTGTGAACTCTCTTGTCCACGCTTCCCCGGCGACCCTGAGGCAACGGGGCAACCCATCAAGCTTGCCATGTCTTTGGGAACCAATAGTTGGAGGCGAGCTGCTTCGACCTTCCTGAAAAGCATATAGAGTTTATGCAACCTCGCGGTGTAATTCAAATTCACGGCGACTAGGCAGTGTACGGAGGTTACACGCAACTTACCGTCGCCGACTGCTTCGACTCCTCTAGAGAGCCGGAGCATCAAACGAGTCAGTAACGAGACCCTGACTGGCTCTGCGATCTTTTTGGTTTCACTGTCGACGCGGATCGGTAGCACCCACACAGCATATAAGCTTTCTTCGTGAGGTGGTTCCCAAACCTTATTGTGGCAGCACCTGGGGTCATGAACCTGCATATGGGAGTGCAGTCTGCAGCTGGCAGATGAATGGCGCTCGTCTTAAGTACTAGCGGGTATCCATTCTACCCTACGCAGTAAGGCTGCGTGCGCCATCGCATCTTCCATCCCGTCTTGATGACGCCGCCGCCGCTCGGTTGTGTTCCTCTTGCATAATGCCTTCCCCAAGGTACGAACTACTACTGGCGCCGTCGATTTACCGAGTTGGACTTCTCGACTGAGAGATGGCCGGAGAGACGGGCACCATCTCGGTCTCGCAGGTCCAGGCGATGGTTATGATTGCATTCGCTGCGACGGCGTACTACAATACGATCGAAACCTTTTTCTCCATATTCACGACCTTCAAGCGCCGACGAGGAAGATACTTCTGGAGTATGATCGTATCTAATACTGGCATCAACATCAATGTGATCGCCTTCATTCTGCGGTACTTTGGCTACTACCAGAAAGCGATATTCGCATCGAGTATCATCATCCCGATCGCTTGGTACTCGATGGTCACAGGCCAGGCCATTGTTCTTTGGTCGCGGTTGCACCTGGTTGTTCACAGCCAACAAAAGATCCGCTGGATCTTAACGATGATCATCTTCAACGCCGTCACGATGCATATCCCGGAGACGGTAATCTTCTTCCTCGCCAACACTAGCCCCAAGGAATACGTAATGCCCTTCAAGATATACGAAAAGGTCGAACTCGTCGTTTTCACCATCCAGGAGACCATCATCGCATCTCTCTTCCTGTACGAAGGCTATAAAAGCCTCAAGCCGTTGAGCGCAATCAAACCAAAGGCTGTTACAAACATGGTGCGGCACTTGGCTTCACTGTTCGCTGTTGTCTTTATACTAGACACAGGCCTGATTATCCTGGAATACAGCGACAAGTTCGAGATTCAGACAATGTGCAAGCCATTCGTCTACAGCGTCAAGCTCAAAGTCGAATTCGTCGTGCTCAACAAACTATTGGCGTTCACTCGAATGAGCGCCTGCGACTGTCGAGGCCCCGAGAGCATACCGTCTGCCACGCTGGCTGATAGCAACAACCGGACGAATGGTGGAAACAATGGGCTGACGCTGGCACTTCCGGCCATTGAGCAGACAAATGGATCACTTTCTCCGTTGTGGCAGACAGCGAGGAAGGACTACATCTTTGATGGACGGACATCTCCAATGAGTATAAGAAGCAGAAGAGGGTCGAGGGAGGGAGATTTGGATATCAGCCCAGAGGAAGACAAAGCGACGGTGTCGATACGTGAGAAGCCATTGATGACGGACGATAGGTAACCATCGCAGACGAGTGGCAGAAATTTAAAGCTTACAAATCCATCCAGAGCCTTGTCTATTCCCCTCTTTGGTCAAAGTGATGCCCATCTCCTCAACATCACGTTCAGTAATTATGATGCTATAGCCATCTTTTAGAGTGAGTGCTCCGATAGTGGACCCAACTTCCTGAACATCGTGGCGTCATTGTGGGAAGCCCATGCCAATGAATAAAGTTGGGATACATAGAATAGGAGGTCTGGCATTCACAGAAAGTCGGAAACGTTCGATTCGTTTAAATCAGTGTCTCGAACGTCGTTGAGATGACAAGAAGGCAGTTCCTAAGTGCGCACAGCTGTCCTTGACAATCCAGTAACAGGCACGTTTTGTCAAGGCCTCGGCCACCCGAATGACGAAGAAAGAATACTCAGATTACTCAACTATTTTAATCAGGACCGAAATTAACCACGACTGAAGGACTTTCGGTCCAATATTCGCTGGCACCCACCGTGTAGAAATAGACATTGTCACTTGCCGGACACCTGAACCAGGAAGGGATGACTTCATGTTCCCGAAACAGCGGTACATTGCACTCGATAGCATGCGTGGAAGAACTCAAAAACGGATAGTGACGAAGCTAAAACGCGAGACCCCTCACTATTGAGCTCGACTCACGTCAAGGTTTACCAGCTAGTTACGAGAGACAAGATCAGTGAAGTACTCGGGTTCGATGCCGAGAGCGGCTTCGTCGAGAGGAAGCAACTTTGCGATCTTTAGCCAATCTATAGAACTGTAAATATTAAAAAGTCCAGAATCCCGTCTGTTCGCCTTCCAATAAGCTAATAAGTGTAGGCTTATTTAGAAGAGCGGGATTCTAGATGACAGTTATGGTTCCGTCCAGCCAGCCATTGAAGAAGCACCAAAGTTATTCCACCATTGAAGCGCATCTCCATGCACCGTAAAGCTTTGAGGGAAATCGAACATCTCTAGGTCGTCTAATATTGAGGTTGCCATGAAGCTTGTGTCCTGGCGAGAACCTGACACTTCATCAAGAACATCCCTCACTTGGGGAATTATGGTCGTCCCTAGCCCTTGATGGACAAAGCCCTCTTGATCTGCTCCCGATGGGCTGTGTACCCGAGAGGAGGAATAAAGAGACGCATCGAGCAGGATGTCTAGGAAGCGTGCATACCGCACCGACATATGAATGTCATCCGTAGCTCCTTCGCGCATTGACTTGATGGATTCACGCAAAAGCTGTACATTTTGATGTGCTTCGCTCACGTGCGGATTTATAATTAAGGTACTCTAGAAGAATTTCACCAGTATCAGTTCTCAGAAGGCGAATTCAAGCTTTCGTGGTTATGACGAGAAGAGGGAAACTTACCCTCAGAAGATGAAGATTGGCGGAGACGATGAACAACCAGCACCGTACAGGGAGATACCGTGTAATGTGTGAGGCTCTGGAAACCCTTGTGAAAATAGAGAGTATGTCACGGCTGGCGTCTGCTGCTTTGTTATCCAGTACCGACAGAGCCTGTCTCTTGTCATCAGCCAATGCCATGGAGACATTGTTGTACAGAACGTGACCAGCTGGAGCGCAGCTATACATGACCATGTAGTGATACTCAAGATCGAGGCATATGGTCAGCAACTCGGATTGGTCTGCCTTTAGATTCTCGTGGCTCCTTCTCCAACGCGATAACGCTCTGTCTACATGCTGTACTTCAGGTAGGATGTCGGCACCAGGTGGTGTTGATACTCCCGGTTTCCGAAGGGACTGAAGGAGTGTACGCAATCTTCTTGTCTCGTTAAAGAGTTCGTAGTAGCTCTCCCAGAGAGCGCTGTCGGGAAGTAGGCTAGCGAAGGTCGTGGAGAATCGGTAACGTACTGCCTCGCGCTGGCTTTCGGGCAAAAGCGGACGCAACCCCAAACGCAAGCTCAAGTGTTCGTCGGTTAAATATATGAAAACACAATTTAGCTGGTTCCATTGCTGCCGCAAAGTATCTTTGGCAGACTGAGTTGTCGATTTGAGCGGTTCCTTGTTTGTGCTTTGTTGATCGTAGTCAAAACAACAGCCTTCTTGAGCCAGAGCTATGGCATTCGAGAGAAGCATCCTGCAACATGTCAAAGGTCCGTGGCCAACTATAAGAAGAGAAAGGTTTGACACTCAAACTTGGTATGATGTAGCACTTACCATGACATCTTATTACTTCTATAAGCAGGAGCGACAATATTGAGGTCTTCGAGGAGCGTTGCCATGCCGTATCTTTGCTGGCTCGTCAACGAAGTATGCTGTCCCGATTGTGTACCCAGCGGTTCTCTTTGCAACGAGTTTTGAGATCCCGTGACATTACTTTCAGGTTCCTCGTCATTGCTGAATGCGACTGTATTGTTGATTGCCTTGGGATGCCATTCAATTAGTAGTAACATGGATGCAACGGCACCAGGGGTACGTGTGTATGATGAGCCCCAGAGAGCTGACTGCAAATACTGCTGACAAATCTTCCACGTCTGCCAGTGTATTCTTTCTGAACGAATCTCACCGTGGAGCCCGGAGAGTACATGGTAGCGGGATGAGATCGTGATGAGTGTAAGAACTAGCAATGGCTCCTCGACTGGTAAGATGCCATACCGCTCACGATCCCGGTAGAATGGAGGTACGACAGGACGTATCGACCATATGATACTAAAATAGAAGTCGAGATACTCGATCAATTCGGTCTTGCTTAAAATTCGTCTTTTGATCAGAACGAACCGTTCCCAGTCGGCAGTTCCGCTTGGCATGGTGGGTACGATTGATGCTTGACTATGGCTAGTCACCGTCTGGGGCGTTACCTCATAGTCCTTGCATTGTTGACTAGCAGCAGTGAACGTAAGTAAGTCCAGGTCATCGGCTGTGTTGTGCAGATGGGCTGAGATAATCCTCCTACGTGCGGATGGCTGCGAAGCTGGTGGAGACGGCTCGATGGGTGAAGGCTCACATTGAAACACTCCAGCTTCAGCCGCGGCTTTCTCAACGTCACTGGGACAGTCGCCACCACTACGAACGTTGATGGAGCCGGTTGCATTTGCTTCGTTGTTGAGGTTGCCTATGGAGGCTGGTGAGATTGATGGGTCTCGGGGCGGCTGATGTCTTGGGCGCCTGCGGGATGCGTTCCTCGTGCTCCGCATTACGCACTCTCGTCCGTCGAGCTCGCATCGCTGGCATGGCTGAGACTGGTCTGAAGGGTTGGCAACACAGCGAGTTTTGCGCTTGCGGCACGTCTCGCATGATAAGTATGCCCTGCGTATCTTTGAGCTGGGCGGAGACGCCGCCCTGTTGGGCGGTTGAAATTGAAGACTACCTCGACTGTCGGAGGACATATTTTGAGCTGCACAACTCTTATCAATAACTCTGATCTGGCAATGATGGAGACGGGAACAACATGTGAGGATGAAAGCGTGTAAGGAATACAATGATGCTGGTATGGGTTGGGAGTACAGGAACTTGCTTGGAGGAGGGATGCGGGGTTTCTTATACTCACCTCACTCAGTGAATTAGTGGATTAGTAGGTAATGATGTACCCCTCGGTTGTGGACCCACCCACTGACCTCGAAAGTGCTGGTCTATAACGTTCCACCACTACCTATGTTAACGACCCTCGGAGAGAGCATCTCGATCTTCTCTGTACGGTCTAGGCATCTAGACCACATTCTGATCTGCAGCGACTTTTGAGAGAGCACGAAAGACACATACGGAAAGTACTGGAGCGACCAAAGGGGCACGGCGTCCAATGTCGCAAAATGCGAATTCCACATCCAGAAGGTCAAGTATCTCGGCCGGATCGTGGGAATCAATGGAAGCAGGATGGAATCTGGAAAGGATCCAGCAGTGCTCAGTTGAGCGACACCAGTATACGTCAAGGATTTTCAAAGCATTCTCGGATTAGCAAACTCCTATCGAAGGTCCGTCAAGGACTTCGCGAAAAATGCATCACCACTAACGAAGCTTGCGAAGAAGGATATAACATTCGCGTGTGATGCTGGTTGCAAGGACGCGTCCCAATGGCCTTGAAAAAGCCTTCAAATCAGCACTCATCCTCAAACATTCCTACCCAGAGAAAGCTAGAGCGATAGAATACGATTCATGGGACTATTTCAACGCTGGCTATCCGTCACAGCCAGATGACTTACCCCAGCGACCGAAAGACTCTAAAAGAAACGATCTCTCATTGCGGTCTATGGAGTCTAAGTACGTCACACATGGTTTCAGAGGAGCCAACTTCCAACTTCATTCATCAAATATCTTGCCAGGATTCATGAGCCAGCTAGATTTTCATGTCAGCAAAGGCGTTGCAACGACTCATACTTTGCGTAACTCACTGAGGATCCAAGCGACCTTTGATAGCCTTCATTACCCCAATTGTGTCAGAGCCCAATTCTTCAAGTAAGCAATGCTACGGCGGCTTTTAGTATCACTTCATCACGTGTCGTTGGCATTCCATGAGTGCGCGCCGACATACCTTCTTCCCAATGCCGATGCCATGTTCGCCCTGTTTGAGTATCAGCGCTGAACAAAGTTCAGACACAACAATTGTCCGACGTCTTACCGACACAGTTCCTTCCATCTCTAAAGCTTTGTGCATCATTCCATTTATGAAGCCCTTCACGTTCGCCACGTCCGATGGTCTCTTCGGATCATACATGATCATCTGATGGAAGTTGCCGTCACCAACGTGGCCAAGTACGCTGGAGAAGAGGCCCATCTGTATTGCATCGTTTTTGGATTCCTCTTCGATACGCGTTAGCTTTGCATGCAAAAATTGGGACAGGCGAATTCGGTTTGTACACTACCTATCATTTGTGCCATACGTGAGATTGGAACTGCTACATCGGTAGACCAGATTTCCGTGCCCTCCGGGCGGGCAGCAAGGCAAGCCCAAAGAGCTTGTTTGCGAGCGGACCACAAAGAGTCCATGTCTTCTTTCTTCTTCGCAGAGAGAAATGTCTGGCACTTGGAAGAACTACTGACGCTCTTTGCCAACCGAACACTGTCCTCGATGTTTTGTCGCGAACCTGAAAACCTAGTGTGCTTCGTCAGTTTGAAATAACTGTGATCGATGTGAAGAACCACGAACTTGAGAAACAGAGTCGGTAACTCTTCCCACATCTTTCCTCCCACTCCACCGCTCTTGTTTATGACTTTCATCTGTTCATCATCCATGAGTTCGCAAGCGGCGAGGTTGATGCCTTTGCGAATCATCTTGGACGCCGCGTCCGCAGCATCCTTTACGGTTAAAAATGTAGCGGTTGCCACACTGTAGTCAGATGGTACAACCGCTAGTTTTAGGGTTGCCTCCGTGATAATTCCAAGTGTGCCTTCGGATCCGGTAAATAGGCTGTTCAGGTTGTAACCAGCCGAAGTCTTGCGCGGCCGACGCCTGGTCTTGATGATAGAGCCGTCCGCTAGTACAACAGTCAAACTTAGAACATAGTCCTTCATCGTGCCATATCTCATGGCATTGGTTCCACTACAGTTCGTTGCAATCATGCCACCAATCTGTGCCGTTGGGCTAGGATCGAGAGGCAAGAACAACCCACTTGCCTTGAGCTCATTGCTTTCGTTAAGTTGAGTCCAGTTTACGCCAGCCTGCACAGTCACATCCAAGTCGTCTGGGTGAAACTCCACAATCTTGTCCATAAGGGATAAGTCAATGCAGACCCCGGGGTGTGTGGAGGAAAAGTTGCCCTCTACACTGGAACCCGCGCCGTATGGTACCATTGGGATCCTGTAGCGGGAACAAATCTTGACTATACTGGCCACATCCTGCGTACTTGTTGGGCGTACGACAGCTTTCGGCCTGACGGATGAGTTGGATGTTGACCACTCTGAATATCCGTGCTCTTCTATATCGTCTTCGTCCGTGCTCATCGAAGCGTCTCCGAGTTCTTGGCGAATTTGTGCGATTCCCTGATGGTACATCCTTAGTCTCTCAAAATGCAATAAGTCACGTTAATGAGGTGCTGTAGAAGTCAAAACATACTTTCTTTGTAGATGCTGGACTGGCATAGCTTCTAGTCTGCAGTGCCTGGAAATCACCCCGACCAGTTTGTTCATCTGTCGGGTGGTTTCTCTGCATAACAGCAAATGAGAACCCGCCCTCCTTCATCATGAGTCGCACCCTCTCGATACTCCGCCGACTCTCCTCCGCCACAACCACAGTCTCGACGCCGGGCCTATATTGGGTATCAGTGCATTAACATCAGATCAGATCAGACCTAATCTTGGGTCAGATCAAACGATCTAGAAGCCATGTAGAAGCCACAGAAATGACCCGACAGAAAGAAAACTTAAATCTTGGGGATCCGATGGGATGAGATAAATATGAGATGGGGGTGGGATATATCGCAAACAAAAAAAGAATATTTGATGCCATACATGTACCGCATAACCTCAGAATCCAACCTCATCTGATGAATCGCACGCAAATCACCCGCCTCCACGGGCCGCAGCCGTAACCGCGCCGTCGCGACGCAGACGGTATGCTGCAGCGGCATCGAAGCCAAATCTGCCGCCGACGTCGCCATCATCAAATCGAATCAAATCAAAACAATATGATTCAAGACAATTCGAGTCCAGTATACCCTTACCCCCCGCGTCTTCAGAAACCTGCAATGTGGGCAATCTTATTACCCCGTTAGGCAAGTGACGTGCGTGCCCAAGCTTTTCAACGATGCTGCATTGCGCACAGGCGTGACAGGTAAGGCGCTGGTCGAGGATGGACACTAGGTACCTAATTACACCATGACTGGACTGACTGTGTGAAGGTTGTTGTAACAAGCATTTCCCGTCTCTCTCTTCCAAATAAAGCAAAGGCCCCCGAACCTGAGCAACTGGGGTCAGATCGGCAATTATTGCCCTCGTGACGAGCGAAATAGAGAAAAGCTTATCTATCCGTATTTCATGCTTGGAGGGGGGAGATCTTGACAAGGTTTCGCATCCTTCGAGAACAACAAAACAGTCCAGAGTCAGGAGACTGCGCCGTAGTACTGCTTGCAAGTCTTCTGCAACCGAGCCCGAGCGAGCCCTGTTAACAACCTTTGCCCGCAGCCTGCCGCATACCCCCTTCAATCTGCTGCCGAATACCCGGGGCCCACGTCGGCCGGCACTTCTCCACACTCGCGGAGGCAACCTACTCTTGACAGCGGGATGTGGGACTGTCCGGAGAGGCACACGCAGGGTATTGAGTTAACGAGAAGATGAGAGTGATTACAGTAGGTATATTGGGGCGACATTTCATCCAATGCCACCACCAGAGGTATATACATGTACGCGTAGAATGCCGCCGAGTCCAAACCCACCCAAAAGGGTCACTAAACACCCAGGTCAGCTACGACACGCCATCCAGCGTGCAAACGGTAGCTTTGAACACCTGTATCGCCAGAACCGCCGGTAGACAATGAACCGTGGCCGACATAAAACTCCTAGTTCCGTTTGTGCAGATGCTCCCAGTTCACGCCCGTCCAGTCCTATTCCCTTTTCCTATCCAATAGTGTTGAAGTATGAGTACATCCGACCTCCTCTGGCCTAGAGCATCCACCTGTCCATCCAACGTCAAGATCAATCAACGTGCTGACAGGTAGGTTCTCATGTCCCTAGCCATAGACCGACCCTGCCGCCATTTGGGTATCCACCGTTCTTGTCCTCCGGTCTCCGTCCGTCATAACCGCCATTATCCCCTTGATGTTGTTGCTGTTGATGTTGCTGCTGCTGCCGCGGGTCCATACCAGGATTCTCCCCACCGACGGGGCCTCCCACGGGACCGCCGGTACCGGTTGCCATCCGATCATGCATCATCATTCCGTTCCCCATATCGGGGTAGCCTTGGGCCCCTTCACGTTGATTGGTATAAGGTCCAGGATTATGTTCTGGGTATTCGCGCGGCCCCGTCCCACCGCTGCTAGGGCTCCAGGCTGTATCATATACGGGCATTCCCATCGCTGCCATATCGGAGGTGTTGCTTCGAGTCAGGCCTAATGGGCTCATAAGATCGACACTGCTTGCGTCCATGTCGACTCCGCCCATACCACCCGTCAAGCGGTCGGACCCAAGGTCGATTCCCAACCCCATACTTGGTATAGTAGAAGGATGGTGCATTGAGTTGCTTCCGAGGTCGAGCCTTTGTTGTTGTTGCTGCTGCTGCTGTTGCTGCTGCTGGTTGTTGCTATTGCTCTCTTCGTTGTCGTCAAAGACTTCGCCCACAACGCTCCCTCTTTGTTGTCCAACTTGTCCCCAGCCTTGCTCCATCATGTGGTGCGCCTGACCTGCGGCAATCATCGCCGCGGCGGCTGAACTCATCCCAGACATGGCGGGACTGAGTTGTGTTCTCATACTTCCTGGATTCTCGCCGGCAGCGGTGAGCAGCTTCTCTGCGAACTGTTTCCGGGAGTTGTCGCTTGCACTCAGTGTACGCACGAAGAACTCGATAGGGTCTAGACTCGCCCCCTTTCGACCGCTGCCCAGAACACCCATATCGCCTGACGTAAAGTCCATGGCGGTTGAGAAGCCAACACTTTCGCATGCTCCCAAGACATTAACGCACCAGGTTCCGATTTCGAAAATCTTCTCCATGATACCCATTCCGTGAACCTCGACAGCTTTGCTAGGCAAGCTTGATAAGATCGAGGCCGTATCACGTGCAACTGTCAGAGGGAACGAAAAACACATGCTGTTCCCACCGCCGACACCGCTGCCCGAAGATACCCCACCTCCTGAGTCGGCCGGGTTGGTCCAGCTCAGAAGGCCTTGCCTCATCGACGACTGCCACACAATAAGTCGAAGCCATTGTTGTGTGATGAGTAAATCGGCTTTCTGAATGTCTGTCGGCTCTGGCGCCCCGGCATCTCTCGAGGCTGACGTTGAACCATAGGAACCCATTAGCTGCCCATGAGGCTGGGTTGGTGGTGATGATCGCCCATGTGGGCGGAGGAACGCGGGAGGGAGGGAGAGAAGGTTTTGCAAAGCCAAAAACGTTGTTGCGCTGACGCGGGGATCAGACCCCTCATTCCAAGCCGTCACGAACGATTCGTCCAGAGGAGTGTAGGATGAAACAAGCTGCAGAAAACCGGCATGAATATCGGGGCCTTCGTAGGGTTGCCGTGTTGTTGGTAGCGATGGTGTTCTCTTGAACGTAATTGGCTTGTTGCGGAGAATCGCAAAAGACCTATGTAGCACAGGATGCGTTAGTATCTCGGATGCGGCCTCGCATTATACGTTGGCGTGACCTAGCGGCCAGTCGTTACTAACCTTTCTGTGACGAAGAGAATCCAGAAGACCCTCTGTCGGCATAGCGTTTCCTCGCGACTCAGCCCGTAGTATGTTGAATCGTCCTGGAGTCCTAGGTCCTGTGCGTTGGTCAACGCTTCCCGGAGGTAGTACCACGATTTGCGCGATTGGTTGATTTCAAAGAAGGATGTGCTCAGGTAAAACGACGAAATCACGGCGGACAGGGACAAATCCTCGAGGAAGTCGTACGTCTGCCTCGTCGAAATGGTCTCGTCGAGGAAAAAGCGTCCGACGACTTCCCAAGACGTGGGTCCAGGTGCGCCGATGCTTTTACCAGACATGTGCATCGACGTTAAGGCGCATAGGGCGTAAATCAGGTTCTTCTCGCTCGGCGTCATGGGTCGGTTGATCGTTTCGCGGACGGTCGGCATGTAGATGAGGGGCATGATGGGGTAAATGTGCTCGTAGTACAGCTCGACCAGCTGGGGGATCATGTGGAAATAGCTCCTCGTTCTCGGTCGTAGTTCATCGCTCGAGAAGATGCCTCTGGGCTCCGGTACATTGCTATGTCCTGGGTTCGAGGTGACGGCAGCCCAAAAGCTCGGCGGGGTCGATGCTGCGGACGCGTTGGACGAATGTTGAGATGTCGCTTCGCCGAGGTCGCTACCGCTCATCCCAATGTCGACGCTGTCTAGGTTCAGCGGTGGGCATGCTGCTGATAATCGACGCCGCACATACTCTGTAGGACTCTCGAGCGCAGTTTCTGCATTGAAAGGTTTCTGGACTTTTGGTTGCTGCTTTCCTTGGGACGACTCCCGGGCGCGTAACTCATTTATGACCCGTCCATGGCCACGCTTCGGTCCTCTTTTCTTGGGGACATGTTCGCGCTTGCAGGTGAGTGAAGCGTGCACACATTGCTCACAAGGGAACTTGCCATCGCAACGGATTCCTATTGCCAGTTAGTTCTCATGAGCTCCATCGTATGAGAAACGAAAAGAATGAAAGACGTGGCAAGAGACGTGAGTTGCGGACATGGAATGAACAGTTCTTGATGATGGATGTGAAGATGGTGATGACGTGCAGCAAGCAACGTCAGCATCAGCATCAGCAGCAGTAGCTAAGGCGGGATGGTGGTACCATGAAGCCGACAGATGGACTGCCCGGGCGGCAGACTGCTGGGAAGAGGAAGAATCGCACGAAAGTTCATGAATGCGACGGACGGACGGCAGGGGATGCAAATTGAGATACGACGATAATAGTAACGTGAGAGAAGTGGAACAGCATACTTCTCCTTCGACAGTGATCGCATACGGTCCTCTTTGGCGGCGCTGACTGTTGTTGGTGGTGCTGCTGCTGGCTCTTGGTAGTGGCGGCGGTAGTGGTCGCGCCTGGTGACTCGGCCTTCACTTCTGCAGAGCCTGCTCTGCTCGCAGCATTTCTCGCGGAATCTGTGTCGTCCATCACTCAAAACATGACGCAATAAGAATAAGGGAACAGTCGAGAGAAGGGAGATGGCAGAGACAGGCTCAGGACTCTTGTCACAGGGGTGACGGCCGTTAAAGAGTTTGAGCGAGAGATTTCGCGGTGGAGTGATGATTTGTCGCAGTCCAGCAGAAAAGCAGTGCAGTGCCAGAAGCAGAACTGTCGTGGAGCAACAAGCCTCGACTCGGACAGTGCTGCAGCCCAGCCTCCCCCCGGTCAAAAAGCCAGTTCCAGTCCACTCTCGGCCGCCTCAGCCCCTCACCGGCAAGGGAAGGGGAAGGAGAAGGAAGCTAAGGTAAGGTAGGGTCGGTAAGGTGTGGCCTAGCTGTGAGGTGAGGTACGTAGGGTACGGAGGAGGAAATGTATGTACGAATAGCTAGCGGAGGTAGCGTCTCGTCTGTCCTCGCCTCATCAGTCGAGGTGTCGGTAGCTGGCTGGTGGGATGGCGTCGGGGGGTTGTCTTGTTGATCGTCGCTAGCGCATGAAGGTGTTGGTTGCTGCTTAGGTTTTTTTACTCCGTGTCCGATGTCTGCTCGAAGACCGTCGGGATCGGCTGCCGGTCTTGTCCTGACCTGCCCAGTTTCTGTCCAGTCTTGTCTCGTCTCGTCTGGACGTCCAGTGTCTGTCTGTCTTCCTGTCTGGTCTTTCGTTGTGCGTGCGGCGTGCGGTGCGGTACGGCGTGCAGCTTGCGGCTTGCCTGTGCAAATGCGGGGAAAAAAGAAACGACAGTTCGAGGCGAATGAGAAGCGGAGAGAGAGAGAAGGGGGGAAAGGATGAGTGAGGGGCGGCCACGAGCAAAAGGAGGGTTCGCTGCCGTTTCTGTATCCGTACTGAGGTAGGTATACTGTGTACTAGGTAAGGTGAGTAATAGTAAGGTGGTAGAGCTGAGGTAAAGGTCGTGTGAGGTGGTCGTCTTGTGAGTCAGCTGATGAAAGAAGAAGTTGAGAAGAAAGATCGATCTGATGACGACCTTGGACCAAATCGACGGATGACCTTGGAGATGTGCGGGGGAAAAGGGTTCGAGGCCAATCAACTTCGGATGAGCTGCACAACGGAACGGCAAGGCAACGGCTCAAAATAAGGCAAATGGCCAGAAGAAACGAGGGAACAAATAAGTCGTCAGTCCAAGACGTTCGAGTCCGTGTTGCCCCCTTGTTGGTAACCCTTCTCTCGTTTGGGGCTTCAGCTGAACCTGAGCTTCTTCAGTCCCAAGTTTGCCAGGGACCTGCAGCTATTTTGGATCAAAATGATTTGCGGCGCTATTCCGGCCCCTCTGCGAACGGAGCCATTTGTCTGGCTCCTGGAGACGTGCCCGGCATCCGCCCGCTCATGCCAAGCTCCATCAAAATCCTCCACTGAGTACCGCCGAGCGGAGCTAACCGCAGGCACCACCCCCGCCGTTATGGACCACATGTGCGAGCTTTGTTCGTGACGGCGAGCCAGGGAGCCCCGGGGCAACCGCGTCCTGGGCTGCGTCTGCGTTGACTCCAGCGTCAGGGACTCAAGCTCGACTCGAGCTCCAGAGATCCAAGATGCTTAATTCTCTCCTCGTGTGCCCAAACTCTGCTTGCCATGCCACGTTTCGACCTCGTTCCGGGAACCAGTCCCCGAGACCTCTGAATCACTTCATGGTCCAGATATGTCTGCATGTCTGGGACTTTGTTATGGTCTGGTCTGGGGTTGCCGCATCATGCTGCACCGTTGGAATGTACGTGGCCATCGACAGAGCCTCCGGGGTCCGCAACCAAAAGCGCGCGTTCGCGTTGCATCAGATGCCCAAGACTCGCTCGAGTCGAATGCGGAACTTCCCAGGCAGGCTTCCTGATCATCACTGTACGCATATACCTTGCATGCGATGCAATTTGCGCGGTTGAGGCGGTTTGTAGACGATATAGGGTCGTCGATCTATCCCCGTCTACTACGACTCAATGCCTGTCGATTTGCAGCTGTCAAAATCTTGTACGTGCTCAAATGAGGGGTTTCCGGGGTCCTGAACATTCCAGAACGATCCGATTCAGGGAAATTGCTCTGATGCCGGCGGCATCCATATCAACGGCCCCTGACATGATGCGGAGGTGGCTCATCGAACTGTAAAGACAAGGCAGGGATCGCCCAGCTCGAATGTCAATCAGTCTTGGACGACAGTGGTGTCAAAAGCTTGGTATCATAGCGTTGCAAAGAAGTTGGGGTCTATTTCGAAACCAATATCGAGTCCCGGAGTCCCCGATGGGTGCTGTGAAGGTAATATCGCCAACGGGTTCACGGTTACCTGCGGTTGATCGGGAGCTTTGTGAAGAGCGGCGCGCGCGGACCTCATCCGCCCTGCGAGGCAAAGCACTGACTTGATGATTTTCTCGACAAGTACGGAGTATAGTACGGAGTCCTGGCCGCTGGTACGTGCTCCCAGCAAGGCCGAGAAGATCAGTGGTGTCGATGATGGACTCGGCGATGTCCTTGGCGTTTCCTCTTCCAACGGCGCCGAGAGACTTGAGCGTAGAAAAGTGGACACCGGACTCGGGGAGAATCTCCTGAACGGTCTTGACCTAAGCTGATGATCAGGGCCCAACATGAGGAATTGGCATGCGGCTTCGTTGACTGGTCCGCATAGTCTTGGTCGAGGACGTCGAGATAGGGACGACGGCCGAAAACGCCGGTCGACCGAGTACGTACGCCGTTCAAAGGGGTTATCGGTGTGCTCCCGAGCCGACCCGGAACGAGGGCGTGATGTTTCTGCTTGCAAGTTGCAAGGGGCAGGTTGTAGGATTGACGCTTTGTCGTTCTATCCACTTGGCTGGAACTCTCTATGCTGCTGCCCAGTCGAAGTTGTCATGAACAATGGGCAGCCGGAAATCTCTTCTTCCAGCTGGCAATATCGCCTAGACTAGCTCAATCGGAGCATAAACTTTGTCAACGGGCGCTGCCGCCCAATGTGTCCTCCACTCACATCCACATTCACCTTGTCTGCAATATCCCTCCTTACCAAGAGGTTGCATTTCGAGGGGCGTGCCAGGGCCTTGGGTCGAGTGGATAAATTTGTCGGTTGAACAATTGAACAGCCCGACCTTCGGACGACGCATCCGTGGCTTATACACATGGCTCCCGAAACCATATGGTGATGGCAAGCCATCCCTGACAAGCAATAGTATTTCGAAGCTGTATTGAGTCCTACAAGGCTACAACAACAAATCCGAGTATTGCTTCGGATGCCGAATGGAAGTCCATGTCCGAGATGGTAGGTAGGTCGAGGTCAGAACAACGAGCTTCGATCATCGATTCAACTCAATTGATGAGGACTCAGCAGCAGCAGCAGCAGCCCACGGCCCGCACCCAGAGACGATGGCGAATCGGCAGTCGGGTGGTTTAGTGAAACTTCTAGGTATACGACAGGCGCAGGGGAAAAGTGCCGATCCCATTTTGCTGAGCCTTGCAAGTGCCGACTTTGAGTTGATGTTGCAATCATGGCCGGTAGGTGACTCCGAAAGTGTGACTCCGCGAAGTTGGTAGTGCAATGTGCGTGCGGCGTGCCCCTGAACCGACGATGCCGAAGAACCTGTCCCAGCAGAATGATTATGCCCTTGAATTATCAATTCCAAACTCATTTCAGGATCCTGGAGAAGCTTAAGACGTGACATCTTGGCTGGGCCCCAAATAGACTAGATAGCAGAAGTAGAAGTCGAGGCCAAGACTTCAGGGTCGACTCCTCAAAGTCTGAATATTTTCTCTCTCTCCGAGTTGAGTTGTGTTGTCGGGTCGTATCGTGTCTACTATAGGCCCTAGCTGCGGTTGATAGAGAGAAGCTCGAAGACGCTAAGCACTGCCTGCCCGCCAAGGATCAAGAACTTAGTGGCTGCCAAGCGGTAAGGTAGTGCACGGGGGGCGGCAGGCAATGCGACGGGCGACGAGAGGTCAAGGCGAAAACGACATGTCGTATGCAGTGTGGGCATTTGACGTTGCTAGCTTGCACAGGTCCCCTCGTACTCAGGGCACTGGCGATATGATCGTTAGAAGTCTAATCTGCGACAGACAGCTTAACAGCCTGAACTGCCCAGGCAGGTAGATGATGAAGGGACTCTGGAGCCAAGGCCCAAGGAAGCATACGTGTTCCAATCACTTACCATGTAACTCCGCCTCCTCCGGATTCTCTGCCTCATCAAAACAAAGAAAACTCTCCATCAGGGTTGGATTGGGTCGGTTGAGAATATTCGAGTGGCAGCTTTTTTCCCGGAGCCAGTCCCGGATACCGGGGAAGAGGGCTGAGGGAGTCTGAGGGAATCTGAGGGAGTTTACGACGGGGGGCGGGCTAGCCATGGCGATGGATCACGACTGAAATTTGAACCGAGATTGGGAATGAAGAGAGAAAAGTCAGAGATGTGCAGATCGCAGATATTCTGCCTCAACGCCCATGTACTATTTGTCAACGTTTACGGCGTCGGCAGGAGAGGTTGTGATGTCCGGCTACCGGTGCCTGCCTCACTCACACCGACAAGCTGAGCAAGCAGTGAGCACGTGTGTGCGTACCTTCCTCTGGACGGAGCAAAGGGCAGGTCACGCCTCGGCGGGGGTGCCTTCCTCCCACGTCTCGGAAGGAGGTGATGCCGTTGCCGCCCTCCGGCCCGGCAAGTGGGATGCCCCGTCCTGCCATTATCGGATGGTGCCTTCCTACCTAGCAAAGGGGCACCTCCCGTTACTACCTCCCACCTTCCTCTGTCAACTTCAATAGTCAAGGCAAGAGCTTTCGATTGGCAATTGCTATGAACTCCAGGAAACCCGGCAGGTCCCGGACGTGACTTTCCGAATGAATAACTCCAGTCCGGTCACGGTGGTAGTCCGGCGGGAATGTAATCACGTCGTACCGCGGACGTCCATGCCATGGAAGCCGCGGGGTCTCGAGTAATCAGATTATCTGAAAAGCCAAGCATTGCTATGGGCAGAAGTCTCGGCGTTGCTCGAGACAGGACAAGAACGTTAGTCTCCGCAGAGAGGACAGAGCGGAGTTCGAATGTCATGGATGTTGGCACCGAGGGTTTGGCTCGTTTATTTGTGTTCTGTAGGGTTGATCGTGGAAAAGAACATTTAACAGCTCAACAAGATGCATTTGACCGTTACATTCCTCGGTCTCCAGTAATTAATGCAGGTAGGTATTGTCTCACACGAGGCTGCTTCATATGAACTATATGGAGTGACGTTGCCAACATCCCTGCCAGTTCCTCACAACAACAAAGCATCGAGATAATGGCCTAGACTACGATCGAATTAGACCTCGTTGAGATCCGTGAGAGACGGCAGTCGACACCATGACCCTGAAGATCATAGCAGTCCAGCTATTGTGGATCCAGTCGAGTGTAGCTAACCAAGAAGTGGTCCAAAACATTGCCGTTTCGGGATCCCGTTGGGTTGATCGGGATACCGAGTCCGGGTGTGACATCGAATTGCTTCCAAGTCCGACGTGGCCATTAGATCGAAAGAAGAAATCAACATTCGCCCGCCTCGTCAGTGATTCGTACTCGACGCCCGTTGAATGACTATCATCTCGGGGTTGAACCCGCATGATGCCATGTTGCAAATTGATGCCACCGATCGTATAGTTTCCGACAAGTCCGATTGCTGCCCGAGGAAGCAGAGTGGTTTAAGCCTTCACCAATACAGTCTCCTATTAGATTGAGCACCGGAATAGTCTGCCGGTTTGAGAACCGAAGGCTTCAAAGCCGAACAGCCTGAAAACCGAAGAGTCTTAGGACCGAACCGTTCTGAGAACCGAGCCATTTCCATAACTGAACACTCCTGAGAACCGAGCGAAAAGGGGAATTGAAAGGGTACCTTGGATTTGTCGACGCATTCGTGACATTACAAAGGCAAGTAGTCGGCCGTAGAGAAACACGTGTGCAGTTAAAGAGACTCTCGAAAGCATGGGGGCCAACGTACGGCCCTCTGTATCATTCAGCATATCAATACAAGAAACATTCCAAACGCCAATGCTAGGCCATCAAATCAGGGGAGGGCATCATTACAGCTCCTCCTTGAAGAACTGCTCTTCGCTGCCCTCTTGCTGTTGATCCTGCTTCTCTTGCTTCTGACCCTTTTGCTGCGTCTTCTTCTCACCCTCTACAACCTTCTTCTTCCTCTTTCCCTTGGCCTCCTCGCCATCCTCGCCGTCAGAGCCGTGATCAACAATGCCCTGGA